GTTTTGAAAATCTTGACCGGCAGTCGACCTTTAAAAAGTTGTAAGTGTCACAAAACATGGTTTCGTTTTCTGAGCCCTGAGCGTAAACCAAACGCTAAACTTGAGACCTCATAAGCGTTTCAGAATCGTTTGACTTTTCTTAATCAACATATGATAGTTTAAATTAGCTGTTTTTTTCGATTTGTGAAATTGACAGAAAAGACAAGACTACCGGACAGTTATTAGTGTTTTGAAAACCTTGACCGCCGGCCATATAGCCACAGCGTTCAAATTAGCGTTCCAAAGCAAACGTACACATTCTCGCTGGATACGTCTTGCCTTTGGTATTCTATAAAATGCCAGACGAGGGGAGTTTCTGAAGTTATTTGTGCACTAAGCACACAACGACTTGCATTTCTCGTCACAATTGTCGGTGGCTGCCCGACGTGTCCCCCCAAACAATGCCATAAATGTTCGCGCTTAGTTTGGGTCCCAGGCTATTATCACTCTTTTCGGAAGTGAGCTATGGCCCCCCGGGGGGATACTTTAGCAATTTCTGGGTGGGGGTGTGCCGCTGGGACCCTGGAACCCTTAACCTTTACTAGAGCTACAATGTAGTTCAGCTGAACTCCCCAAAATCCGCCCCTATCCTAGAGTAGCTGTTTTCCAGAAACCACTGTGGTCACTGTGTAGCACAGTCTAACCAAAACAAAACCTTATTCCACAATCCCTAGTCTAGATAAAATCTCCAACCAACTGATCATTTTCCTGAAAAATTATATCCTTTCTAGACCCAAACGCTCTGATTTATATACCATATCCTAAAGTAAACTGCTTGAAAACCATACCCTTCACAGCGGCACATACCTATATAGCCCATATATCACAGTACCCCCCCCCTTCCTGCTATGGCAAATATTACGTGAACTTTCCGGGATTCTTGATTTAATATCCTCTTAAATTCATTACAACGTGCACTATGTTTCACTCTGTTTGTCCCCTAGATTTTGCCTAAGCAGTTTTTATGATCTGCGCCGAGGACTTCGTTTTTCCTAAGAGCATTTGAGTGTCAGCTTATTCAAGACGTCATTTGTGTGATGACTGTATCAATAGTAGGAGAAATTTTTACAATCCGATTTCTAATAGCCCGCGAACCGCGGACGTATTTCCGGTCGTCGCTTGAAAGACCGACGACCGGAAATACGTCTGCAACCTAATTTATAAGGGCTTCCCTTTAATATTTACCAAGATCGCAAATTTGTTAGTATTCTCGTTCGTATAAAAGCCGCCGCGTGACGATTTAATCAACTAGATTACTGCGTGCTCCCTCGGGAAGCAGTCTCTTGGTCCTTTACGGTCCCCAGGGAAATTCCCTAGGCCTTTTATACGCCCTAGCAAACAAATTCACCGTCTTCTCGCAAGTCTACTCTACAACGGGCAAGCAAGTTTCATTCTTCCGCAACGCGACCAGCGCCGCTGAAGCTCTTTCATGGCTCTCGTCCCTTTTTAACCAGACCCAGCTGACGCGGTAGCTATTGCTTCGACAGAACCTCAACCAGCACCAACACCATCCACCTAAGTATCATGTTTTAATTTCTCGCTTCCCCCTTTTCTTGTCAATTTGTCACATACGTGGCGTTTATCTTTTTCACCATTCTGTTCTGGAGTTTGTTTACGTTAGCGCTTTTAGGCATCTGTGCGACGTACCAGAGGTAAGGCGACCCTTATTTGATTATTGTCGCGTCTTTTTCGTCTGTTACAGTAGAACGAAAACGAGCCGGAACATATTTACGTTGGCGCTTCATGGCGTCTGTGAAACGTAAAGGAGAATCTCAACAGTGCAGTTCAGTGGAATGTATTTAATTACGTTGGCGCCCTTCGGCGTCTGTGAAACGTATAATGAAGAGAAAGACATTACGTTGACGCTTCTTAGCGTTTGTGAAACGTAAAGGAGGATCCTAGCAGCTCCATTAAGTGGCATGTTTTTAATCAGTTACGTTGGCGCCTTTTGGCGTCTGTGAAAGGTAGTTTCGAAAACGAAGCACTCGAAAACGAAGACCGAAGCACGAAGCACCCAAATCTCGAAAACGAAGCACCCAAAACTCGAAAACGAAGCACCCAAACTCGAAAACGAAGCACCCAAAACTCGAAAACGAAGCACCCTAGATCGAAAACGAAGCACCCAAGAATTCGACACCAGTCTATCCTTTATAAACACGAGAATACAGCAGGAGTGCAGTTCAAATCTACTCAAGTTGTAAATGCATTTCCGCCGCTGCGTGGGAGGCCCGGTGGGAGGCCATGTTTTGGACGTGATCAGAAAACCGAGAACGCCCAAACTATTTCTAGAATGTTACTGTATTGCCAGTAAAAGCCAATTCGCAGGCTTGAGTCGATGATAGAGAGCTTTAGATTTTAAGACGAGTACGAGATTTTCTTAGTACTAAGTGGTGCTCGCGCGCGAACCAGCGTCATTTTGGCGGGAAAACGTGGTAGCCGTCGTCATTACGAGTCTCAACGATATCGAAGCGGCGAAAACAACTTGAACAGATGTTAGAAGTTTGAAAATTTTTCGATCGGGAGGGGGCGTAACCTCCTGCATATCCAATATGTTAGACTGCAAAACAATGTTTTTTTTCTCAAAATCAGTAAAGAAGTCGGTAAAGCGTGGCGTAAGAGTAATACGCGCGAGCCTCACACTCCGTTTTCAGCCTCGTTTCAGACCTTTTGTGTTACTGCTCACGCGTACTTGAATACGCCAAAATCTGCTGAGGGACAGTTTTGAAGTCTACATAAACATGTATGTGTACCGAAAAAATGCATATTGAGGTAAGATGTATCAACTATAGCGAGACCAATAATAAAATTAACACAGTATATCCTATCTAGAAAATTCAGTTAAACAGTTGACAGGCTCTTATAAAACCTTGGGATGGATTTTGTGGACCTTTGGAGGTGTGGACGCATCCGCTACCTCCACCTGATTCAGGTGCTTCGTTTTCGAGTTTTGGGGTCTTCGTTTTCGAGATTTGGGTGCTTCGTTTTCGATCTTGGGTGCTTCGTTTTCGAGATTTGGGGGTCTTCGTTTTCGATCTAGGGTGCTTCGTTTTCGAGTTTTAGGTGCTTCGTTTTCGAGATTTGGGTGCTTCGTGCTTCGGTCTTCGTTTTCGAGTGCTTCGTTTTCGAAACTCGAGATTTGGGTGCTTCGTGCTTCGGTCTTCGTTTTCGAGTGCTTCGTTTTCGAAACTACCGTCTGTGAAACGTACAATCAGGGGATAGACATTACGTTGACGCTTCTTAGCGTTTGTGAAACGTAAACGTAGATCTCACCAACGCAGTTCGGTGGCATGTTTTTAATTTCGTTGGTGCCCTTTAACGTCTGTGAAACGTACAATGACGAACAGACATCTTTGGCTTTACTTCGCGACCGTCCATCGTACATTTGTCCACAGTCTTTGATGCTTTATGGCATTTTACGTGTATGTATTGAAAGATTTTAGAATAAGGTGGCCAGTTGTTTATTTTTCCCGTTCGTTTCCTACTCATTGTATTGTCAACATTTTGTATAATTTCTGCACATTGCATTGTCAGCATACTCCGTGCCCCCTCGCAGCTGTTCCCTTGAGACGTCTCACCTTTTATATTGTGTTTATTCTTCTTCACCTATTACACTTGTGATCTTAGAGGTCACATAGCAGAAACAGAAGGTGACGTAACTCCTCGATATCAGTAACCACATTCTCTTTAATCGAGCGTACAGCCTTTATAAATTTGCACGAGTTTCCTTGTATATTATATTTTTCTTTGGCTTTTGCTTCCTATATTTCCTTACCCCACACTTGAGTCGTGCTCAGGGGGGGTTCCTAAACACACCCCTCATCCAGTCTTCGGACGGTGTCCTGACTCGACTCAACTGTGGGGTTCCCTCCCAGCCTCCCTCTTTCGTAGGGTCTTTCCTTCTTTTTTATCTCCTCCCATTCGGATTTCTCTAACCGGGTTACTCATGCTGCAAGCCACCCTTCAGCTTTCCTTTAGCGTATCCGGGAGGGAAAGCCCCACATTTGGGCCGGGCCACTCCCCTCAATTGAATACGTCACATCTGGGAGGCATTACGCCAACACTGCCCATCTCTCTAAGGGAGTTTTTCTGGGTTTTTCTGAGTTTCGGGGAGATTTGACTGTACTGCAAGTTAATGAGGTATTCTGCAATAATTTACCGTCTTTTGGATGAGTCTATAGCACCCCTGGTGTCGGGCAAAATTTTTCACCCATAACTTATCTATCAAAAGGCGTAAGGTGGCTTTTATGCGAATGTAAATTAGTTACTATTCTCATTCGTATAAAAGCCGCCGCGTGACGATTTAATCAACTAGATTACTGCGTGCTCCCTCGGGAAGCAGTCTCTTGGTCCTTTACGGTCCCCAGGGAAATTCCCTAGGCCTTTTATACGCCCTAGCAAACAAATTCACCGTCTTCTCGCAAGTCTACTCTACAACGGGCAAGCAAGTTTCCCCACCCTCCTCCCCTTCAGCGGCGCTGGCAAATTTTCTCTATCAGCCCACCTTATGCCTTCTGCAAAATTTTTCACCCATAACTTATCTATCAAAAGGCGTAAGGTGGCTTTTATGCGAATGTAAATTAGTTACTATTTGAATGGAGCAGTGAAGACTGCAGACTGACTGCCGACTGTTGTTTTTAGGATTAGAAAACAATGGGACCATCGTTGTCACGTTTCATTTGCATGGTAACAATAGTCTTCAGTCTAAGTTGACACTGACCGGTACTTGAATTGAAACTGCCTAAAATATGCACACGGCGATTTGAGTGACGGTTTCTAAATTTGCATGCATGTGTAAAGTTTGTGTGACTTACTTGTAATTCTAGACTCGCCTCGTGATCCGGTCTTCTGATGATAAGTGTTTGATAAAGCGGCAAGTCACGAATCTCAAGAGTGCATTTTATTGCCTTTCCTCACGCGCAACAAAGACCTACAAAGCGATCGATCAGTGTTCAGCGTAAAACATGTCAGAGACACAAGTCAATGGCGTTGTTATCACGGACCAGAAACCTGGAAGACCAGAAGACAGCCGCGCTGCTCTTGTCGAACAAATGACCATTGAAGATGGCCCTGAAGAAGTGGAAATCGAGGACGATCGTGAGAAATGGGGAAAGAAGCTCGATTTCATGCTCTCGTGTATTGGGTATGCAGTGGGTCTTGGAAATGTTTGGAGGTTTCCATACTTGTGCTATGAGAATGGTGGAGGTACGTATCAGTTTATAAGATCAGGTTATCGATATCAGTTCTGACTGAGCAGCTTCTAAACAATGACATTCTAATGTGAAGTTACTGTGCTTTGTGCTTACAGTATATTGCGTAAGAAGCGAATCGTGTAAATATAGCTGGGCTGCAAACCAAGTCATTACGCCCCTGTTACTTCGCCCCCTATTCTAGAACGAGGAATATTATATTTGAAGCGAGCCTTTTTTGGTTTATGGCTTTAAAAACGAGGAATATTGATGTGGAGCGCGCTTGTTTTGCTTTATGGCTTATAGAACGAGTTGAATGTGCTAAGCCTCGTAGAGCCAGTTACCGCCAAAAACATGTAAACATGATGCGAATTTCGAGAACGATCGACCGTCGAAAGCCTTTGCGGCAAACGGCCACACTTCATGCATTTTTATATGCAGTATTGTAATGCACAAAAACAATGCTATAATCTGCATTACATAATTACAGTTTAATGTCGCCATTTCCCATTGTGTTTATTCTACTTTCATTCTGAATATTCTGAGATTTAATTTCGCCTTGGCGCTGACTGAGGTGAAAAAATGTATACGATCAAGATATGATCGATTGACGGGTATCTCAGCCATGTTCAGTCTGTGAGTTCCGTACTAGTCGTACTGTACGCGAAAATCCTTCTTATCTAGCAGCTTCTAGCCTTATTTAAGACTGGTTCTCATTTGCCGACGACCTTCAATGTTCACGTACAGGAAATTCATATACCGAGGGAAATAAGACACGAGACATCGCCTTTCTTTTATTACGTTTTTATTGATTTGTTAAATTACCCTGCGGCATCTCGGAGGAGTTAGTTTCCATCTAGCTTAATTCTACTCTCTGCTGTTGCTTTGTAGGGTAAAAATAATAGCCAAAGCTTCTAATTTACAGAGGAAGTGCCATTGGGATTTTTTTTCTTTTTACGTGAAGGCCACCTCATTTCTGTCATTAACAAATATGCAAACTCTTCGCCTGGTGTCACTTTTTGGCAGGCTGATCTGTTTCTGCAGGTGAACTAATTTCGAAGGCCATCGCCCCTTTTTAACAGAGAGATTGTATAAACAGTGGGCAACTTGCCATCTTTGACATCTTTCAACAAAATATCCCACACTAAGGCCGTTCTCACCCCTTCTCACACATTATTTCCAAATGCTTGATTTCGCCTATAATATAATTGCACCTAAACAATGAAACATGATCGCAACGATTTTTAGCGGCGACTCATGATCAGCAAGCAGTTGTATGGTCAGGACACCACGCTTCGAAGTAGTAGGGAAAAGGCAAAAAACAGGGTGAAACGTCTAAAAGGAGCTATGTCTCTGGATGTAATTCTTTTTAAAGATTTTTTCAGCAGTCTGGAATGATATAAGAAATAAAATCAACGGTATCATACTACTGAGAAACCGGCTCATAAGATGTACTTGCACCGCTTACCTAGATTAAGTTTGCTGCACAAAAAGAATGGTGGAAGGCAGACAGTTTCGATTCTTACTCTGCAACTGGCTTCAAACATCCTGGAAACTGTCGGACTGTTGAATTTAAACTTGACCTTGCACCCTCCGTAGTCTCCATACGTGACTACCTCAGCCAAATCTCGAGTGGAAAGAACACTCGAGGATTCAACGTCACCAAGTATCAAAACGTCTGTATGCAAAAGTAATAATGACTACTGACATCTAGAAAGATCAACTGTCTAGGATGGTGACAACATCGGAAACGACAGAATCGCCCGGTCCCGCCCGGTATTGTACGACGCAGGGTGATCAAAGTATAGGAAGTAAGCTGCGTTCCATTTATCGAGGCCACAAAATAAATATTTATATCTAGATTTCGTATGGCTGTAAAAAAAAAGAGAGAATACGAGTCCGCCCCGCCCCCAGAAAAAAAAATCAGAAAAGAGGGGTCCTCTGACCGATTTTCTCAGTGGCAGTGATCTTCGCCTCAGCCCACTACTTCCAAGCGCCTGCTACGCAGGCTACCCCAGCTCCATGGTAACCGTTTGGGGCGTTTTAAAATGATGTCAAGTCTGCCATTTTAGTGTCTCAAAACAATAAAACCGCGGTCATGTTGATGTCCCAAACCAGTCCGTTGGGAGTTGAACGTTTTTCTTGTGTAAAAACGGTCTTTTGTTCCGATAAATTTGCATAGCCGCTTGTCACGTCACAGTGTCCAGAGGAGATGTGTTTGTCGTTAGAACATCAAAACTCGTCGAAAACCTCTGAAAAAATGGGTTATTTTGTTCGCGTTACAGTTTCGTTACACATTCTATATACCGCAAACCAAAAGACTCAGGGCTCGCAAGATCGACTTATGATTTTCAAAATGGCGAACAACAAAGATCTGGGTCAGACAAGGAAGAAAGAAAAAACAGCCGCAGTATTATTACCAAAGCCATCTAAACTTTTTCTAGTACAGGGTTATGCAGATGGCAAGCCTCTGAGATGACTGACCCAGCCGATTTGATTCAAGCATAAGAACGTAATCACACTGCTAAATGCTTCCAAGACAACAAACACTTCTTCGCACAGACTGCGGCAATGACTGCCTACCGTTGTGGCATCAACCCCTCACCCTTCTCCCCTTTCCCCTCCCCTTTCCCCCCTTCCCCCCCTTTCCCCGCTTTCCCCTTCCCCTCCCCGAATTAAAAATTCTCTCTCTTTTCTGGATTAAAAGGGAAACTCGAGAAATCAAATGTATTTGGATAAGTTCAGTGTGCTCAACCTAATTGTATTAAATTACATCCTCTTTGGAATGCAATAGTGTGTCTTGTCTATAATTATGAATTGAATCGTTTAACTGTCAAATAAAAAAAAGTGGCTATGAAAGTTTTTGGATAGAGGTCATGAATTTGCCTAATCCGATGTATGATCTACTCAATAACTTTCAGAAGGCCGAATTCTTCAAAGGGGCGCCCTTTTGCGATGAACAAGATAGACAAGGGTTAGCCCAAAAATAATTCCGTTATAGCAAAGCGAAACGTTTTATTGTGTCCTTGCTTATTAGTCCTATTTACATTTAACTGACGTGGACATCGAAAAAGTTAAGTTACTTAAGGAATTAGATATATTTATATTTTGTCGCAAGAGAGAATGAGCTAGCTCTTTCTCTCTTGATTATCAATGAATTTTGATTTCTTCAAAAAACGAACTTTCATCTGGCAACTGTGTACAGCTACCGTATTTCCTCGAATAATCGTCCCCGATTATTCGAGGGAGGCGATTATTTCAAATATTGCTCACTGGAAGTCGTGTCCTAAATATTTTGTTGTATTATCCCATTAAATCAGAAAATGATCACTTCAAATAAACTGAACTTGGGCTTTTTAAGTGTTCCAAATTTGGTTACTTGATAAATTTTCAATGTCAATATCCTCGGTGTCAGAGCTTGGATCGCCACTGGTCAGTTTTGCTGGATCGGATTCCACTCTCAACTTGACAGGGAGGGGATAAAAGAAAGAGAAGATGGCGAGAGGGGTGGGGAGGGCATTGATAGAGGGACGGCTATTATTCCAGAAAATCTGATTGACTCAGTTGCCAAGAAATTAACGTAAAAACACAAAAGCACAAATGCGCAAATGTGGCTCTGAGTATGCCTAAGTCATTATCCAGCTTATATCGCCGCCGAGTGCTACGTAATTTCTTTTAGCTACTAACTTGTTATTTTTTATTTTTTATCATTATTTTTGGTGGGGAATACTGTTTTTGATCGTCATGTTTCTCGCATCTCCGTTTCGAACACTTTTAATATTCTATGGATCACTGTACTTGTACACGACGTGTCAGTCAGTAAGGGAGAGATCGAGAGAGCTGGCATGGTTCTTTTGAGCCGGGCTTTTGAGCGACGCGTTCAACGGGTTGAAGTTGAACGGGTCTCAATCACAGGATGCAGATCTTGGCAAACAAATAGGCCAGTTCTCTACCTTTTGTATCTTTACATTGGCTGAATTATAGTCTTTTGGAACCGACGGAGCTGACATGGTTCGTTTGAGCGATGCGTTGCGAGACTTGTTAAAGGTTTGATTGATGCTAAACGGCACCAAATCACAGGACGCAGATCTTGCTAAACGAACAGGGTTTCCTTCTTTTTTCTGTAAACTTACGTTCCCTGGATCAAGGGAATTTTTTCGTTTGACGAATTTCACCGCCTCTGTTGCACTGAGAGTTGTTGGTTTTCTTATCCGTAGCATCTCGAGCACAGCGTTCCTAAAACGGTGGTCTCTGTAGCAGTAAATTAAAGGATTAACTAAAGAATTTAAAAACAGAAGTGAATCCGATAACTTCCAGGCAAAGCGTGTATGAAGGGCTGGATAAACTTTTTCCAATATGATGACAATCACACCTGGGAAGAAAGAAAGAATCAGGGCGATGGTAACCACAGCAGTCGTCATTGCAACTCTGTTTTCGAGTTTTGCTTGTATCAACGCCTTGACTTGGTGAATTTGATTTAACTTGCGTTTGCGAACCCCAAGGTAGATCATAATGTAAACAAACACAATCAGAACAAGGATACACGCTATCAAAACACCCCAACCGATGCTAAGGATGGTGTTGGCTAAAGCCAGGGTCGTTGTATCCTCTCCAACCGCTGCCGTCATTATTTCCCTGATGACATATTGAAAGCATTGAGCTACTACCGCTATAACCCATGCTACTATCGCCATCTTTTGTAATCGGCTTCTAGTCACTATAGTTTTGTAATCGGCCTATCTTCGTATAGCTATGTACCGCTCCCATGCAATCATTGTCAGATGGATAAGAGAGCAAAATGACGAACTGAACATCAGCATATAAGCAACCAAGTTTATCAAACAATAATGCTGGACTACCAGTATTTGATAGGGAAGTAACAGTCCAACTAAAGCAGATGGAGGGGGTCATCTAGGCCCTGAGATAATGGGGAACCGGGTCTCAAAATAAATTTTTTTCGGCCCTTCTGGCCTCAGTTTGGTCTAAGAATTAGGGCCCGGGCGCCCGGGTCCCTCCCCTGGATCCGCCACTGCAGTGCATGTGAAAAGGGCAAGAACTATCAGCTGATATTCTTTTTTCAGTTAATCTTGTACTTATGCTTTTCCTCTTTCACGATTTAGTATTTTTCGCGTTTTATTCATTCTAAATTATTTCAGGCCCTAGAGTGCGTCATTCCTTCGCTCAGTACGCAATTTTACTGACGAAAAACAACCCGATTCAAGTACCATAAGAAAACAGAACAGCTGCTAAGCTGCAAAGGATTCAAAATAAATGACCACATATACCTAAAGGCTTTATTTTTGAAAGGAAGGAAAAGAATAAAGAAACATTTACGAAAAAAATGCAAAATAAAACTGATCAAGGCAGGATAAAAGGGCGCCAGAGAACATCACCATCGAATTGGAACGCTCATTGCACTGAAACTAGCCATCGATATATTAAAATTCATACTTGGCTCCGAGGTTTGGGGTATAAAACAAAATGTTAAATATATTATTCATTGCTGAGCCTCAAGATGATTTCTTTTGTTTTATTTCCCCAAGCCTCGGAGCCAGGTATGAATTTTAATATATCGAATTTGGTCCATTAAAAATCATTTCACTCATGTACAGCGTGATAAACGCATCGTGGTGAATTGCCACTGTGTAGATTACATAATTATATTCGAATAAATTATCCTATACGGCATATTAATGCACAATAACACCGGAAAATCCTAGCGAAGTTCTAAAGAGTTGTCAGTTATTATTGTTATGAAATTATTTCCCATTATTGCTCGTTTTCGAATTGTCAGAAATCGTCAGTGTTTTGTTAATCATTTTTCTGCAAGTAAACTAATTAAAAACTTACTAATCTTACTACGCGAACGTACCACCAAAAAGGTATCTTTGAATACACATCAACATAGTATTTTGTCCACTTTGGACTTGGGCCGGAAAATTGCTTAATAAATGATTCGCGTATATTCATACAGCACATAAGCTACTAAATGAAGGTGAATTGCTTCATATTAAAACGGCTGATTCCGGATCGACAGGTTTTGGCAAACTAGCGGCTAAATCTGCAGTATAATGAATTTTTCCTCTTGTACTCTAAAAGTGGCCATGAAAACGTTGTCATATGGTCTCCGTACAAATTTTCGCCAATTTTATTTATGGCAACAATCAGTTGATTGATAGTAAACAAGTATTTGTGTTCTTCATGATTTATTCATACTATAGATTGTTTGGGTGCATAAAAAAAGACACGGACTCAATCAAAAATATCTGTTTAAGCCCTTAAAATAAGGCCGTCCCGGAAAGTAAATTATATGAACTCGCAAGCTAAATCACAGGATGCAGTTGTTGGCAAACAAATAGGCCAGTCAGTTTTTACCTTTTGTACCTTTGCATTCGCCGAGCTACTATCTTTAGGAAGCGACGGCGCTGATATGGGTCTTTTTAGCGAAGTGCCCAATGACCTAAGATGAGCTCGATCTAAGCTGAACAGGGCTAAATTACAGGATTGGGACCTTGCTAAACGAACCGGATTGTTTGCTTTCTCTATCCCTACGTACTCCGGACCAAGTAAATTGTTTTGTTTCACGCATCTCACCTCTTCTGTTGTAAGAACTGTTGGTTTTCTGATCCTCAACATCTCGAGCACTGCTTTCTTAAAACGGGGATCTCTATAGCAGTAAATTAAAGGATTAACTAAAGAATTTAAATAAAGAAACGAGTCCGATATACGCCACGCAAAACGCGTACGAAGGACTGGATAAACTCGTCCCAGTGTACCGACAATCACATGAGGGACGAAAGAAAGAATCAGAGCAATCGTAACCAAAGCAGTCGTCATTGCAATTCTGTTTTCGAGTTTTGCTTGTATCAATACGCTGACTTGGAGAATCTGATTTAGCTTGCGTTTGCGAACTCCAAGGTAGATCATGATATAAAAAACCACAATCAGAACTAGGATACAGGCTAAAACACTGGCGCTACCGGTGACAAGGATGGTTACCGCTAAAGCCAGGGCCGTTTTATCCTTGCCAACAGCTATTGGCATAACGACGAATAGACAGAATTCACCTACGAGCACTGTACCCCAAGTTAAAATTACCATCCTTTTCAAACGGCTTCTAGTCACTATAGATTTGTAATCACTCCATTTTCGAATGGCTATGTATCGCTCCCAAGCAATCATTGTGAGATGGATAAGCGAGCAAAACGATAAACCGAACATCAGCATTGAAGGTACCAAGTCCATCAAACAAAAAAGCTGGACAGCCACTATTCGATAGGGAAGTAACAAGGCAACTAAAGCCGATAAAGGGACACCAATACCACCTATAAGAAGGTCTGAAAATGCCATACTTGAAAGAAGGATATAGGAAAGTCTCTGCCGCAGTTCCATCTTTTGCTTTACTGCTAAGATTGTTAATGTGTTCAACAGAAATGCGATGGGAGCGGTTATAGTTGCAAAAGCAGCAAAAATCCAAGGAGAAGTTGTGTCATGTAGGTCGAACGCCACACCTGGTCCGTGTGTCGAGCAATAAAACACTGAGCTGGTGGTGTTGGAAAAGGCTGTCGAAGCTGCTTGTTCTTCCCCGTTTCGGTCCATAATGATATAACGCTGTTCTCAACTGTTTTCTTAGAGGCCTATTCTGAATTCGAGCTACCGTTGTATCTCGGTAAGCGTCCCATTCTCGCAAAGCGTGATTTTGTGGCTGTTGTTCAGGAATGATGTTAAGAAATAAGCTTACGGACTTAGGTCTGACTGATCAGTACAGTACGTGCTCCTCTTTACCTCGAAGAAAATCATCTTCAGTGGGCTGATACCTCAGTTGTTTTTCACTAAGTCAAGTTCCTACGCTTTTGCCCTTCATTCATAGTGTTTTTGTCTCAGTGTTGAGTCATTTGACGTTTATGTCGCCTCACAATTGTAAGAAAACAACTAGATTTCAAGAGCTTGGGAAATAACAGCTGCTATACGCTGCAACAGATCGATTCAAATGTTAAAATAATTTTCACACACCCAACTCTTATGATGGTAAAAGGAGGAAAATAATCGATCAAAAAACAACCAATCAAAGCAAAAATAAGGATCGTGGGAAATTCCATTTGAATAACCACGCGGCAGCTAAGAATTGATTCTTCTACGGCATAATTAACACTGAGTCTGCTTAGTCACCGGAACATCGTAGCTATCAAAGCGTTTTTCTTCTCCTCGTCCTTTTTGTTGTTGTTGTTGTTTGTTTATTGTTGTCAGGCTTCCAACATCAACTGTTCGATTAGATGTATTTTTAATTTTGCTCCTAACAAAACTTCAAAATGTCCCTGTCTTCTTCGCGTTAAGCTAAAAATTTAATGTCCTTCGGTTTTCCCCCTATACATTAAATGAGGAATAATTAGAAAATAAGGTAGAAGAGGGGGCACTTTCTAGGTGTTCTACCAATAAAATCATATTTTTACTTTTAATTATCTTTTCTTTCTATTTACTTCATTTTATTTATTATTTTTTTCGTAGTAAGTTAACTGCACTTTGGGTCTTCCCCCTTCTCTCTACCCCCTCATGGCACTGTTCCCTACCAGTCCCGTCTCCGGTAGGGGACGTGAAAATGATGTCCTCCATTAGTACTTTCGTACCAAATAGTTTGACAATCAAATGAAGTGCATTATTTTATTTTATCTTATTTATTTTTATTTTTGGCAGCAACCTTCTTGATTCCGTACTTCATAATGCTTGCTATCAACGGAATCCCTCTGTTTTACATGGAACTTGCAATCGGCCAGTACCTGAGTCTTGGAACAGTAGGAGCTTGGACAGCTCTCTGTCCCATTGCAAGAGGTATGTTGAACAGTGAAGAAAGCGCAGAAATACGATCATAGATGCCACGATCTACACAACACCACGGGCAGACCACCCTCTGTTCGTCACTTTTTTGTCCTCACTAGAGGAAGTACAGATGAACATTACGGCGGCTAGAATTTACTCCAAAATACAGATTATTTTGAACTTCAAAGTTCATTTGAAGTTCAAGTGAAATGCTAACTTAGTCATTTATCATGTTTTTTTCGCCGTCCCGAGCTGTTATTTTGCTAGATAAATATTTCATATGTCAATATATGTCAAATATTTATCTCGCAAAATAACCGACGCTTTTTTTTTTACATCAAAAGACTGGCGTTTGAATTAATGCAGTCCAACATGTCGAAACCCCGTGAACACGTACGCAACAGTGTTGGATGTTACATGTTGCCTCCGTTTGCACATCCTGTTGCATGTCGTCTAGTCCCGTGCAAACGGAAGCAACATTATTGGATGTTACAATCTTGCGTCCGTTTGCACAGTACCCTGATGCATGTTGGTGCGTGTTGTTGTGCAAAGTTTGAAACCGGTTAAACATTTGAACCAATAACTCCCAACATTTATTTTGCTCCGTTATATCTCCGAAGCGTAGTGCAACGATGTTGGATCCGTTTGCACAGCTCTTCCAATATTGTTTGGGCCACGCACTCGCATTAAACGTGATCTCCAAAGTCTTATGAGTTGTGTCCAACATTGTTGGGAGTTGTTACATCAGTTTGCACACCACTGCCGACATGGACGCAACAACTCCCATTGTTGTGTAGCTGAAAATTTCTTCTCAACAGCGCGGTTCATTGGTTACTTCGTGGTCACATGACATCTCACATGAAACTGTTTCCCGCCAAAATTCTGAGCGGGCAACATTGCAAAAAATCTATGACGTCAGAGGGTAACAATGCAATGTTACCCGCGAATGTTGACGGCTGATTCGCAGTTACAGCGAAGTTTAATGAATTTCCAGCTTCAAAATTTCCAGCTATATAAGACTGGTCCCTCGGGAAACAGTGAATTTTGTTTCCCAACAATTCGCCTCGGGAACATTGAGATTCTCGGGAAACAAAATTAACTGTTTCCCTCGTGACCAGTCATTAACTGTTTAAGGGTGAGTGGACCACACAGGAATTTCGACTGTGGAGTGACCTATCCAACTTTTCATGTGCCGAATCTAATGCATAAATTACTATAATTTATTTTGAATGGTAAGCATTGTAGATCATTCGGTACATCATGAAATTGAATTGACTTCGACTTATTAAATTCGACGTTTGTCAACCGTCGAACTTGTATCATTAATTGGGTCGACTCAAATACATGCATGAAGGGTATTAAGTTCGGCGTATGAAAAGTTCAACGTTTGAACTAGGCCTTAGAACTCTATCCTGAGTTTACCGTTTCTCCTCAGGAATTGGATTTGCGATGATCATGGTGTCTCTACTAGTGTCCATTTACTATAATCTGATTATCGCCTGGTGTCTTCTCTATATGTTCGAGGGCTTCAGAAGCGACGTGCCATGGAGAACCTGCGGTAACAAGTGGAATACTAAACTTTGCCAGTGAGTGGTAGATTCCTACTTCCTTAACACAGTACTGTAAGTTACTGAAAAAATGCCATATATAATCAGATAAAATAGCAATGACAAAAACCATTGTTAGAAGTATGCAAGTTTTTTATTTTCTATGATTTGAAACAGCCTGCCGTTGAAACGTTTGGCTCCTATAAGACCAATCTCTCACAGTTTTAATCCTAAAACCGGAAGTACCTAATTCATACGGCGTATTCATTCATTCATTCATTTATTTATTTATTCGTTTTACAGAGAAGGTTCGGTTAACGTGTCAGCCTTTAATTGCACTGCACTAGGTTATGCTGCTGGTTGCAAGAGTACTTCACCGTCCGAGGAATTTTTCAAGTAAGTGTATAGCGATATCGACATTTGCTGGTTAATGGTAGATTAACTCCCAAACATCCCTAGAATGTACCCGAATTCCGTGTTGAGCAGACTCTGTCTGCAATCATTTCAACCCCTGAGAGGCACCTAAACTCAGTTGAGAAGCAAAAACCTCACGCCATTTTTCGGCTTCGAAAAGGTTCCGCGACAAAACAACAGTGGTGCTAATCCACAAATTTTACTCCCTAAAAGGCACGACCAACATCCCCTTCATTTTGATATGAGAGTATACCCCCCTCACCCACCCACCACGAATAAGCCCTGGTCAGATTTGCAAAACGTCAAGAGCTCCACCCACTCCTTTTCCTCATATTACTACCAACACTCGAAGACACTTTCATCAGTCTTTGTGCTCAGTATAGTAACCTTTCCAAGACCACAACCGGTGCGATAACTTCTATTGAAATGTTTTAAGGTAATGCGGTGACGTTATCACTCTAATGCCTGTCATTGTAATATGCTCTTCTTTACTCAGCCGTCACATTCTTCAAATATCCGACAGTATCTCTGATATGGGTAGCGTTAGCTGGCAAATTGTCCTGTGCTTGGTTCTTGCTTGGATCATTGTCTACTTGTGTCTCTTCAAAGGAGTAGCGTCTTCTGGAAAAGTAAGTCATGATCATTTAAGTGTACTACAATTTTCATATTCCTCTATTATAAGGGAATTCGAATTCTGGAATCCGGGTAATGGTTGCTTGTGGAATCCGGACCCTTGCAAATTTTGGTTTGGAATCTGCAATAAAGCTTATTGAAGAAATCCGGCAACCCACTAAAGATTGGAAACCGGAATCCAGTACCCGGAATCTGGAATCCACGGCGTGGAATCTCGAATGCTAGACTGCCTTGGACTCCCTCATGGGGCGATAGAATTAAATACGTTGAAAAGGCAACATAACTCTGTCTTTTAACTGGCGGTTTTTTGACAAGAGGTACTATTTATCAATAACCCAGAGTCTCGATACCTCACGGCTCGCAGAAGTATAGTAACGAGCTGTGCCAATTCTTGCTCATTTGATCAGCCGCAAAATATGGAAATGTACCATAATCTCGTACCGAGATCTCTTGTCGACGAAGAGATCTGGGTACGAAATTAAATGTACCAGTTGCGCTGAGCTGCGCTGTTCTTTTTTCATGATGATGATGATGATTATTATTATTCAAGCCAGTTTAAAACTTTAACTTACAAACTCATCTTCCTTATGTGTTCCCCAAGCTTAAACTTTCACCACACATTTAAATATGTACCTATCAACATTCCAGTCCTAGTAATATACAGAATGTTTGTCACATGGACCTAGTCCTTGGTAGCCTTAGCTCCCAAGAGTCTCCTGTAGCTCAGTGGTAGACCAAAAGGACGGGTAACCAGAAGGACGTAGGTTCAACTTATCTTGGGAAAACTCGGACTTTTTTCCGAGTCGCCTTTGTGATTGACTGAAAAAGAAACGTCATTTTCAAACTCAGCGGGCTTTTTGATAGGTCTTCGGTCAGCTGTTTAACTATTAAGCGAATAAGGTTTGAAATGGTTGTCGTTTAATCATTTTCAATAAAATATCTTCAGTTTGAAACTTTTTTAGAATACAAAGAAGCTCATATCCCTATTTTGTTACTCATTATCAGCAAGCGTGAGCTAATACGTCGTCAGATTGATTAAAGAGAACGATAATCTTAGTTCAGTAGTTATTAATAAACAGGCCCCTTGCTCCTTATTTATGAACGGATTATTGTAAGTAAGTGTTGCTGACGTTGCAGAATTCCTCTTCAGTTATAGTGTTTCTATTTCTGTTGTTGTTTTTGTTTCTGTTGAGTGATGTACAATACTGTCACTTTATTTCAGGTCGTCTACTTCACTGCCACCTTTCCATACATCGTTCTTTTTATTCTTATGATTCGTGGAGCTACACTCGATGGATCATTAGACGGAGTGCTCTTTTACCTCAAGCCAGACATTGCTAAGCTTAAGGACCCGAGGGTATGAACATTTTTTTTTAATCTTCCCTGAGTGTACAGCTGGTGTACTTTGTTATAAACAGACTTAAGACGTGAAAGTGTTTAAGCTTCTTCGCTACTATATTCCGTAATTATTTCGTTTTTTGAAAGCGCGAATTTCTTTGCAGTAGTTAAAATCACGTGCCGCTAGATAATAAGCTATACATGCAGTAGTCATTTTATTCCTTCCATTCTTTCAATAAAAATTTTTATTATGGGCCGATTTTAAAACCTCACAGGGAATATCAGATATTTAGATTTATCAGAAGGGGGAAACAACATAAATTTATGTAGCAGCAAAAGAGCCACGAACTCGAGAAAATAGCCTTCATTTGAACCTTTATGTGCTACCAACTCTGCTATCGTGAGCGACCACACCCAATCATGTCATTGAAGCGGGAAGGGAGGAGTCGCTTACGGTACGTTTGGTTACTGTGTTACATTACTGTATTACATTAATCTCTAGGTCTGGGTTCGAGCAGCATCTCAGATTTTCTATTCTTTGGGAGTAGGCTTTGGATCTCTGATTACCTTTGGAAGCTATAACAAGTTCAATAATAATTGTCAAAGGTACGGAAACACTACAGCTTGGTTTTCCTTGATATAATCAAGTTCAATAACAAAACAAATTGTCATACAGCTATGTGCCGCCCCAACCGGTTGGGTTTTTGGGCCTTTTTGACCTGAAATGTCCATGTTGGTCTGAAATCGGGCATGGTTCTCGCGGGAACAACGGGAGCGTATGAACGTAATTATCGTTTCAGTTCCAAATGAATAAGCATGAAATTCGAAGTGCATTTGAAGAGATTTTTTGCTTATGCTCTAATGTAAGTAATGATGACATATTAAACGGGTCTGGAAAAAACTGAAAACAGGATTTTACGGTGGGCGTAATGGAAGCTCGCAGCGACCTTTGTGAGAAGAATCTTCGAAATCTTTAAAACTCAGGTCCTTATTTTAAGAAATTTATGAAGACAAATTACACTTTGTGTTAAACAATGTTTATAAAATTTTTGTTTTTAATTAGTCTTCACCCATTTTGAAATCATTTTGAATTTCGAAAAATTTCGTGACACGTCTCCTTTAAGCCTGGATTTCATAAAATTTCATAGTTCTGAAAGTTTTTCGAGATCAGAACTGTTCGTGCATCATTAATAATTTTCAAAGGAAGTTTTGTTTGTCTTTTAGGCATTTCTTCTTCGTTTTGAAGGTAATCCGAAATCTCAACAAAAGGATCATTAAATATCCATACACACTATCAATATATGAAAGAGTATACATTCTAGCAATAAATCGGCATCAATTAAAAGAATTAACTAAAGATTTTTTGGTTTATTAAAAATTGATTGCGGAGCGTGCGCGCATTTTCAAATTCAAGCGCTCACCAAGCTATAGTGCGCGCGAGTCAAGCTATAATCTTCAGTCCGATACTGCGACATCACCAACGATTCAGACATACAAATTTTTGTGTTTTCTACAGGGACGCCATCCTTGTAAGCTGCATCAATTGCGGTACAAGTTTCTTCGCAGGGTTTGTCGTGTTCAGCGTGCTGGGATTTATGGCCCACGAGCTTAAGACTAGTGTTGGGGAAGTGGTAACGTCAGGTGAGCCTTGTCTGAACTACTTAAATTTAATGAACATGTCACTGACATAATGGGGCTAAACAAGTTATTAGCTGTAATTGGTATGCGCTCAGATGCGTAGATAGGATTTTTCAAAGGAAATAGGGGCACATTGTGTGACACGCAGAGAACTTACTAGGTTGTCAAATGTCGACATATACATTGCACAAATAGTAGTTGAAACTTTTAAAATGGGAAGTTTTAAGGAGGAAGTAAACACATTACGAAAAATGAAATAATCCTTTCTCTTTTTGAACTAAATGTCTGCCCCAAGCATTCATTTCCAACATAAAATCGCTATATTTCACAAATTGAGCTGAAGAGTTTGGAGTAATCGCAGAACGCAATGCACCTTTTGTACGTTGTTATTGTCAATGTCGCGCGCAGTTGTGATTGCACGTTGAACAGGCTACCCAGTGTATCCTCAGAAAAAGGGGAACCTAGGAGTTTTGAACTGACTGTAACATAAATTTTTGTTCTGTTGTTAGGTCCTGGACTTGCCTTTGTCGGTTACCCAGAAGCAATTGCCCAGATGCCTGTCAGTTCTATGTGGGCTTTCCTGTTCTTTTTCATGCTTCTTACGCTGGGGTTGGACAGTCAGGTAATGAAAAATCTTATGCCGTTACAGATTTCAGTACTGATGGTGAGAGCAAGCTAATGCATCAAATTAGACGAATATTTTAATTGCTGAACTCTATTAAAGTACCCTCTTAAGGTAGTATCTCTAAACATTGAAAGAGCATAGCAATATTAATTATCTCTGAAAATTCGAACCCGTACACCGTATAGATCCGAAGAAATTCTGTTTTAAAAACTGGACGTCTTACAAAGAATTTATGTTTTATTAACTTTTTTGCCATCCAGCAATTTTAAAGTTTTTGAAAGCTATTATTTACTTTAAGAATTGTTTACGGAGACCTTAAAATTGTTATTTTAACTTTTGAGTTTGATTTGTACATACGGTGACGCCTGTTATAACAAGTTATTAGTATTATTTTTCGTAATTGTTGAACAGTTGATTTTGCCTTGCAAGTAGAAAATTATCTTAGGCGTGTAACCACATCCTATGACGAATAATAGAATTGACTCGGTTTGTTTTTATCAACCGTAGTGGTTTTGATTGTAATCGCTTTATGCGCGGTAAATAATAATTAAGGTAGATAATGTGGGATATGTTAAGGAAATAGGTATCACGCTCATGTTTGAGATCGCAAGAAATAATAGTGAGCCTTTGCCAAGTTCGGTTTGCGGCCGGACATACGTAGTTAAGGCGTTTACTTGTGGTAACCATAAAACTAGTGAGCATTGTAATTTTGAGTAGAACGTTTAGAACGATTGTGATGTACGAATGAACCAACGAAATAAAGCGAAAAAAAGTGAAAGATACAGTCCTGATTGTTTATTGAACCAGCGGACGCGGAGATATTCCAAACGCAGTGGAAGATTCCGCAACAACGCCCTCTATGGGTCAACTCCGTCGAGCAAAAAGTGTAAACAATGGCGTCAGCAAAGCTTCGTCCGTACGATAAACTGCCTTCACCACTTCTGTCTGTATTTTTATTGATGTTCTTTATGCTATTCAAACGTCATTTCCCTAATTTAACTAGCTTATTGGTATTGCTGATTCAAGATAAATATGGCATCAGTCCTTATTTTGGGAGCAAGGGTGGCGCAGTAGTGAGAGCATTCGCCTCCCACCAATGTGGCCAGGGTTCAAATTACGTGCTACGACGCCATGTGTGGGTTGACTTTGTTGTTGGTTCTCTCCTTTGCTCCGAGAGTTTTTTGTCTGGGAATGGATGACGAAGACCCACTTTGTAGTTGTGCTACCTCTAAAACGTTATTTTGTTTGTTTATTTATTTATTTACTCATCCTGTCTGTTTATAGTTTGCCATGGTGGAGTGCGTGGTAACAGGCCTTTCAGATGAGTACCCTAAATACCTCAGACGTTACAAGCCTGTTTTCTTGATTTCCGTCTGCGTTTTGATGTTTCTTTTAGCCATCCCCATGTGTTCTCAGGTAGGATTTGTTAACTATTGTCTGTAATTTGGGGTGCGTGTCTCTAGGCCAACACAAAGCTAGATTTATGATCTCAGATAGAAGATCGTAATAACTTGTTACATGGACGAGCAAACCTAAGACTGTCATTTTATCCCGCAGCATTCTCGAATAAATCTGTATTGTACAGCGGTTTTCCGTGACTCACATACTGAACTTGCATCGCATCCAGGACTTCTTAAATGGAGAGAGCGAGCAAAAAATGTCGTTACTGAGTGTAAGGACGGCCATGATAAAAGTGTCTAAATTTTACAAGCCTCTTAAAAGCGGTAAGGCTAAACGTTATTGTCTTCTTCTTCTTTTTTTTTTTTGTCAGGGGGGTATGTACGTTTTCAACCTGTTCGACATCCAGTCAGGTGGAATTTCTCTTCTTTTTATTGGATTCTGTGAAGCAGCCGTCATTGGTTGGGGAGTTGGTGAGTATATATTTTCTTTGAAACCCAGAAACAATTAAACGTGAAAACCAAATTATAAATTGATTTTTGAGGTTTATTGTGTTGTAAGAAAACGGGTAATGCGATGTGGGAAAACTAAACCACAAACAGTTACAGCAGTAGGTTTAATAAGCAGAAGACAGACGACTCAGCTTAAGAACGTGAATGCACTTAATAAGTGACTTTACCATTTCCTTATGACTGCTTTTAAAAGGTCTCCTACCAATTACTGATGGGAAGATCTTTCTCGTTTTCTCCCTTACCTTACTTGACTGCTTGAAAACCGTAACTTCTTGTGACAGCCAACGTTCCTCCTATATTTTTTACATGAGGGGGCCACCCTCCTTCCCTCCCGCGGGACGAGTACTGTTAGGATATGTTCACACTATACCAGATACGTCATACGCCTACCCAGAAACCATTGCGGATAGGGCTTCTGTTTACACATAAGAAACAATGATTTCGGCCCGATTTCTGTAACGGAAGGAAGCGGCGCCGCGCCGATCTTGAAAGTGGCTCGTCATGAACATATCGAATAGCTTTCTGTTACTCGTCCTCGCAGGGTGAACAGGTGTGAGCAGGAGCGAGGGTTGGAACCCACTTCTAGTAAGCGGGAGTAAATATTCAGGAGCGAGAATTGTGATTTAGTGTATCAAGCCCTCTCGGCCAATCGCTCTTCTAGGATTCTTTGTGTAAAAGCGCCTTGTTTTATTCCCGAAAAGCCATCTGGTATGTCTGGTATAGTGTAGACAATTAGCCTTAGTGGTAAGGGGTGAAGATTTTCGGCCGTAATATTGCAGTGTTCAAGAGAGTCAATAGAGGTAGCTTTTTACGTGACATGTTAACATCCAGCATGAACTCAACATTCAAACGCGTCTTGTATTTCTAATATTTCAGGAACAGAGACACTCGCTGAAATGATCGAAAAGATGATTGGCCATCGCCCCAACATGTTTTTCCTCATTTGTTGGAAATATGTATCACCAATCGCAACTCTGGTATAGTTATTTCATTTTTAACAAGATTATCTTCGCCTTATTTGCGACATTACGGTCACTCCGTTCCATTGGCACTTTCCTCCAAGTCAGATATTTCCGTGGCAGTAGATACAAAGAATGGGAAATACTTGAGCACGAGACATCGTTCGGTACTGAAAAGATGTGGCAAATGATTTAACTTGGTTTTCTGACACTCGTTTAGTTAGAAAGACCCTATTCTCTTTGTGGGAGGTAGCGCCGGCATGCTGTTTTAACAAACCGAATGATCAGACTGCGCCGGGGGAGGGGGAAGGGAGGAATAGGGAACAAAGTGAACTTGAAATGCGGTCAAAGGTATTCCGTCCGCAGGAATCCACTAACTTGTTCCCGAGCTCCTAAGATCCCTCGTCGTGTCGTGTTATTTATTTTATTTACAAAATCGCATATTTCCCCTTCGAAAACGGACGTTGTCTTTTGTAATCGTCGGCTCGACTAGTGGTAGCCAAGCCTTTTAACGTGTATAAGATGTAGTACATGAAAAAGTTTCTAAATAGACTTAAGCTCTGTCGAAGTATAGGCTCTGGCTGATTTTACGTAAAGCGCTCGGGGGGAAATGCATTATTTACGAAAGATAGAAATATACTAGTTTTTCGAGCAGATAATTCTGGCAACTCAGGTGTTGATAAATTGTAACCTAGAGGGTCCAAATGGTTACACGTAGCCCATAAAGGCTTTTTTTAAGCCAAAAATTTTGCTATAATTTAGCTGAATAATCGCTACAATATAAAAGAAGGCAATGATCTCATTTTAACTCTTTCCTTTATAGGTCATCATCTTAGCTAGTTTGGTTCAGTGGACTGGTATATCATACGATAACAAGCCGTATCCTGCATGGGCCGAGTTCTTCGGTTGGCTTCTTGCAATTGCATCTATGATAATGATTCCAACATTTGCGATTATACAGTATTTCTCTTCCAGCCAAGAAGGCTCATTTGGTTCGGTGAGTGTTTTATTTTCTCTGATGGTTGAGCCTCCGTTTTACTTTAACCCGTGTGTGATCTGTTTTCAGTATTCGAACTGAGATATGAATGTTTCGGTCATCAGATGGAGACGACCTTATTTGGCATGAAATAGTTAAACTACTTAAACTACTCATGCGGCGGGATAAATAATTAAACTTAATTTCGGTAGTGGGCAAATACAAGAAATGCAAGCAAGAGTGAAGTTGGGATAAAGAGCGAGCATTTTCGCTTCGCTTTAGCTCTGAACACCTGGAACAGGATATAACCTGGTGCAATGAGCAATCTAAACTAATGATCGCTGGCCTTCCTCCTTTTTTTTGCGGGGTGTTTCGTAGATAATTAAAAAATACAATAATAATAATAATAATAATAACAAATAAATAAATATTATCAACCCTATATAGACCGGGCTTTTTTGCTTTCTTTGACCAGGGAGGGAGCTTCCGAGGCTCCCCTCTATATCTTCATGATATCGTGATACGGCCACGACAGAATTATGTACTCACCATTTCCAACATCTAGGTATTACTTGATTGACACAATGATGTAATGTGAGGTCATAATGACGTCCTATTGCTGAATTTATTGGCGGTATCCAAGTTACTTCAATTTCCCCCTCAAAGCGAAAACTACCTAGGTATAAATACTAGTAAAGTGTCTGACGATATCAAGAAGTTGACTAACACATTAATAATATCTAACAATAGTAGTGATGTCATGATGAAGTCATTTATTACTGAAGAAGGATCTAGAAGTATCCACCATTATCGATATCCGCCATTTTGAATTAATTAAATTATTCCATACTTTAAAATGTTTCCAGATAATTCTTTAAAAAGGCCTATCGGTCTAAGTAGGGTTAAAAATAAATACATTTCGTCAGTGCTGAGGTATAATTTTCCTTTTTTTTGCAGAGGATGAGGTCACTGCTACTTCCCGATGAACACGTGATGAATGAGGTCAACGAAAGAGAGGGAGTTAGCAGAAAGGCTTTGGACATTAAATAAAACTTGCAAGGTATATTGAATTCCTGTTTTCTCAGACTTATCTTAACTGGAATACTTTTTTCTTTGACAAATAAAAGAGTGATCAAATTAACCCTCGAATGTACAAGGGAGGGAGGGGGTGGGGCTGCCACCCCTGTCTGAGGTTTTTCTGAGTTTTTTCCTAGGCGATAAAACATCACGTTTGCACTAGCTGTTCGTTTTTCCCTCGCGCCCAATTTGAGACAAGTTTTGTGATGGACGGGTTACTATGGCTGCAAAATTTGACGTCATAAGTAGCAGCTGGTCAAGAAGTAAAGTAAAACTTGCGCATAAAATGATGCGAAGTACTTATTTATGGGTTATTTTACATATCAAGCACAAAAAATTACCAATTGTAGCCGTTTTTAGCTGATTTCTAATTCTTGGTGAAATCCAAGATGGCGACCATGTTTGGTAATGTCACAGGCCTCCAGCAGCGCCACCACCCATAAAATATATTTCATCATGTTAAGACGATCAAAGGCTTTCCACTGAACGCAAATCGTTTCGAAATATTTCAACATATCAAAAACTCTAGGGAGGGGTTCCGTCAACCCCCTCTTGTACCACGGTGGGGGTATGACTGCGTGTATGTACGAGGGTTAAGTTCTTGTTAGGTTTTTCTCAAAGAGGTGCTTCCATTTTGTGTGGTAGTCGATCTTTCTTGTACACAATATTAAACCATGAGAAACCCATGCCTGGTATTCAAGCGAGTATGACAATGTATAATCTTGTATTATACCATGTTATCGCCGGTTTTTATATTATCTTTTTATATAATTCTTTTTTTCGTCGTTCGATATCTTTTCTCTTTTTTTAGTAAAAAACTAGACTTATCTCAAGACCAAAATCAAACTGTCTTTTCCGTTAGTGTTTTAGGAAATCACTATTCAATAGGCTTCCTGTTTTCCTCTTTTTCTCTTTTCAGCAACCATTATTTGACCGGTTTCCACGAAGATTGACACTTATCCTAGAGGCCTGGTCGAGAGACACGACTGCAGTTGTATTATATGTATTAATGTGATATACTAGTATTTTGATAGAATTTATTTTGAAGGCCTGCTGGTTTATCAGGAAATATACTAATTTTGCTAACTGTTTGAGTGTGAAATAAAAATCGCTGCTTCTATTTATCATTTTTTATTCCGCTTAAAGCTGCATGTCAGTAGGGCAAAAGAAATATTGAGCTAAGAAATGCATGCTGTATTTGGACTTTAAATTTTATGGGTGTCGTTATCCCGGGTTTTGTAAGTATAATGGCAAAAAACACTTGTAACCATTTTTAAGGGAAAAACCTTTATTCCTACGATGCTACAAAATACACCTTTTAGCTCACTTAACCCTTTACGCCTTACGAGTGAGCATCATCAAATTTCTCCTTGATACTTAGGGCCTGTTTACATGAAGGTGGGAGACACCAGGTAGGTGGCGTAACCCGCCTGTCCACATAATCTCTCAGTTTAATGTGATCACGTTTACATGTTAGGTGGGGTGACCCCGCCACATGTTACTTCACCCACCTGAGGTCCCCCACCTCCATGTAAACAGGCCCTTAAACAAATTCTCCCCAGCACTTCTACAGGAAACGTATAGGGGTGACAAATGAGAATCTGAATTTTGATATTAGCTTTCAAGGGGTAAACCTAACATATCAATTGCAGGTGACGCAATTTTATTAGAAACCACGCGCAACGTTTTCATAGGGGCCGTCCCTGAAGTTTTTCACAAGCTCTTCAAGATTCAGTTTCAGATGGATATTTCGGACGGAATTTTTTTTTTCATGGGATGTATGATCATATTAGAGTTTTAAAGAATTGCTTACGCTATTTTGGTTAGACTAAGTAATGCGATGTAACATGATGTGTATTAAGGATATCCACGTTTACTTTTCAGTGTCAGAATAAATTTATTGTAAACTATCTCCTGGCGCCTTGTTTGTTTTCCTTCTACGCATTTTTTCCCCTACAGCTGTACTTACATTTTTATGGGAAAACAAGAATATTCCGCAAAGGTTCGCGGGAGTTAAATAAATTCAGCGCAGATTAGAGGTGTACAAAGGGTTGTAAATACCTTAGAATCGCAAAGATTCGCTCCTTCCTTTCCCCTAGCTAAGCTAAAGGAAGTGATTGTCTCAATTAAGAGTTTCCCTATAACAGGCATCGTGACTTGATTTAAAAGTGTAGTTCTCAGTATCCTTTGTGATGATTCACGATTCTTCCCACAAAGCCCCAACCCGCCACCAAACACCCACACCGCCTAACACCAACACAACCAAGACCTTCACCAACATATTGCAGGTGGAAAAGACATAGACAAGACAATATTTATTTGGTGTCTTACACCAGATGGTACATCGCCTTTTCCCAAATAATTCAAACTTACAAATTAACTAGCTTTTAATTATTTTCTATCTCGAAGCATTCAAACACAAGCCTTGCTGTTAATTTTTTTATTTCAGCCTTTCCGCTGGAAGGATTTATTAGAAACGTATTAGATATTTCGTTTGGCGACATTCTGTTCACTCTCATTAAGTGGGTCATTTGTCAAGCAATCGAATAAAGCTTTTCTTTTATCCGGCCAGGCGGGACATATTCGTCCTCCTTAAAGCTATGCCAACCGCAGGATTGAATATGGTTTGCGAGTTGCTCACTCTTAAAATAGCTATCCTCCCTTGGAGAGAGGGAAAAATAAAAGCGCACCGCGAGCTTACTATTAATATTATTTTAATTTGGAAGAAAGAGATTTCTAACACTAGAAGGCTCAGAAAGAATTCCGAATCTGGGTGAGAATCGAAATCATGACGCCCTCCGAGTTCTAGTTCGGACGCTCTACTAACCACTGATCTACTGGAGGCTCTGTGGTGAGAAGGGCTCGAAATTTAATTTACTAAAAAAAAATTAATTAATGATAAATAATAATAATGAACTTCATTAAAGTCTCATCTCTTATAGCTCAGGCACAGTGCCTTACTAATTCATTGCTATTACTAATGATTGCTATTTTTACCCAATACAAAGCAGGCGCCTCTGCGGAGGTGAGAGTTACCTAGGCCGTGTTTCGGGTGACGGGTCCCGTGCATGCTATTTTTACTACTATGCCCCTTGCTTTTTCTGAAAGTACATTCGCTTCTGATCCATTAGCTTGCTTTAACTAATCTCAAAACAACTTCTTGTAGCTTGACGTCTTGATGGCAAGCATCGGATGGTGCCTCCTCACAGCTTAAAATGAAAAAGTAAAGATTTTGATCTACTGGTTAGCTCACTTTGCCAGACAGGTAGTATCAGTGCAGACTTCAGAGCGGTAGCAGCCTGTGTTGAAGGGAGAGAAAGGGAAGGAGGGGGGAGAGATAAACGCCAACCGCTTTTGACACCCGTTAGACCAGAGTGGTTAGGCTGGAATGGTAGGCCGGGGTTCGATTTCTGGCCGAACTAACACTCAGAGTCTAAAAACTTAAATTAACAATGGTTAAGGTACTGCCTTTGTTCTGGTGTTCTGGTATCTACAAATGGCAAAGCCTTCGTACATAAAACCCGGAGGCCCCGTATATCACAGCGTCTTTCACGGATCTCACACTCTTGTTGTCTCTTGTTGTCTCACACTCTCTGGCAACGACCTTAAACAACCTGGCCGTTGTTTGATTAAATCTGCTGTTTATTTGGACCCTCTGTTTGTTGACAAAGAGTTCATAGCTCGATATGCACAGCTGTAAATCAATGCCATTTTTAATCCTTAAAATAACACACCTCAGTACCACAAATTGTATCCTCTTTTAGCCCTAGCGTTTGTTAGCCTGAGCCTATAAATAGTTACTCGAGAAAAATATGGTATAATATCTAACCAACCTACTTAACCGGTAAGATGGACATGACAACCAACCAGCTGCAGGGCCGTAGCGTGAGCTTTTGAAGATGTACGCACGGAAAGAAAGGTTGGACCTCCGAAGCGGGGTACTGCAAACTAGGGAGGTATGGGGACATGCTCACCAGAAAATGTTTCAAATTTAGGGGTTCAGAAATGCCATTTCCTGCGTTTTCCGCAAGACATTTTCAGTAAATAAATACGAGGGAAAAGGCAATAATCGGTAAAGTGTAATGTTTACGGGAAAAAGGTATACAACAGTGAAGCTATCAAGGAGGTTACAAGCAAAGGGCGAGATGTCTACCCGTCAGACGGGTAAAGACACCAATATATAATGCGAAAGATTTATCAGTCTTCGTGATTTAATGATAAAAATGCTTTCAGGAAATGAAAAATATATATTTTCCAGATTTCAGCTGTACGCACGGGCGTATGTGCGTGTAGCAGGACGCTACGCCCCTGTCCACTCACCGCGATAACCTCTGCCTTTCGCTCGCGGTTGACATCATGCTCCCGTTCAATCTGGGACAGCATCCTCTCGTCTGGCTTCAATAATGTGTAAAAACGCTTCACAGGGAGAAGAAAAGAAAAAGCGTTAGGTTATAAGTTAATTGAATTTTGAAATTCCAACTGTAAAAAGATCAGAAATGAACATGCACGGGGTAAAGACACGGGAAAAGATGGCTTTCCGTAAGGGACATGTGCAGTACAATATACATTTAATTTAAAGAGGGTTAAAATTCTGTACAGGTACATAATGAAATACTGATTAACTTGTAGCCAGAAAACTAAACTTATTAAAGCTTTACAACCACTTGGAAAAAAGGATGAAACCAAGTTAAAACTAGACGAGCTGAACGAACAGAGCGACCCGCAATGAAATATCTCCGTGTCTTATCCGGTCTGTGTCACTCACTCAAGAAAGAAAAAGTAATTAAATAAATAATAAATTTCATTTATACATATGTGCATAAGACCTAACAGGAAAATTAAGATAAATAAATACTGAGCCAACTTTTCGTGTCAAAAAAAAAAAAAAATGTAGCCATCGTTTGCTTGAATGATCGCAATGAGAAAGTCGACTTTTTGTAATTTACATAAAACGCACAGGAGTTTTATTTCCTTAATTTTATATGTTACTTCCACATTAGTTAGTTTAGAAAGAGCCGATCGAAAAGAGGTATACTGTTCACAGTCCCCTATTTATTTTCCGTAAGATCGCCGAGAAATTACGGGCGGCCATCTTGGTTTCTCGCCTCCTTGCCGTCTCCTCCTTCGCCTCCTAAGTAGATTTGAAACTCATCCCCAGGCTAAACTCGGAAAATTTGAAACCAAGATGGCCGCCCTAACGGAAAGCGCGATTTTTAATGAGGCTTTGACAAACCTTGTTAAATTTTGTCTAAATTTCGAGACATTTCGCAACCAAAAAACTTTCGCTGCCCCACCGACCAGTAAACGTCCCGCAACTAAGGGCATAAATGGCCAGAGGTGGAGACTCCAGAATCACAAAGGTCAACCTGCACCACGTCTGGTATGATAAACAAACGACAACATGTGAATTCAAAAACAGTATCCTCACCCCCGTAACAGTTCCCGGAGTTTTCCAGAGCTGGTAAATCGCAAAGGCGGGAATAAGCACCATAGAACTCAGAGCCATGAGCCAGCCGAGAAACTCAGCCCATCCGGGGTAAGGCTTTTTGTTATACGATACACCCTGCCACTGAATTACATTCGCCAAGATGATGACCTGCAAATTATTCAGTTAGATTAAAGAAAACAAGCAGTGCGCGTTTCGGAAAGTCTTATTGAAAGAAATGGGCGCCTGATCTCCTTTATTTTTATCAGTATCAGTATCATTAATCATTAATATATTGTCATTAATTATCATCATGATTGTGATATCATTATCATTATCATCATTATATTCGCTGTTTTTGATTTCCCTTGGTTTACCAAATTACTGCTTCAAGAAGAGCAATTATACAAGAGAAACACTCGTATGTGAAATACTTTTTATTTAGGAATGCCTATCTGGAACGGATAATATCCATTTTCATATGCCGTGAAACTGCAGAGGAAATGGCAAATGTTTTCAAGACATTCTACCCAGAGGAAAGGATGTCAATTGTGCTTGGAAATATTTTGAATTGAAACATTTGCAAATTCAGTATACCAAGAGTATACTGAGTTAATAGTTTAAATTGGATTTCCCACCTAACGCAGGAATTAATGTTTAGATGGAGAAGGGGAAATTTACATTTACACAAATTTGCTCGGGGCAAATACGGTGCAAAAAAATGTGACGTACGTACGGGCATAGATGTGGCATTTAAACGCTTCATTTGTCCCCTCTCAGGGAATTTTGACCACAAACTTTGCCGCGAACTGCGGTGTTGTTATCCCCAGAAAAGGATATTTTATCACATTTGAACTATTTTCCAGTCCCAAGGGTCGGGAATTTGACCAAAAAATTCAATTGCCGCACCTATGCCCCTACTTCCCTCCCACCCCCCTACGTTCAAAAATTGATATCTGCATATGGGACGTTTAGCCTGCGTGGCAGGCGTTCGAAATGGAAGGGAAGGGGTATTTGGTGCGAGACCTTCCCTCCTTCGTCGTGCGCCATCCGCGCTTTTCACGCGCCCGAAATCCCCTTTTCCTTCCCTTTTGAAAGCTGGCCACGCAGCCTAATAGGACGTTTGGATAACATTTCAAAAGCTTGCCACTCTTCCTGATGCAGCCGCGGATATGCGATGTGCCGAGTTTAATTTATGCCCAATGGTAAGTTCACAGTAAGTGAAGGAAAACTCATCAGAGAGGCTTGGGTAAGGCTGCATGTAATCACTACTTACAAGTGTGCAAATGGGTGACAAGTATTTCCAGCAAATCCTGAACCACAGTTTAGGTCTCTGCCCAGTCATAACCTCTATGTCATCACTGAATCGATCAACACCTAAATGAAACCAATAACAGGATGTTAATGTAGTGAACTGTTTAGGCAATAACCGGCGATAAAAAGTTTAAAGCTGGCTTTCGTATAATAAATGAAATTTGGGTTTTTAGAGTATACAGTTTAGAGCAGTCAAAGCCAGTCTAATTTAAACATTTATTATAATTGCAGTAAAAGAACAGCAAGTTATTTTTTGTATTTTTTTTTGTATTTTTTTCAGTTCAATGCAAACAACAGCGCTAGCTTTAGTGAATTCTAGTATAAGAACTTTGTCGCCGAATTTTTTTGGTGTTTGTTATCCACCCGCTTATGACACAGTTGTTCAAAGGGTTGATAAAGCTGTGAAACGGATAAATCACTATTCACTGGATAGCGCAACTGGTTTCCCTAACACTAGCGATAGTGATTAATCAGGTGGATAGCGCTATCCAATGTTTGAACAACTGGGGCCAGCAGTGGGTAACTGTACGAATGCATGATATTATCATTTTTCCGATGTCCACACGTATCCGATGAATCCGGCATACGAATCCGCAACTTTTTGAATCCACTCTCCGGAGTGGAAATTCATGAATGCGCTATGAATCCGGAATCGTGTGGACGCTGATCTGGATATTTTTCTTTCCGACCCGACGATAACATAGATCGAGTCCAGTTTCTTACCGTGAATCTTCAAGGTGGTTGCCGGACGCCACGTTATCGCTTCCTTACTTGTTGTTGTTGTTGTTGTCGATGATTATACTTATTATTGGGTTACCCTCCGACCATCCATTTCAAGTTTATTACAAAGTGCGACAAGTGTTATTACAAAGTGTGACAGCTTATTTTATCACAAAGTGCAATAGCTTTTTTATTACAAAGTGCGACAGAACATGGCACGAGAAATCGAGAAATCACTTTTAATTACAAATTTAGTGAAATTAGCTGACGAACTAAGAATGAATCCGGATACGTGTGGACTGGCAAACTTGATTTGAATACGCTATGTGTGGACCAACGTGAATATTTTTTCATCCGGAAAGGAAAAGTTGCAGATTCAATAATAATCCGGATACGTGTGGACGGGGTCTCAAGTAGATAACATCACTGGCATGATCATTTATTTGTCTCTCAAAAAGTTAAAAGCTTATTCGCCTTGGTTTTAATTCTAGCAAGGAGAGCTTAAGAAACCACTAGGCTCATGGGAGAGGCCATTATCGATTAAGACCCCTTTTTTGTCCATTGACTATGAGAGATTTTAAAAAATGTCTCTTGAGTAGAGACATACCTCACTGACAGCCTCCACCGTGATTTCCGGATTCCAGAACTGGATTCCAGCTTTATTCAGTGGAACTTAGTTTCCGGCTTTCAATCATTAGTGGGATTCCGGATTCCTTGAGTTGTATTACGGATTCCAAATCCGAGGATTTCGGATTCCACAAGCAAAAATTTCCCGCAATCCGGAATCGGGATTTCCTTACATGAGGCGACTGAAAATGAACTGCGTGTTACTCATGAAAGGCACTCACTTATTTTTAGCATGCGTGCACGCTGAAATAAATCCACTCTTACATATTGATGCTTGAGTTCATCTTGATTTATGTTGTAAACTCTCTTTTTAGAAGACCAAAGGAGACTAGCCTTTCGTTTAACCAATTATCTTTGAGTTTGGTGCCTGTAGGGAAATTGATCTTTGTACGATTTTAAAAGTGTTCAATACATAAGGACATTCCATTGTATATTTCCACTTAACCATTAAAGTTGCCTTTAGACCCGATTCTGTGGCACAGCTGGGCCTTTAATTATAGACCTCCTTTATAAGTATGATAATTAACCTTACTAACCTCGTTAACATGTGCAAAATACAAGGAAAAACTTCTTTCAAACTAGGTCAGAAAGGCTAATTATCATACATAGAAAAGAATATATGAATAGGCCGCCATTATGAAAGAGGTCTATAGAACTGCAGACCTATATACAGTATCAACATTGAAGAGAAAATAGGCGATGAAAGGATTTACATCAACCGACGTCTCAATATGGCCCTTTAACAACAGGTTTTCAAAATATTATCTCTAACGGTTCTCTGATAGTGGGAAACAAAATTTAAACAGAAAAACAATTTCAAGATATAGTAGACACAATTAATGTAGAATTTGTTTTGTAACACTGCCTACGTTCAGGGCTGAACCTAAAAACGCGAAGTTTAAAATGGGTGCAATTCAGAAAACAGGAGTGGACTGTCTTGAATTCCCTATAACACTGGGCAGTCATTTACAGTGGAACCTCGATATAAAGGAACTTCTCTAGAATAAAGTCCTCGGTATAACGAATGATTTTCTCTACCCCAGTAATAGTAGAATATATGAGAAAGAACCTCGATAAAAACGAAACCTCGTTACATCGAACAATTATTGCCAGTACCTTGGCCCTTCGTTATATCGAGGTTCCACTGTAGTGATTTTTATCTCTTTACCATAATGATAACCAGCTCACTTCCACGCCGCCCTCCGGTCTCGCTGAAGCGCCAAGAATCGCCAAGATCTATCACTAGCTTTTTAAAGGAGTACTTTCCTAGTTTTTTAATATAATTCTAAATAGCTTGACCTAATCCCCAGGTTGATCAACGGGATAAAGAAAAAACACACAATCAAAGCAAAAATATAAGCGTACAAAGCAAAATGGATAAGTCACACCTCACAAGCGTACCTATACGCGGGCACGTTGTGAGGGATATATGTAGCCACAGATTTAAACCAGAAAACAGTGACAATTGTCGCATAATCACCAAGAACTGCATGGTGATTATGCGGGCTCATAGGGAAGATTGTGTATGTTATTCGCTGGTCGGGAGGTTCGCATCGTGAAATATATTGATAGAGAGTCGGACCGACCCTATATATAACTGGTAAATAATATCTGGTTTACTAATATTTTTTGGCTTTAACAGAAATCGAACGAAGTGAATTTTCTTTTCGTTGACCATCAGTAAAACAACATGGAAACTTCCATTGTCACTAGCCATGCTGTTAACATTTACAAAATATTGTTTTTATCCGAAAAGTTTCAGCTTTGTAAACAGAGAGGCGAGCTGTCAGGGATCGAAGTCCAGATCTAGGATTCTGGACCGCTCACGAGCCAATCAGAGGGCACCATGTTATCCGGATGGGTAAAAATGAGAAACTTGGGAAGTTATTAAGGGTCTCTTGGGTTTTAAAAAATGCAGATAAACTAGATGGTTACCTTAGAGGGTGACCCAAGTCTTTTAAGTGTTAAAGCTTTACATATTAACCTACCATAAATCCAACCAACTACAACAATTTCCATCAAAGTTACAAACAGCAACGACAGCCCGGCAGTCTGGTAATCCATCAAGTTAAAAATGTACATTCCACCCTTGAATATACGAAACAAAATATTACGTCAATTCTACGCTCCAGCGAAAAAATGCTGCATTCGCAGTCCACATTCAAATGGAAACTTAATTAAAATTTCAAACTTTTGACAGAATATTAGCGGAGCTCTCGAAGCTCCGCATTAGAGTACCATATGGGTAAGAAAATTTGTATATTTATAAATTTTGGTTCTGATGATATCGTCCGTCCGTACGTACGTCTTCTCTTCATGTAAGCGGATGTGATATGTGTTACTTACTATAGCTTAAAAGTCCAATGCATATCATAAAGAGCGTTTAGCTTGATATTGGACATCCAAGTTATGATCAATTGATAGCTGTCAAAATAGGGTATCCGCTAACCAGTGTCACATAATCACATAACTGTATCGCAGGCTCAAGTGTACAACTCAACAGGGTGACTCTTTTAAGTTCTCCGCTGACCACTAATGGTATCCAACTGATCACAAGCTCAGAAACGTTACTTCAGAAAGACAATTCTCGAAAGTTTTCGCAAGAACTTCGCTTTTGGCCTTGGCTAAATCTATATATTATACCTGTGTAACACACGGAAGTCCAAGAAGAAACATGCTGACGCACAAAATCATCACAAATATCTGCTTCCGATAACCCTTCTTCAGCCAAGGATATTCATCCACTATTGCGGTAATAACTGCTTCAATAGTAGCAAACTACAATTGAAGGGGAAACAAAATCATCAACCCAACTCGTCACTATATCCCATCATACAAGATAAACTAGAGTTATAGAGTTATGATATTCGCGAGGCCATCATCCATGAGAATCAATAGACCTTTTTACCGATACGGCGGCGATATTGAATTTATTAGATTCAAAGAGTATTATGAAATGCCTGGGGGGCATGAGCACGATCCGATATACTCGCTCAGTAGTATTTACGCGTGCTTTTCGGGCAAATTTTTCTTTCAGTTTTCCTAGAAATGGATGGAAATGGGAAAAAAGATCGTTCTGCCCTGTTTGGATGTAATAATGATCACCTTTTTCCCGAGAACTGTACAGTGAAGTTCTCTTTTTGCCCGAAAAGCGCGCGTAAATACTGAGCGAGTGCCCTCTGGGCATCCCATAATACTCCTTAAATCTAATAAATTCAATACGGCCGCCGCATCGGTAAAAAGGTGTATTACCTGACTGTCCAGTCCGAGGGTGACTAACATAAAGAAAAACAATATGGCCCACAGAACTGACAACGGCATCTGGGATATTGCTTCAGGGTAAACAACAAAAGCCAGTCCAGGACCTGTGACAACCATAGGATCAATATTAAAGATCGTTGGAAGTTTTCGGCCAAATTGATCAACAGAATAAAGGCACCAAATCGAGGTCATGGTTGGGTCGACAAATTTAGTGGTTTGTATGGAATAGACCCTTTGCAGCTAGTCATACACGTGATAAAAAATCGTCCCGCTGGACAGCAAGGGAAGCGAAGCACGCACTGGAACAAGAGAACAAAAAGAGGTCTCGTCATTTTAAAATGGTAATTTCCTTTGTTTGTCTTCTCACATTGAGTTTGTTGCTCAACAAAATGGCGGTTTGTACAACGTGAATGACTAGCTCCAACGGGCCAGAAGTGTCTATTCTCCACCTAGGTTTCGATTTCATTTCAATATGTGTGCTACCTGAAGTGAAATGCAGGAATGGTGAATTAATTAGAGTCTATTAAACAGATAGGAGTCCTCGTTCCCAGGATCACTCCTTGTCCCTTAACCGGGGCAAGAGACACTGGGAATAGCCTAAGCAGATAAAGGTACATGTACGGTCTTTTTAAAAACCGTACTTTGGAAAATCAAGACAATGATAAGCAAGGAAAAAAAGGAAACTGATTAATGTGACGTCTGTTCGCTGTAGCTCGAGAAAACAGCCGACATTTAGCGACGCCACTGGCAGCTGACTGGTTTAATTTCCCTGCCAAATATCGGCTGTTTTCTCAAGCCATATTCACTCGAGACACGCTAGTTCAGTCAACTAGGAAGGATCGGCGCTCTTGAGGTGTGGATAGATTCCCCCTCCTTTGAAAAAGACTCTCGTAATGCTGTACTAAAAGTTTGGTACTTCAAAGTTGCCATAAAGATTTTCTGCATAACTTTTGACTACCAAATAGTTTTTCCTCTTTTCCAGAGACAGGAGAGCTGGGTAAACAAGTTTAGAGCGTGGATAAGAATCTCGCATGTCATAAGCAAACAATTTTTTTTATCCAGCATTGTTACCTTTTTTATCAGTTCATTCTTGAGTCATCGTGACGACAAAACTAGCAAAATATTATGTTGTTAAATATTTGTCAAATATTTGTTGTTGTTGTTTTTATTAGGTCTCACCCACCTGATGTAGCAACGTTAGACACCGTGGTTTCCAAGACGTAAGCCATGAAGCCAAGAACACTAAAAATGACAAACCCAGCGAAAAAGCTGGTTCCACAGTTGGCAAATGATATGATCATAGCATCCCTGTGGTAAACAGTAAACATATTAGTTTTTGCGTTCGCTTTCAATTGTTTTTTGAAATAATTACATTATAATGTCATGGTTTATTATCAGTTAAGCGTCACCAAGACAACGCAGAAAAATAACTGTCAGGTCCCAGTTATCCACCCTATCCAGTAAATAAGCATAAGGGAAACCAATTGCACATGTATCCTGTGAATAGTGATTTATCCCGCAGTGGAGAGCAATATCCACCTTTTGAACAAGTGAGGCCTGATGGCCAATAAGTAAACAGGTGGTTAGTGAAACTGGTGACGTTCACTGCGTGATTTTCGGGTGAAATTCTCTTTCGATAGAGGCAGGCAACATAACAACACTTGCTCTAGTTTCAACTGGGTGAAGCAAATTTAAATCTCCGGTCAAGTGACTGGGATAATCTCCGACCAGTTGGGTTAATTACTAATTTAATGTAATGTTTGGTTTGCAAAATTTATCTTTTGTCTTTTGTCTTTGTGTTCTAATTTGTGGACTGCAATGAAAATGCAATAATCACCTAACCTAGTTGAAGCTGTTTAAAAATAGATCTGTATTCACCAAAAATGAAGGCCGAAATAAAACGTCTTCAGATCTTATCTACCAAATCCTCGATCGCAGCTAGAATTTCGTTACCTTTCACAGTTGTTCTCGAACTTGTTATAGCTTCCAAATGTGATGAGGGTTCCAAAGCCGACCCCGAGTGACCAGTAGATTTGAGTGGAAGCATAAATCCACACCTATTATTGAGCCATGCAAAAGTCACAAATTAAACAAACAGACCGGCCAGTGACCGGCCGTATTTTCTGCATGTATACATATGTACATAATCATCATATTTTACTGAAGGGTCTATTCGGTTACGAAAGACAATCTTTAGTGCCGACGTGAACCCCCTCTTATGAGACGCCTAAACATCTTGAGGAGTTAAACACTCTTTTTTTTCTATAAGAATATATTTTATAAGAATATCGAGGCTGAAATTTGCGAAATTTTAAGAATATTTTAAGAATAAACCCCAGGCTGAGGTTTTGAAAAGGATAATTTTGTGTGTTCAAAAACTGTAAAAACCACACAATTATGTTTTCAACTTATTCCATCCTCTGAACGGCAAAACTTGCCAACAAGGCGCAAAAACCTGCACTAACTATACTTGATACCCCAATACATTCTAAAACGGAAATGTCATAAGCTATAATTTAAGAATAATATAAGAATATTTTCAGCCTAAAATCGGCACAAAAATAAGAATATTCAGCCTCGGCCGGGAAAACAACATTCTTATATAAAAAAAAGAGTGTACACTTCCGTGGATCCTAACGTCAAAAGGGGGTTTTGATTTAACTCGAAAGAAGGAATTGTTACCTGAGGATCAGCAAGGCGTGAGAAATCTGGCTTAAGGTAGAACAGAACCCCTTCTCCAGCACCATCCAAAGTGACTCCACGGATGAAGAGAATAAAAAGAACGATAAACGGAAATGTGGCTGTGAAATACACGACCTGAAATGTAAGACAGATATTCATGGAAGTAAGGCCTTGAAAAAAATCAAGGGTAGGTAATTGTCTCCTGCAGGGATGAGGCGTATGCAAAGAATTTTCCTTTCTTTAAAACTCTAGGGTAGTGGAGAAACGACTGACACGCGCCTTCAAGCGAGATTGCAGTGTTATAGACTGTTACAGTCCCCTGTTTTCACGTAAGATTTCCTACCGAAATCGAGTGCTTTCTTTAAACGGCTTTCTTAAACAGGGATCTTGTTCATGAAATTTACCGACATTGCATTGCCTTCTTTAGTAAATCTACCAATTTTCTACTGCATCGAGGAAATGCTCAGAGTATAGATGAATGGTCTAGATTAGTAATTTTAGAGTGCCCTGAGGACTGGGAGTCCTTTTTTTCCTTCCGAGTATATTTTCAGTTTTAAACGATTAACGTAAAATGTATTTTACCTTTCCAGATGACTTAATTCCCTTGAAGAGGCACAAATAGACAACAACCCATGATAACAACGTTGTTCCAACCAGCTCCCACCGCATATCTCCAAAGTCTCCGATCTCTCCGGTTATTTGCAGTAAGTTGTTTCTATTAAATGAAAATGGCTGGATTTTAACCTGTTTTCAAGCTCGCCAAGTGGTTTGTTTAAATTTGACAATATTTTATACCTCGCCCCTTGAAATCTAAGACAGTCTTGGATTCTGGATTCCAGGCCTACTGGATTCCGGATTCTTTGGTCAGGGGAACTAGAATGGATTCTATAGCTTTTGCCGTGGCAGGCACCAGTTAAGGTTGCAGCTCACAAGTTGAAACTTGGGTAATGAAAAATATACTGATGAAAGATTTTGATTGACAGGTAAAATGTGACGTTTTCGTAGATTCCATGGCACCATGAACGATTTAATACAACCTTAACATTTCACTTTTGCTCAGTTTACATAAAATTCGCTCTTCAGATTTTCCTATAAACTTCCAGACAGCTTACTATAATTAATCATTACCAGTTGAAACTCATTTGACCAAATTTTAATAGACGGGTTTTTATATAATCAATAATAGCATGATCTCTATCAAAACACACGATTTCAGAAACAAATAACAATGGCAGAAGAACTGTTTGAATCGGGCTTGCAATTAGGTCTGAATTCGCGCCTGAGAGTGAGAATGAGCAATTTCGATCATATTACGAGTCAGATCGATTTCTTGTCCAACTACATTTGACAGACAATTCTTGTCTTGTTCTTGTTTTAGTAGCAGTTGTAATTAAATGGAGTTTGGAGAGTTTGGCTCCCTCCATATAAGTCACTCCCAAGCAGAACGATTATGTTCAAACCCCTTATTAATGCTATAAAGACCGATAAAAATTGAATTTACGTACGTCCAGAATTCGGCGCTCGGGGAGGTGTACTTCGCTGTACAATTGGCGGGCAGATCAAAGACGGTGCAGTTAAAACTGTCACCCTTTCTTTCTTCCCTACAAAGAAACAGAAAAACAAACATATCAACAAATACACTTAACATAATACTTCCATGTCTTCGGCCCCCTCGCGCTACGACAAAAAAAATAGAGTTCCACGTTTTTGCAAAAAAAAAAATGAAAATTTTGTAATCACCATATTTTTCGTTTTTGTAGCTTTGTTCGCACCCGAAACACGCAAAATTTTCGTATGTAAACCAGAAACGTCAATTGGAACTTTAATTGGTCATGTTTGCGCAATCATGAGATGACCCGACGAAGGATAGCTGTCAATTAAAAAGTAACAAACTTAGGTTTTTTCTCTTTACAAATAATCGTAGGCCTCCAAAATCTTCTCGACGGCATCTTTGAAGTTGTTGACACTTGAGAAAATTTTGGTATAGGTTAAAAACTGGAGAAATAGCCCGTTGATAGATTTTTTGCAAAACAAACAAAACTTTGCGTAGTATGTGTGAACAGGGCCTTCGTAACATCGCACAACAAATGACTAAACACATACAGCCAATATAATGCTTGAGTCGCAGAATTGAAACATTTTGCCATTCAAGGGCACCCAACGACGGTTTCCTTCTAGATAAATTGAAAACACACTTTTTTCAAAAAAGTCCTTCGTCGCGGCGAAATAGGCTGTTTCGCGGGCAAAAAAGGCTCGCTCCGCTCGCCAAGAGGTCGACTTGTAGCAAGTCAATTTTTGGGCTATCCAGACTACTTCTAGATTTCCAGAAATGCATTCTAAGAGGCGTAATAAAATTTGTACCCGTACGTGTTCGGTCATCCTAGGGGAATCTGTCGTTTGAGTCTTTTCGAAATTACAAGGGCTAAGTATATTATTATACATTTGCACGAAAATTTTAGATGTATTTTAAGCTATTACGAAAGTGAGAATTTTTCTGATTCCTCTCTTCATCACATTCACCGCTTGAATCCGAAAATTGTTGGTTTCATTTTTTGTACGAAAAATTAAGCCTATCCTGGGCGGTGAAATGTGACTGAAAAATTAAATTTCAGAAAATCGTAGTGAATTTATCACGAGATATATACGCCTCGAAAATTGTCCATAAATGGAACGGTCATCTAGAAATTTTTAGCCGTCCTCAACTTCTCCGAACAGATATTTTACAGAAAACAGTCGTTGGGTACCCCTGGTCATTACCTGCAAAACATTGTATTCCATGAGTTATCGCAAGTTTTCCATGGCACTTCGGAACGAAATGATTGGAACAGTAAGAAGAATGTCCAGGACAAAATGATAATGTAGTAGATACCAACCAAATAACCCATAACACATATAGCATATCCAATACCTAGAGTACAATGAGAAAATAAGTCATAAATAGTCCAGTTTCAAATTTCGTCGCGGCCGCTGAATAGAAGCACTGAAGACATATTTATATAGGGTTAGCCTCGATCTAAAGTAAAATATTCACAAATACCAGCGAGAAGGCGCCTGAATATGACTGTAAAACAATAGACACACTTGTACACAGGTCTTCGTCTGAATGGAATTTATAAATATATTTACCTTAGGTCGAGGCTAACCCTGTATAAATGAGTCTTCAGTGCTTCTATTCAGCGGCCAAGACGAATTCGAAACGGGATTATTGACGGTTCTCTGTAACCTGCTAAGAAGCTCTCCACCGCTAGACCTTCCCGGAGAGCTTGGAATTTGAAAACCGTGAACTCCCACAACACAGCTGACATCACAGATTCGGTGCATATAACACCTATAGTTAAGGTGCAGAAACTCAAGAATATTATAGATACTGTGAATTTAATGTTACTGAGTAAATGACTCTATAAAGAACATTAGATGCTGTGTATTAAATATATATAATATTAATGTTACAGTACCACAGTACATTTCTCTATATTGGTCACACAGTCAACTCTGTTTGAACGAACGCCTCTGTAAGACGGATTCACACATTGAATTGTTCCCTGCCGCGCCACCAACACCTGGTCCGCGGCCCGGTTGTTCAAACGTTGGATAGCACTATATACCCACCAGATAAATCGCTATCCAGCGGATAAGTTCTATGGAAACCAACTGCGTTGTCCACTAGATAGAGATTTACACAGTGGATAGAGGATCTGAATGGGGTTAACGGTCAGCGGTCGAAAAAATGTACTTTCCACCGTCAACCATCAAAAATGCAGATTAAAATTAACCATCTCGAATTTCACTGTATCAGCTGGTTATAACGGACCTTCTGGCTACTAGAAAAACCAGTTCCCATGTAAAAAAAAAAACTCTCCCTAAGCATTACAAGTCTTACAAGACCTTACAAATTGCTTATATCTAGAAATATTTCGAAATGTTAAAAGACAATCTCCAAAACAGAACGGCTTAATTTTTACTTTCTATATACAGTAGTTAATTAAATAGTAACTTCCGCAATAAAAACTCTTTGACTAAGTTTTCACTAAATAACCGTCAACCGTCAAAATCTCCAGAACTTAACCATCAACCGTCAACCGTCAAAGCCACTACTCCACTGATTCCCTCTCGGATAACGCTATTCACGTTTTGAACAACTGGGGTTCTGCAAGCGACAGTAGTGACTTTAAGATCCAACGAGGCGGACGGCAATGAGAACTTCATAAAAACAATAGGTTTAATAAGCAAAACAACAACTTTGCAGGTGCATCACACTTTTTTGTACATTTCTTTCCCGTTTTTGCACGACTACGACGTGAAAATGCCTAATTTCGCTTTTTATCGAGAACGTAAACAAGCAACGACGAAATTTCAATTCTGTTAATTTTCTGAGCTTAAATATATGGTCCCTTGAAATTCAACTTTAAGAGGATTCGCCTACAATTGACAAAGTAAGTGGGTAGGAATAATCGCTATTAAGACTGAGAGAACGAAAATACACTTTTTAAGCGACGTTCTTGTTGCCATCGCGTCGTTGGACCTTAAAGTCTCTAGTGTTCGTCTTAGATCGTCTCAGAGAAAGTTGAATGTTGACCTTAAACTAAAACAAAAATGTCGCAGAAGGATAAATAGACAGTGTTACCTTTCATTAGTGGGCACACAGATTTCCAGACACCGATCACTCCAGAACTGTACCACTGACCAATGGCAAGTTCCATGAAGAAAAGAGGAACTCCGTTGATGATCAGCATCAGAAAGTAGGGGATAAGAAAAGATGCTGTAAAATAAAATTTAAAAAACGCTTCTTTCAGTACTTTATATATATGTGCCTGTTTTCAACTGCACACATTGCTGCATTTAGCAAAGGTAAACCTTACTACTATATACTTTCTTTCCTTTCTTTTTTTTATTTCATGCAGTAGCAGTTGCAGCTTAATGCACCTATCAATGTAAATCCCGTGGGGGGCGGAGTGCGGGCAAGGGGTGGGGATTTGATGCCTGAGACTATCCCCCTGTCGGGCTTTTGATCGTGCGAAGCGACCCCGGGGTCGGGACCTTTGACTTTGACCGACAGAAGCCTGGTATCAATTCAAAAGCGGTTACCGAGTCCGTCCCTCGAGGCTTTCTGAAAGTCACGCTGTTGGAGAAAGGTATGAAGTTGTCATTTGTTTTAATCGCCATAATCCGATACTTTAAACTGTCATCTAAACAGATAATGTCTATTTTGAGAAAGTTTTTATCTTCAAGTTCCCATCTGATTGTAAAACTCCATTGAAATCGAATTCCACCATGAAAGTCAGTGGATTTTTTACGGGTCACTGATCCGACCTGTTCCGACATGTTGAGCAGATGTTATAAAGCATTTTACGTTTTATTAATATTATAATAGCACGGTCAATCTTCTGGAGTGATTTTGTTGTTCAAAATATGAGATGCTAGTGGAGAGAGACAATACTTAATTACAGCGAGTAACTTAAAACTCATTGTCTTCAGGCAAAAATCAGGGGAAAATTGACGACTTTCATATTTTTATTAATATCTCTGCAGGTGTTTACAGCAGTGTTTCAAGCTTCATCCCATTTGAAAGAGAGATAAATTAGCTCTATAAAAATGATTAATTTCTCTCCATACATTCAATACAGTTTTCAAAAAAAAATTCAATTGTGAGAAAATTTGCATAATTTATGCAAAAAAATCCAAGATGGACGCCATTTAGTCCAAAATGAAGTGTCTTTACAAGATATGTTAAAAAAGAAGTTGTTACTTTAAATCCAGGCTAATTGCATGCCAAATTTGGTTGAAAATAAGCAAATGACAAATTTTTAGCACATTTTTTTTCAACACCCACTCTATTTAAGAAAAATGGGAAAAAAATTTTTTTTTCAAATTCTTTTTTTCAGGGGGTAGGGTGTGGGGGTTATGTCAAAATAATGCAATGAGCCTGTCTAAACACTGAACAACCCATATTGACATGATTTTGTTACTTTAACCTTAAAGGGGCTATGTCACCCCACACGCATGCGCGAGCCAATGAAAACAAACTTGAAAAAGTTGGCCTGTCTTTTTCAAGTTCTGTCGGAGATTTTGGAAGGCTGTTTTTATCTGTCTAAATCTCAGCCATCGTTAGATAGTTAGCGAAGTTTTGTATTAAGAATCGTTCTATGGTGATTACAGAATAATTTTTTGGCGTTATTTTGAAATTGTTTGCCTGTGGAATGTTTTTACGTGGATTTACTGTGTCCTCTTATGAGCGGCCGTTGTAATGGCAGAGTTAATGACGGCTACTCCACAATGAGCGATGGAATCTTTGATGGAATCTTTGATGGAATCTTCCCTATAGTTCACAGAACCTTTCTACTGAGTTATTTTAGAGGTTGCTGGCTCTTGGATTTTTCTTGTGCTCAAAGTATGTGGACATATAATGAAGCGGCTATCGAGTTGGCGGCGGCCGTTTTTGGTAAACGATTACAAGAGCATCAGGCCATGAGTTTCGTGACCAAACTAAACTCCTGGCGAAGGAAACATTATAAAATTCGGCTAGATTCCTTCTTGTATTTATCTGGATTCACGGCAAAGATAAACACTACCGTTTGCTCGTCCAGATTGTTCTCAACGGACTTAGAGAGGCACCTTAGTACGAGTTAGATCCTGTAAATGCCATGTTTTTGAACTGTTTGTGTTCGAGCATATTTTTGGAAACTAGCAGAGTTTACTTTCCCTTTTTATCAACAGACTGCTTATAGTGGAGTAGTATACCAATGATGCTTGGCTCTGTTTTTCTCGACGTCGCAGTGATTCGGCACGATCGAACAATTTTGCGCGATAATGTATGAAAACAAAGACTTGATGTCTCTTGTTCTATCAGCATCTAAATTATAAAATCACTAGCGACAGACAAGTCTAATTGTTAATGATTTGAAACAGTCTTGGTCTTTATCTTCGGTCTAGCGTCTTTTGTAGCTCGTTTGTAAAATACAACTTCGATTTATTTTGTTGAACAAGACAATATGTTGTTGTTGAATTTTTGTTGTGCGCACTATTTTATGAATGGCATGCGTTTTTACTCCAAAACTACAAGTAAAATTGTCGTCAAAATTTTATTCTTGATCTAGCATAACCAGAGAAGAAACGTTCCGTAAATTCTATCCAAATATCCCTTATCTAAACCCATTTCGCTTGTTAACCTCTCTAAATTCGGAGCCTTGGACGTGACAGAGAACATGGAGAAAGTCACACGTTAAAAACAATAGAATTTTGACAGTTGGAAGTAATTTGCATAACCTCAGAGCGCATGCTCTCCAGCTGACATAGCCCGTATAAATAAAAGTAGTAAGAACGTACTTTTGAAATGTTCTTTTATTCGTTTTATATAGTATTATCGTATTGTTTGTTTAGATTTTTTCCCCTGGGGTGGGGGCTTTTTTGACACTCTTGATTGACCTTTCGTTTCCCACCCTGGGGAATTTGATCAAAAAATTTTAAAATTTGACAAATCCCCAACCCCTTGCCGGCACTCCCCACCCCACGGGGTTTACATTGATAGGTGCGTAAAGTTTGCTATATCCTTCAATACCAATGAAAACTAATGTTTTCCGGCTCCGATTGGGTCAAGTCCCATTGAAATTACGGTCCATTATTGTTCGTTTTTCGCACTTATACAGGATAAAGCTATTAGTTACTAACAATTACAAACACACTTGTAAATACTGATTTTATTTCCCAAAATTGGCACAAAAACAGCCACATTTCAGTACCACTCTGGACTCACTCATTTTGGCCACATTTTTGGGGCCAAATTAGCTCTTTTCATTTTACTGTGTAGTTTACTATGCACTAATACTGTGTAGGACAGAGAACAGTGCCAACTATTAATGAGCTGGGACATGATGGACGTGTCCGATCACTTCAACTTCAAATCTGACAGATTCAAGTGATTAGTTACCACACTGGGCAAAGGATCACCCACTCGTAAAAAATTAATGACAAAAAAAAAGCAGAGCTCCACCAGAATAAAATACACTGTATTACCGTATTTATTCGATTAACCGCCCTGGGCGCTTATTATATTTTTAGACCTTGAGAGTGAGCGCTTATTCGAGGTGGACGCTTATTCGAGGCTGGGCGCTTGTTAAATTTTCACCATTTTCAGCAAGTGAAATATGTTTATTTTGCAACAAAACAATAAATGCTAATAACAAAACGCGAAGAAGTAACAAAGCAAGGTTCTACAAAACCTTTAGGATGGGCGCTCATTCGAGGAGAGGGCTAATTCGAGGTTGGGCGCTTATTCGAATAAATATGGTAATTGTACGATGTAAATGAATTGTAACTGAATTAATTAATATGAATATAACTAGACATAATTTGAATGTTTTGATACACGGCAAGGAATCGGGCATATCCGCCAAAAAATTGAGGCCTACCTCCACCATTCTTGTATGCCAAGTAAGGAAATCTCCATAAGTTACCGAATCCGACGCAATACCCCAGGGATGAGAGAAAGAAATCCGCTTTGCGGGCCCATTTGTCTCTTTCAATTTCCGAAACAACCTTTGCCTGGTCGTGTGTAGATTCATTCGAGTGAAGACTCTGATTTGAATCTTGTAGAACAGTATTCTCGGTTTTTGACATGTCAATGTCTCGCACGTGTGCTTAGTAATATAAAGTTATCTACCGACAATGGACTCTGTACTAAAAAGTGTGTACAGAACAACCCTCAAAGCTGGACTGAGTTGTCGCTCGTACAGGCGAGGCAGCTCTGCTTAATTACATATTCTCTGACTTTCACGTGCAGACAATCACGATGATAAAAACGGAAAAGCAACAAAGATATAAACAATATAAAAGCGACAAAAAGCCAGATTAGTGGTCCAGAATCGTTTAACACGTGTTGTTCCCCGCAACAAAGCAGCTCACTTCCTAAGAGTATAATTCCCAGTTCCACCCTAGAATGTCCTCGGGGGAGGCTAAGTCCAGCGTGGTCAACAAAAATCTTCTTGTTAGGGTAGGGGTTCGTATTCTGTTATTTCTCTATGGTGGAGGCCCGCAAGGGGAGCATTGCCTGACTCAGGCCCAAGCTACTGCGAAGTGGATTCGATGGCGGCCGAATCGCTGAGAAATGTTCACAACTTTCCAAGAGGTTTTCTATGTGTGTCTCAACAACTTGTTCCAGTGCGGGCTAGCGCTGTGACTTCGCTGGTCATACAATACATGCACTTTGATTTTCTTGTTGGCACGTAACGTCCAGCGTAACGTTGCATTGTCCGGTATCAGTTGTGAACATAGCTTTGCATTTTAAATAAGCCACGGAGAAAAAAACAAATAAAGACTAAATTGAAACTGTCGCGTTCTCAACCGAAACCACTGATTAACAACAAAACCATCAGTCATTGACAATTTAGTGCAGCGGCATTTCGTTAATATTTATCAACCTTTAGGCCCCCGTTTGGAAACCTCCCAGACTTTTAGGCGGGAAACCTCACGAAAGTCATAATGAATTCTCGTTTGATAAATTCTTTGGCGCGTGACAAATCAACCAGGGCGTTGTACAATATTCGGTATCGGTACTTGGAAATTCAAATTAAAACCTCCAACGCTACCGTTCCCGTTATTGGCTCTTTTAAATGGAGGGTAGCTTTATTGGCATTAATTTTTTATACTTTATATTCCGACTTCTTGACTTCCTATTAGGCCAACATCACCTTAAGTTTGTTTTTAGATGAAGTGTCGAAACTTGAACGTGAATCAATGTTTGCCCACCAAGGAGCACAATGATATTAGTCCTTTTATACTATCACCTCAAATCGTTTATCAGTCTTAAAAACGAAAACGAAAACCCAAACAAGAAAAAATGTGGTTTGCCCCGGTCTGTGTCTTTAAGAGCGTTATAAAATAATATGTCCAGAAACAATTATTTTTAGGTGTTTCTATTGAGCTTTTTACTCGATCACGACAGCTAACTAAATTTGCATATCAGTTTTATCACTGCAGCAGCACTTTTAATGCTCTAAGCCCTAAACATCAAGATCATACCTCCACCACTTGTACGCGAGGTAAGGAAACCTCCACACATTGCCAAAGCCTACGCAGTAACCGAGCGATGAGAGAAGAAAATCTGCCTTTCGACCCCATTTCTCGCGCTTTTCCACTATGGAAACTTCATTTTCTTTCTCCGAGGACTGGTCGACACTATCACTTGCTGCAGGCTCAGGCTCCAGCTCATGTAAAGGACGGTTTTCGTTTGTGTCTTTATCACTGGACATGTTTAACCTGACTTTACTCGTCAAAACGGGATAATTCAGATAAACTAAGAACCGACGCACAGTTCTGAACTGGTCAAATAGGTCTCGGATATACTGAGTCAAGCCTCAAAGCACATGTCGCTTTCATTCATACCCAAAATACCCATTAGCCAATGGGCGCGGTTGCAATAACAGTATATAATTGGCAGCTATTCAATTTTATCCGAAATAACACTGACTCTCTGGCAGAAGCCGTACAAGAAAACTTTGTTCCCTGCTAACAGATATTTACCTAACTACAGAAACAACGTTTAGGCTTGCGTGTTGCGTAACGACAGCTATCATGAACGAGGTTGACTGTGGAGTTAAACACTAATAATGTCATGCACACAACAAAATCTATCATATCGCTTAAGATATTCACAAGGAAAATAATTTATTCAAATATCGCCGTGAATAATTCGAGCGGTTAACCGATAGGCGTAAAACGTCCAAAAATTTAGTCGATAGCCGTAAAAATGTTAGTCGTAAATAGGGTAAAAAATAGTTAACCGCAATGAAATAAATTAACCGATAGCCGTAAGAGAGCCAAAATTTTAGCCGATAACCGCAAAAGCCACCACCCCATTGAGACCCTCTTATACATTCAGTGAATTAAACATAACTCTTTTGCATGCAAATTGAAAGCCAAAAATAGCCTAGGAATAAAATGTATCTAAAGAATACCTGTCTATAGCTTGTTCAAGGCATTCAGATAGTGGGGAGCGGTGCGAAGTAAAAAGGAGCGTGAAAAAATAAAAGCTCTCCACTATCTGAACTCTTGGAACAGGCTAACCTGTCTACAGTGGAACCCCGCCTTATGACCACCCCGTTTATAAGACCACCTCGTTATTACGGCCATATTCTTTCAAACCAAAAGTAAAAAACATTGACTCATTTTATTATTTTGAAGACCCCGTTAATGCGACCACCTCGTTATTACGACCAGGATTTTATGGCCCAACGGTGGTCCAGGAGCCCATCAAATTTGATAGGCTCCTGGGTGGTCGTATTAACGGGGTTCCACGGTATTACTGTGCCAAAAAGGGTAAATTTAAACTCGAAGGTAATAACAATTGCAAGGCGCACTGAAGACGTGAAATTACCTTTCATGGTAAGAATTCATATTGCCTGGTCTTTGAGGAGTACTACAAGTTATTAGGCATATTTTGGATATTAGAGCACTCGTCACTTGTTCGCGCTCGACTGGACACAAATCATCGGCGCTGTATTCTTTTAGTGCATTTGTGCACAATCCCCATGATCCAAATTGTCTTCCCCACATAATTTTCCACAAGTTTTGTTTCCAAATTTTCAGCGGACGGTTGGTACTCTCAAGAGAAAATTGAAAACAGTATTTATACAAAATTTTGTGGGGAAAACAAATTGCATTATGGGGACTGTCAAAGTCGCAAATGGGATGTTATCTGTGGATCAGGGCGCGATCCATTTAACCAAAATTTCCGAAAATTTCGGTCCAAAACTCAATGGATCGGTTCGGTCCAACCGGAAAAGTTTCGACATAACTGGTCCACCTTTTGAGGTGGACCACTTTTCCCGGTCGGACCGGTCTGAATTTTGGATGAATGGATTGGATCGCGCCCACTGTGATGTTTGCCTCCCAGGCCTGTTAGCCTCTGTTTCATGCGTTTTCCGATCGAGATATCGCGCGAACGTTGGAGCGAGCAAACCAAAAAAATGGACGAAGAGGGAGGGGAAGTGGGGAAAGAGGAAACTTTCCCTTCCCCACCCCCTCTAATATTCCTCTTTTTTTTCCGACGGAGAAGTGTCACGTGGAGTAAATCAATACACAGCTTCTGTTGACATGAGGTAAAAGAGTTGAATTTCACAGCCAAACAATTTGAAGGCCGTGAACTGAATCTGGTCTTTCCGAAACAAATCATAACGATTATCAACTGGCCGAATTTTGACTCCTGGTCTAGCAGTTCGATCCGTACACTAAGTGTTTTTCCATTGATAAATATGTCCACGGAAAAAGATTCAATGGCTGAGAATGTTGCTCTACAAGAAGCAAGTGGTAGTGTGCTAAACATCAGTTCGCATGAACCGCCTCCCGAAAAGCTAGAGGAACAAAATGGCGAAAAGCGTGAAAAATGGGGTCGAAAGGCGGATTTCATTCTCGCGTCCTTAGGCTACTGTGTCGGATTTGGCAACATTTGGAGGTTTCCCTACTTGGCATACAAGAATGGAGGAGGTAAGAGACTTGGAACACTTTTGACATGGTAGGTTATTTGATCACTGTATTGATATGCTAATTCCAGCACGCCTGCCACATGGTACTTAATTCTATCGATTTCAAATAGTCCGGATAATTTAAAAGACGAAAAGGTTTCCACTTCAATTCAGGGTGTATTGAAAATCAAGACTGATTGAAAGATGACATTAAATTGTACTCCTGCTACGCATCAGGTCGTTGTAAGAGTTGAGCTGCCCAGTCAGAGCGCCTGTTTTGTTGGTATTCATTGTCGCTCTGCATTAGCCTGCGTAGTAGGCGTCGAAAGGGGTACTCTGCATTGTCAAGCACGGTTCACGGGGATGAAATCAGCCTTTTCACGAATCACGCAAAATTCAGCGTTTGATTTTATTTGTCGTCCATATAGTATTGCAAAACTGAGGACTATTTTGAATTGTTTAGTCAAGGTAAGAAAACCGCTGCAAAGACCGGGTACGATCAATGGTTTGCTCAACGTCGCATCCAAAAATTAAAAAGATCGTGATCAGTGATAATAGATCAAATTGAAAACGTTACAGTCAAGACGACTTTTGCAGGGACTGATCAAAAAAGGTAGTCTTCATCAGGTTTATGGAGATATCACGAATTCACAGAAATATATATGGAGTAAAATAATGACCGGAAATTACATAATATGACGTGGTATGGTGTGACAAGAAATCATTGTTTTCACGCCCTAAAATACTAAACTTACGTTATCAAATTCACAACTGCATGCCTTACTCTCAGGGGCACCCAACGGCCGAATGTTTCCAAATACGTCAGAAGTGTCTCAAATGGTTTTCTCCTGGCTTTAGAAGCCTGTTTAGTTAATTTGGCATTGCCCTAAAAACTGTTTATCTGTTCGGATGTCTCACGGGAACTTTGGTTGTCACGAAAGTCTTACGTGGCTTTTTCGTCTTATCCGAAAGTGTTAGCTACCCTTACCGAAATTTTTAGACTAAAAGGAGACCTTTTTTGACAATAATCGCAATACCTTGCATGGTGTTAAAATGTGAATAACACAACCTCCGAAAATGGTAGTTAGGCTACTAGAAAACCTCCCAACATTTAAGACAAATGGAACGGTTATCCAGTTATTTTTAGCTTTTCTCAAGCTTTAGAAATTCGCAAACCAAACTGACTTGAGATCTATAAAGCATTTCAGGATCGCTTGACTTTTCTAAATCGACTTATGATAGTTTAGATTAGCTGGAATTTTTCGATTTTGTGAAATTTACTGAGAATATAGGATTGCCGGCCATTTAGTGTTTTGAAAACCTTGACCGGCAGTCGAGCTGGAAAAAGTTCTAAGTGTCACAAAACATGGTTTCGTCCTCTGAGCCGAGCGTAAACCAAACACTAGACTTGAGATCTATAAAGCATTTCAGGATCGCTTGACTTTCTAAATCGACTTATGATAGCTTAGATTAGCTAGAATCTTTCGATTTTGTGAAATTCGCTGAGAATATAGGACTGCCGGCCATTTAGTGTTTTCAACACCTTGACCGGTTACCGGCCATATAGCCACAGCGAAATTCGCTAGAAATTCGGAGAATTTCATAGGCAATATGTACTCCTTCGAACAGTTATTTTACAGAAACACGTCGCTGGGTGCCCCTGTATTTTACACAAGCAGAACTGGTTACGCTTCATTATTTGAAATCCTTTAATGTGTGCGTATGTGCAACAACAATATCTTTGCCAGTACTTTTATAGGTCTCATAAGGCAATGACACAGATTACACAATCACAACTGTGCCTGCATGTTCTACCACGTGCCTTACAAATGCCTGTAAGCACAGGTAGCCCAAGCTCGAAAGTGAGCATCGGCGCATCTGCATTGTTGCGTAACATTCAAAATATAAGGATTTGTATGGGAAAAAACCTATCGTTTCCGTAACCGACGAAAATGAAAGGATTTCAATAAAGAACAGCTTACTTTACTTAAAATGTGTGTTACGTCTCTCCTGTGTGGCCCACGGGCCGATTTATGGCCGTTTTATGGGTAAACCTCTATATAGAGAGAAAACCGTTTACATAAAAACCCATGAAATCATAAATAAATCATAAATCGCCCCGTGGACCACACAGGAGAGACGTAACACACATTTTAAGTAAGGTAAGCTGTTTTTTATTGAAATCCTTTCATTTTCGTAGGTTACAGAAACGATAGTTTTTTTTCCTATACAAATCCCTATATTTTGAATGTTACGCAACAATGCCGATGCTCATATTTCGAGCTTGGGCGACCTGTGCTGCAAGGAGCAGTTCGTTCCCGATAAAGGAATACTGACCTACACGCTCTTTGCTGCCAGTCCGCAACAAACGCATTCATTGCATTTGAGGATGTTGTTGGATCCACATAATAGACAACACCTTAATTCCAAAACTTGGAAAACGCTTCCCTCATTGTTCGTTCGCCTTATTTCATATGATATCATCAAATGCGCGTCATGAAGGAGTTATTCGGGCCAGTCATTTGATCATATATGCATGTGACGGGTAGACATGTCTGGGATGATCCTGGCATTTTGTTCATCTTTGTTGACAGACATGACCTTGACATTTCAAGTTCCTCGATAGTTTAGGTTGAATATTTCGCGAAAAATTAGCTAATTATAGACCCTGTTCACGAATCTCGAGAAATAAAATAGTTATTTCACCAATCACGGGATACGGATCACGAGAAAGATATTCTTTCGTTCACGATTCACGGCAATCAAAAATAGGTGTTCACAGTTCACGGAAAACCCTCTTTTGATGAGTATCCCTTTTTCACAGTGATCGTGGAGCAAACAACAGAGAAATATACATTACCTAGAAATATACATTAAATAGAAAATTATCCCTGGCGAAAATATGAAAATAACGTGGATATTTTACCATTACTTAGCAGAATATTACGCATGCATATCGCTAGCTTGTGCAAACATAGCCTGGGTATGAATAGCCTAAGTATCACGCCTTCCTAAGGGGCCAGGGGAGAGGAGATTTTAGATGGGGGAGGGGGGAAGTCTCTCCCTTTTTCGCTTTCACCTTTCCCCTTTTCCCCAGAAACGCCTGATACTCAGGCTAGGGTATGAATGAATGAATGAAGCTTTATTTAATCTCGGGTTTGATGAGGTTGGTTGGACCTCTAGCAAAAATATGCTAAAAGCCGAGAAAAATAAAATAAAAATCAAATAATAGAGAAAGAAAGGGATATACGAAAACTTATTTACAGTATAAAGCCTAAAATTAAGTGATATAGCTATTTACAAAAAAAAAACCTAATTACATAATAGAATATAGATATTATTGAGAATTTGCTAGAACCTTAGCTGGCGGACTGCTTTTTCAAAAGCTGGCAATGTACTTAGGGATCTTATGGTATCAGAAATCTTTTTCCAAGTAATAGCCACCAGGTACTTTACTGAGTTCTCGCCATAAAGAGTCGTATAATAAGTCGTAGTTACGAGTCGTAGTTACAGGCCGCGTGAGGGAAACACGCGAAGGAAAGAGGAGGCGCCTTTTCTCCCCTCGCGCGTTCTCGAGATTTCTTCCTTTGCCCTGAAAAACCGGCGCCTGCTACGCCGGCCAGTGTGAGCAGGGCAAGTTAACATAATTTTAACAATAACTAAGCAATTTCTTCTGTGCTCATTGATTAAGATTAACGGAAATGGTGCATATTTCTCTCGCGCGCGTGCGATTTTCTAAGAATCGCCGGAAATGCACTTCAGAGAAACCACTAGCCTCCGATGCAACGTGGCTTTACTGCAATTTGAAAATTTTGAAAACAATCTTTACTTTTTTCGTAGTCAAGTACGGGCGAACAGTCGAAAAAAGGTCGGGAGCGAGGCTAAAAACGGAGAGCGAGATTAGGGAGGCGAGTGAGACGCTACGCCGGCGCTTCGAACCTAGAGAAAACGATTTTGATAAGCTTTGATATAAAAACCGACTGTTTTGCAGTCTACATTTGTAAGGTCTGTTCCAGTTTAGCCACTTTGGAAAACTGTTGTATATTCGTTAAATGGCACAACAGTTTAAGGACAACTAGTGAACGTGCTTCGTTATATCGGGTTCTTCGAAAAGAGGGGTTCTGATTTACTGTTGCGCAGAGCCTGTGAATTTGCTTAAAGACAAATTAAAGCTTTTTTCATTTGTATTGCAAAATCGCGGTAGGAAGAGGGAGAACTAACTTTCCTCACAGAGGTGTCATAACCTAAAATCTAGGAAGAATTAATTGGTAAAGCAAACCTCATTTCCGTCAAGAACATGATCAAGGATGAAGGCAGGTTAAGAGAGGATCGGGAGGGGAGTTTACGTAGTAGGCGCTTGTAAGTGACATGGGTGCAAGAAAAAACGGGACTAGCGCCCCGTTCTTTCTTGTGCCCGTATTACTTGCAAGCGTTGCCACGCAAGCTTTCAGGAGAGAGAAGGGTGGAGTCTAAATTTTCCCCTCTATTTTGTCTAAGATCAATTTTTGACATTGTAAAATAGAAAACCAAACTCAACTCGTTTTCCCGAAATCAAATTTGAATCCGTGCAAAGGCCAAAACGCGCCATACTTTTCCAAGCTTTGATTTAAGGGAAGAGATGATCTTCAATTTTCCTTATATGCTTTCCAAAATTGTAGCTTATTTCTCTTACAGCATCGTTTCTTATTCCATATTTCCTGATGTTGTTCCTGAACGGAATTCCCTTTTTCTTCATGGAGCTTGCCATTGGTCAGTGGTTCAGCGCTGGAGTAATTGGGGTCTGGAAATCCGTGTGCCCTCTAATGAAAGGTAAGCGTGACTCCAGAAGTTACAAAAAACGCAGACCGCGAGCGGTCGTCATTCTTTCCTCAGAACCACGCGCGGCGGGCGAAAAAGTAAAATTATGCAAATTAGAGGTAAAAAATGAGGAGAGATTAAGTGGAGAGAAATTTTTTCCTTATCTCGGACTGCACCCTCGTTCCTCGTGGCTTCGCCGCACGCCCTTTGCGCGTGTTCGCGATCTACCGTGACTCAAAAAGAAAAGTAAGCGGTTGTATCGGCCAATTGGACAAGGTATGATTGAAAGGCGGGTTGTCACCTATCAAAAGCTAATGTTTTATCAGAATATGTCCGATTCACTGTCTGATTTACCGTATTATATGGTGTGACTGATTGATCGTATTCCGTAAGAATACGCAAAAGTTTTATCGCAAATCTCTTTTACGGTTAGACCACTTAAACGGTACGTACATCGCAATATTTTATTTCAAGGAGATTTCAAGATATATTAGAAAGTAAAGGGCGCCAAAACAAGTGACTTCTAGAGTTCATTCCATTTTATTCTTATTCTGGAATACGATCAATCGAACACGCCCTTAATAGAGTATTTTCGCCCAACTGCTTATACTGATACACTCGCTTTGCGAGGTGATTAATTTTCGGTTAACTTTAGGCATATTTTCGCAGCGATCGCTCAATACCTAGCTGTTGGGTGAATACGCTACAATGGATTTCAGGCGCAGAGTGGGGTAGGGCATGCGCTACAGGGGGATGCGCATGAAGTCGAGGGAACGGTCTATCCCGTCTATTTTCTTTGCTTTTTTGCCCTATCCTAACTCTAATCCGGTGTTTAACCCCCTCCTGCATCCTCCCCATCACCCTTCCCCATGACCAGATCAAGATATTTAACAAATATTCCTCGAGCCCGAATGGGCTCTGAGTCAATAGCCAATGAGGCCGAAGGTTTTAGTAAAATCCAACTAGTTGGTCAAAAATATCGAGACAAAACAACTTTAGCTAGCAAAACGCGATTCAGCCGCCATTGTTTTGGTTTTCAAAGCCGGCGCTTTTCGCTACTAGTGGGCTTTAACATATTGCCTAGTAGTAGCTCAACCAATCAGAAAGCAGCATTGATAATAGACCACTACTTGGATATTACTAATAAATGATAGTTGCTCTTAACGATTCCAGTCTAGGAGGCAGCAGCTACAGGAGGTAACGTGGCTGAGTGGTCAGCGCGCCGTCCCGGGTTCGAGTCACGCTCTGGTCACTTGCTGGAATTGTTCTCGGTCGTCCCAAGTTCAAATCCTCGGCCAAAATGTAAATAGCCAACTGATTGCCTGTTAGCGGCCAGTTAAGGCTTTTAATCCCGTTATGTTATATTTGAATTATTTGTTTCGTAGTAAGTATTTGAGTTGCGTGCCTGTAAACTAACTACAGTCGACTCTCTTTTAACGGACACCTAGAGTTGGCCCCTGCCTTTCTCTATTCCCTTTATTTGAGTGTCTATAAGGTGGACACCTCTCTAAGACGGACACTTAGTGCCGGTCCCGAAGGTGTCCGTCTTAGAGAGAGTTGACTGTATAAACAAGTCTTTAAACCTTTTTTTAGGTATTGGTTACGCTATATGTGTGATGTCCTATCTTTGCTGTATCTACTACATTATCATTTTGTCATGGACGTTATTCTACTTGTTCGAATCATTTCGATCTGAGGTTCCTTGGAAAACATGCGATAAGCCTTGGAATACAGAATTTTGTCGGTAAGTTTAGTATTTGACCATTTTCGTGCGAGATGATATATAGTTACCCTTCGCTGAGCCTGGCAACAATCGGGAATCATAGAATTACCCCCGACCAACAAAAGTTAACGCAAATCGAAAGGAGAGTGTGTTTGGCATCGGTGGATAGTAATACTTCTCAAACTCATTAATAATTCATAAAGAAAATTCAAAGGAAATTAATGTTTAATGAGTGTTTGGATATCAGATGAAAAACTGCTCATTTTTGACCAAAAAAATTTTGTTTAACGCAAAACATTCGAAAGTGTTTCATCACCTGATGAAACACCTCGAAGTTCGTCAAAAATACTCCGCTGCGCGTCGTATTTTCAACTCTCTTCTCGGTGTTTCATCTGGTGATGAAACACTGCGTCTCATGATTGATATATTACATGAACAATGCGTTTCTTCTCATGTTGGATGCATGAATTGCAAACTTCGCTTCAAATGCAACCTGCAAATTAACGTTTTTGTTTTAACGTGCTGTCCTGATATTTAGTTTTCTTGTTTCAGTCAAATTACTAATTTGAGACCATTCCCAAACGACCTCCTGTATCCAATTTTTGAAAAGAAACACCTGAAAAAAGGTTCACGGCATGACATCAGCGAATTTCGTTTTTCTTTCCGTCGCCTTTGGGGTTTTTATAAGGAAAACCTCCTGAAAATCTGCAGGAAGTTTCAAGAATTTTAAATTTGATCTTTAAAAAACCACCAATGTGGAACTCTTTATTTCAGTAACATTTTAACGTTGGCAGAGTCACAGCTAGCCTGATAAACGTTATTTTTTGGCGTTTCTCAGGCAAGCTAAGGCCAGCGAGTGACGGGTGTGGATCGCGAGACACGCACAACGGGTTATTTTTCCTGCGCACTCCTTCGTCGCTCGTTGCTCGCCTAAAAAACGAGAAAACATAACGCCTGTTATGTCGCTAGGCCTCAGCATGGTGTAGCTATGAAGTATGATTCAGTCAAGTGAGTCACACATGAACGTACCTATTCTCGACAGAAACATCTTTTTATTCAACTTATTTTTATTATTGTTTTAATTTACCAAAACAAATTAATATAAAAGTGCGTTTAACTCCTTCTTTTATAGAGCAGAAAGAAAAGGAGGTGATATTTTTAATTGCTCAGCGTACAATTTGCCAGAAAATTGCACTGCCAAGTATACCTCTCCAACCGGCGAGTTCTGGACGTAAGTATACTCTAATAATTTTGTTATTTTCCCTGGCTTTTTGCTTCGATTTTATTTAGGCAAAGCAACAATATTGCGTTTGTTATTGATATGCTAAGCTTAGTGCCATGGGTTAGTTTTGTGTAGATTACGTGAATAATTACCGAGTCTTTGCACGCGTCCTGGCGAATTTCAAGTTGCGAATTCAGTAATGCGACATCGAAAATATTGGAAAGAAACGCAAAATATAATTTCTACGCAGAAAAGAAATGACGTACTACAGTTTTTAAACACTTTCACAAAATCTAAATATTCTCTACGTATTTGGTAAGTGATAGACGGATAATTAACAATTATTCCCCGAGCCCAAATGGGCTCTGAGTCAATAGCCCATGAGACCGAAGGCCGAACGGGCTATTGAGTGACTCAGAGGCCATGAGGGCGAGAGGAATAATTTGTTTTAGTAAAATCCAACTAGTTTGTCAAAAATAGCGAGAAAAAAAAATAGCTAGTTAAAGCTAGACTTTAATCCTTTTTTGCCGCCAAAAAGCCGGCGCTTTTCGTTACTAGTGGGCAAAAACATATAGTCTAGTAGTAGCTCAACCAATCAGAACGTATAGCATTGATAATAGGCCACTAGCTGGATTTTACTAAAATAGTTTATAATTTATATGTCCATATTTAAGACACAATGTACTGCAGATAACTGAAGAGATTGGAGACTTTGGAGATATGCGGTGGGAGCTAGTTGGAACTACATGTCTTGCTTGGGTTATTGTATTCTTCTGCCTCTTTAAAGGAATCAAGTCATCTGGAAAGGTAATTCAAACAATAAGGAGGCATCGTGGCCCAGTGGTAAGAGTGCTGGACTTGTAATTCGGAGGCCCCGAGTTCAAGTCCCGCCTTGACCGCTAGCTGGATTTGGGTTCGGTAGTCCCGAGTTCAAATCCTCGCTCACGCTTGTGAAATAACCAACTGGTTTGCCTCATACTAGTTGGGATTTTTAACTATGTTATGTTCCATTTAAACTATTTTCATTATCTCTGAAAAGCCTCATAAGGGGAGAGAATAATTATAAAAGTATATTTTCAATTATTAATTATCCTGATTTATCATATGGCAAAACAGTACTAGTACAGCCACATCCTTTACTGAGACTAGTACTTAAAGTTACCGTTTGTCATTAACTTCTCAACGTTTTATTTTTATAAATTCCAGGTCGTCTACTTCACAGCTACGTTTCCTTTTATTGTTCTTTTCATTCTCTTCATCCGTGGCGTCACTTTAGAAGGTGCTGGAAAAGGAATTCTGTTCTATCTTAAGCCAGACTTCTCACGACTTGCTGATCCTCAGGTAATCAACAAGCCTGAGTGGCAGACGCGCGCGGTAAAGGAAGATTTTTCTTGCAGGCACGAGGGAACGCGAAGGCGGTAGGAGGCTAGGTTTCTCCCCCGAGCCGCCAATCCTTCCCACACCCCCTCCCTTCTTCCGAATGCCCGCCATGCACGCCTTAAACACATTTTTGTTCCTCTTCAACAAGTGTGGCAAGGGGGAATCTAATGAGGATCCTTGAATTCCCATGTATCGCCCTATTCACCGCAGCCTAGCTAAGTCAACCCTTCCCCCTCCCCTCTCACCATTTGGTTTCAAGACGCAGGGTAAAAACATCTTAAAGCGACAAGAGAGGATGGTAATTTGCAATTTCTTAAAATCTATCCATCCTTGAGATTAAGTGTCACAACACCGATTTAAAAAGAGCCTAGCTAGAGCAAAAAGCCCCTGCATGTGACCCCACAAATGGCTTGATTGTCCTTTCAAATTGACTTGTATTTGCTCGTGGAACAAGTGAAAAATGTTTGCACTAAATCACGCAGCACTTCAATTGCAACGGACAAATCTAGAAATCTAACTAGTGTTTCCTTATTTTCCAACTCGAAAACCCTGGGGATATGGCAGTCTGTCATCACCTGTCGAAGTCGTCAGTTTCCATGGGTTGTAAGCGATGGATAGTGGCTATGTTCGCTGGCTAGATTCGAAGGAAGTGAAAGGTTACCACATCATCGTGCCAATGAAATTTCATTTTTCTATATTAGGTGTGGATTTATGCTGCGACTCAAATCTACTGGTCACTTGGAGTGGGCTTTGGAACCCTCATCACATTTGGAAGCTATAACACCTTTCAAAACAACTGCCATAGGTACCAAAGCCAGACCGGCATCAATACAATTGCCGTATTTACTCAATTGAACGCCACGGCATTTATTCGAAGGTGGAATTAATTTCAAAATCACACGAAATTCTTAAATCAATGCCACAATCATGATGTAAATCGTTTAGTGAATCAGTAATGTGTAAAACACAAAGGAAGATGTTTAAAGCTCAAGTGTCTGGCATTTTTGTTACTGAGACAAAATCCTGCCGGATTATCTGGATGGTGTATACTGAGTTTTTTCCTATAATCCTGGAATAAGCGCCGCATTCTTCTGACTGGGCGCGATAAGGACGGTGTTTATCTGTGGCGTTTATTGGGGGTGGCGTTTAATCGAGTAAGTGCGGTCTAGCCTTCACAATACTTTTCTATGGCTTAACCTTAAGTGAACGTGAGCCGTGACAGAAAGTAGTTTTGTGACACCTGTTCTTGTTGTTCTTCTACAGAGACGCGTTCATCATCACATTCACTAACTGTGGGACCAGCTTTTTCGCGGGTTTTGTGATTTTCAGTGTTCTTGGTTTCATGGCGTTCATCTTGGACACTACAGTGGCCAATGTTGCTACTTCTGGTGGGTGTCATATATAAAAACTGTTAGTAAAATCCAAGTAGTGGTCTATTATCAATGCTGCATTCTGTTGGTTGAGCTACTACTAGGCTACGTGTTATAGCCCATTAGTAGCGAAAAAGCGCCGGCTTTTTGGCCCCAAAAAAGGGTTAAAGTCTAGCTTTAACTGACTAAAGTTGTTTTGTCTCGATATTTTTGCTAACTAGTTGGATTTTACTAAACAATTATTCCTCTCGCCCTCATGGCCTCTGAGTCAACAGCCCATGAGGCCGAAGGAAGGGCTATTGACTCAGAGCCCATTCGGGCTCGATGGATAATTGTTATTATAAATAATGATGCCTAATATAAGGTATCTTAATTCCGAGTTTTCTTGCCTTCAGATATTTCTGGACATAAGTGTGGTATGTTAAAAATGTACTGAACATACACTTCCGTTTATTTCTGATCCGCTTGCCAGGTCCTGGATTGGCTTTTGTTGTTTATCCTGAAGCAATATCCCAAATGCCTTTGTCGGTTTTGTGGGCCATATTGTTTTTCTTCATGTTAGTTACTCTTGGACTGGACAGTCAGGTGAGCAAGACAAAAAGTTAACATCTTTTGTGCAAGATATTCATGTTCATTGTAAATGACCACTGTGACCACGTGATTTTCCACTGAAGATGTAATCCACTAGTATCTTAGGTCCACGCAGCATTTCCGTCCATATACGTATAACTGATCCACTACCACATTTGTAACGACATTTTCACGTTTGTAACCTTTAGTATTTAACCCCGGCTTCTTAGAATACTCGTCCGCTAAAAAATATTCAAGGAATTCTTACTCTCCTTTTTTTGAATTTCAGTTTGCCACGATTGAGGCAGTTATTACCGGCATAGTGGATGAATATCCATGGTTGAAGAAAGGCAAAAGAAAGATGATATTCGTAATTTTGTTGTGCTTAAGCATGTTTATTCTTGGGCTTCCGTGTGTTACACAGGTGAGTTAACAGCCGCCAAACTTGTCTGAAATGTTCGTTGATCGAACCTCAGTACGCCTTCCTGACTATGATTCACCCAAAAAATATATTATTTGGATGATCTACTCAAAATGTTCGGCCTTTATCGTCTGCATCTTCACGGTACCGGCTATTAACACTGCCTCCATAACCTGTAACCCACCATAACCCTAGTTACTACCCTTACCTTCCTTAATAAAAAAAGGAAGGCAACTATTCACCAATGGGAGTTCGAACGCAGGCAGGTTGTGCTTATTGGCCGGTGTGCACTTGCCTAAAATACTGGCCATTCAAAGAGGTGAGGGGGCGGGAAGAGAGCTTTACTGAAGAAGAGGCCTCATTATAACAAGGGAGTTGTAACGAATTTGTTTGGTATAGCTTAAACTGTACCGTGGTTATGAACTTCTCTGGAGGTAGATTTCCACTTACGCTTAATTTTCAAGTGCGCAAATAAAATGGAGGCAATGTATGAAGTGCCGCACATAAACGTAAAAGCGCGTTAAGCAAAAGTGGAAGTTGGCTACCAAGCAGTTACAAAAATTTTCATTAAAAATAAAGAAATCATGAACAAAAGTGCCGTGTTTAGGTTGACGTTATCCTTTCCAAATGTATCGGGCCTGGCCCTTCATCAGTGGAATTACCAGTTCATTGAAACCGTTGCAAGGTTATCTGACTTATAGACAGATACAGTACAACGGTAAAGGTTTGCCGTTTAGTCTTCTTCAAATTGAAACTGCAGTCTTTCAAATAATCAGTCAGTCATAATGGATAATTACTAAATCGTTACAAAGTAGTGGCGTTTCCTGCGCATGCGCATGCCTCTGATGGGTTTTTCCGAGTTGAACAGCCTTGTATATAGCTTGTATATAGTTCCCTATACTACGGTTTTCGTTGTGTCTTTGTTAGTATTCCGTAAAGCCATTCAAAAAAACTGGTAATGTTACCTTTTAAGGGTGGAATGTATATATTTAACTTGATGGATTACCAGACTGCTGGATTGTCTTTGCTGTTTATATCTCTGATGGAAGTTATCTCTATTGGGTGGATCTACGGTGAGTGCAGAATAATTGATCAAACTAAACGCTTAAAAAAAGTAATAACTATTATTATTATACATTGTACTCACTATCTGTATTCTCATTGGCTAAGAGCCTACAGCTAATTTTGGAAATCATCGCAACCTGCAGATTAGTTAGTTATCTGCTAGCAGATAATTTACTAATCTGTAGGTTGCGCGAGCAATGCATGATTTCCAATGACAATATCAATTTAAGTTCCTTGCAATGGTGTGTTTGTCTTTATTTTCTTCAAAACAATGTATAATGAAACAATTATTAGATTCGGTTTTTGTGATATCCTAAATAACCAAGATCTCTGTAAGTGTTATCAGCATCGGCCTTCGGCTTTGGCTGATAACTCTTACCTCGACCTTGATTATTCCGGATATCACAAAAACCTCAGCCAATAATTGTTTATTATCGCCGCAGCAGTCCTGTCCGGAGCCCTGCTGGAATTTTGTGCTGAACAGGCTTTGTATCATCGCTATTTTCACATTGCCAATACACTTTGGTTACTCCCAACACCCCCCTCTCCAACCCTCCAAAAAGAAAACAGAAAGTTGCATAAGCATTGTTTTTGTCTTGCCTTGCGACGCACGACTGTGATACTGTGATACCCAAGATAATTTGAAAATATTTCGATTTTTTGTTAATTTTTTTTGGTTACTGATGAATTATGGGCAACGTCAAAGTGGAGAATTCTCGTTACCAAAGCCTCAGGCTCTATGGCTGCTCATAACCCGGAGATTCTTAGTTCGGTTCTCATGCGCAGTTAAGAAAAAATTACTCTGGGGTCGAGAATGCTTTTTTGCATAATTAATGCAAGGTTCGCAGTGTCATGGGCAGGCTGATCCCTTAGCTGCATTACGGCGGCTTTTTAAAAATGAGCGTAAATTTACCACGACAATAAGTTGCTAGAAAACTTACATTTAAAACTGACGGATGGGAGTGTCTCGCAATCATTCAGAGATGCTTAACGTTTGTTAATTTTCCGCAAAGGTGTTGATCGATTCAGTTCAGACGTGGAAGCTATGACAGGTAGAAAGCCAAACTTGTGGTTCAGAATTGCTTGGAAATACATTTCACCTGTCGTTACACTGGTAAGCTACTTATGTTACTGGGGTGCCATTATTTTAAAATTACATCGGAGTGCTGTACACTGTAGGAGTACTCGACAAGATAGATAGCAGGTCCCAGTTGTTCAAAAGGTGGATAACGTAAGCCACCGGATTAATCGCTATCCATCTCTTAATCTATGTTCAGCGGTAGTTCTAACTTTAAACTTTCAAACGTCAACTTTATTTCAGTAAAAATGGTTTTTACAATAGACTGGCCCGCAAAATAACGATTGCTGATCTAGGCGGCCCAGTTTAAAGGAAAAAATAAATGAAGGGAAGGAAAATATTTTAAGTTACACTAATTCTTATTTCTATCATAATTTTGTTATTACGAAAAATCTTCAGAAATTTTCCGGAGTAGTCTAAAACCACTGATCATTTCTGTATCTTCGCATCCCACATAGGAGAGTATTCAGTAATAATTTGGAATAAAATTTCGATTGAGATCCAGGGGATAGTGCAATTGGTGTCCCTAATACTTATCCACTGGCATGGAATAGTGATTTATCCTTTGGATAGCGCTATTTCGTTTTTGAAAAACTGACCCTGGATTCCCGCCTGGTGTAAGTAGAGAGATTAAGCATCGTGTTCACGGCAAACGGCAAACGTGAGATTCACGTGGAGAAATGCTAAAAATGAGAAATGAGCAGATTTAAAAAATTTGTTATCCATGGATACAAATTACAAGTTATGCTAATTTATGACGAACCTCTATGGAGCGGCCACTGGCCGGTACCCAGGCAAGGGGTAGAGGTTTATAGAGATTCGACTGTACAAGTTTCAAAGCGGACGTTCTTCGGTTAAGTTTATTTTTAATTTTGATCGCCTATTTCTCCCTCGTTCCTTTCCACAGATAATCATCATGGCGAATATTATTCAATGGAATGGAGTGTCGTACAACAAAAAACCTTACCCCGGGTGGGCTGAGTTTATTGGCTGGGTTATGGCTTTATCTTCCATGTCACTTATTCCTGGATTTGCAATTTACCAGCTCTGGAAAACACCTGGAAGTATTAAAGAGGTAAAGAAGTTCTGAAATTTCCCCTAATTGACTTGAAACATTTGTGAAATGTTGCCTGCCCGCATAAATTAGCGAAATTTCGCAAAGGAAGTAGAAGTTAGTCGTTTTGACTTATCTTATTATAGAAAATTAAAGCTCCATGAAATTAACGCGAGTCGTTAACATTCGTGTTAATTTAAGTCGCGTTAATTTTGTTGAGCGTTGATTTCCGCGCTCTTAATTTCCAGTATTTTAACTCCAATTTTGGCACCTGTCCAGACATTCTTGGCACCTAAAAAACATTAACTACAAGCTTTCTTTCTTTCTTTCCATTTACCCTTTATTTTTCATCTTTCACAAAAGCTAAGGCAAAGGTTTACAATATTTCGAGGTCATCTTTATCGTTGTCGCTGTCAGAAGTGATGTCAATATCTTGTCCTTTGGTTTCAGCCAAGATAGATTTCGAATCGTCAACACCAACTGTGTCTTAATGGCGTTAATTTCCTTTATTATGAAATTCTACCTCCTCTTTCGCGTTAATTTTCTTTATTCGAAAGTCGTTTTCCATTAAATTCACGTTAATTTCCAATACCTTAATTTCATGGAGCGCTAATTTCTTATAATAAGGTACGCGTTGAACTTTTATCTCTGGCATAAGAAATTTAGTATCACCATAGGAAAATTCTACATTATGAAGGCAATCCATAATCTAGCGAAGTTTCACAAGATCTTGGGATTTACCGAAGGTTTTTTATTCTGCGTAACTTCACCCTGCTCTTATGTTTTATGAAACCTATTAGCACCATGTGGCTCTTGTTAGCACCTAGGTATGTTGCTGAAATGATATCACATTATATAGCTTATATCATAGGTGACGATTTACTCCTTAATTTTGGCGCGAAATTTCAGCGTTAATTTATAATTTCAAATGTGAAATTACAAAATTGCCATGGCAACCAAGTTCCGTACGTCTCAGTGTCAAGATGGCGACGAAATTTTAAAATGCCGTGAATGAAGATGTCAGGGCACAAAAAGACGCTTTAGAAAACCTGAACACTCAAAAGAACATCAAGTAGGATCCTAACAGGTATTTTGCCGAAAAAATCTGAAAAATTCTGAACTTTTTAAGCCAAATTTAAGGTCTAAACATTTGAGAGAGTGGAGTTCTCGATCGATACGATCCAGGATAAACATGTCAAAAATCCAAAATTGGTAACGTAATTCGTCACCCATGATAAGGCTTGGGAAATTATTAGGATTTGGACAAAACGCGCGTGAAATTATTCCCTAATTTCACTCGTCACCATTTGATTACACATACAAATCTACTGCAAGAATTTAAATCACTTTTGTATGTCTTTGTCAGCGCTTCTCCATACTTTTGAAACCCGATGAAAAAATGATGGCCCGAATTGAACGAGACCATGGTCTCCAGCGCGATAAGAATGAAGACCCGAATTTGGTGAGTGTGCCGCTGGTATAACTATGTCCTAACACGTACTAAAGCTATACTTTATAATGGCCACAACTTTGCAACTGATAGATGATCGAGTTAGAATTTTCGAGGAAATTTTTAAAAGAATGCGAAGTCAGCTGATTCTCATTGACGTTTTAATTTCCGTCATCGGATCGTAAGGCTCCTACTGAGATTCAGGGATCGTCGATCAAAATTTGCGGGTAATTACAATCACTCTCTAGTGTTTAGCCATTTGGCGCAGGAATAGAGTTTCAGTATTGCATGTCATTGTTTCAATGTTACCCGGCAATGTTATTGGAATGTGACCGGGTGAAGTAGCCTCCGTGACCCTCAGAGATGCAAGACTGACAGGCACACAATGTAATTTCTGTTGCTGCAATAGAACTCGGAGGTTGTATAGATGGATTTGGCCATTTTGGGGCCGCGCTTGAACTGTATTAAGGACTGTTTTGACAGACGAATTTTGACCCATTTTCCTCCACAACTTCGTGAAACCCAATACAAAAAGGAGCAGTGTCCTTAAAACCATCTCAGGCCCATAGTGCAATTCGACACAACACCGACCCAGTCTCAGGTGCCTTTCTTTATTCTTTTCCGTGTTTTTTTTTTTCTTTCTTTTCTATTCTCATTTTTCCTTACGTTTTTTTTTTTTTGGTTTATGCTTCTGTTTCATTTTCCACTTTATAGCTGTGAGAAGCAACCATGTGAGACTGATCAATGCATTGTCTATACCCTTTCAACTAAATGCTGCTGGGAATTCGGCGATTGAGAGCAAGCCCAGGTGGTAATTGTTATGAATCCAAATCGTACAACTCTGTCTTATTTTTTTTTTTAAAGCATAACACTAGCTACAATTATGTGATCAGATTTTGGAAAACGTATTTAATACCGCTTTAATAGGCCACAACATGAATAAGGTACATACAGATTATTTTCTTTTCTTCGTTAGTTGTTTCATTTTTCTTAATAGAAGTTTTTGTAATTTTTATTCTCTAGCCCAAAGTAAATTTTATGGTTTAGGCTATAGGTTAAGTCCAGTCAGCTCAGACAACGGAGAAGCAAGTCAGTGTTTCAGTTCTTTTTTCTGTTTATTTAACTTTTACAAAATAAATGTATAGAAACGAATGATCCTTTCTTGCATGACTTGTATAAAATCATTATGGTCGGCATGTCTTGGTTTTGTTCTGGTCTTCAAGAATCTCGCGGGGGAGGGGCTACTCCTATGAAATAAACTACACGGGCCCCGGTGAATGCCACTCAACCCCCTCATTAAATAGAACTGGGTATGCAAATAATCTTTTCTCTGGTCTCTCAGGAAAAGGGGTTCATTATTTTTAACTTTAATTATAATTTTATACTCTTCAACGCTGCATAATGGTCGTGTTTGTTCCCAGGACCCAGTTGTAATTCAACGAGATTATCACTGGCTTCACTTGACTTCATGAACTGGGTAATGGCCTTCGCGTTTTGGACAGTTTTTGGCAACTTATTTAGAGCTTCTGTATGAAGCTTATACTGCCATAACCTATGACTATAAAACTGAATAACTTTTCGAAAGTGCTCGACTACAACCAGAATTTGTCTTCCTATTTTCCCCCGTTTCATTTTTTAGTCTATTCATTGCTGTGTGCAATAGCTTTGTCCATTTCCACTAGAGCTTATGACTGCCTGTGTTTTCACGTAAATCTGCATCTAATTATCACGTAACCTCTGTGTCACGGCTGACCATAGTTCGTTTTGGGAATACAGTAAAAACCCGCCTATAACAACGTAGATTTTACATAAGAACCTGTTTTAGCCTACAATTTTGAAACAAGTTCTTATTTTGAGAAATTCAGTTAAAACTGAATACACAAATTTAATTGAACAAGCTCTACCAGTGAGTGTAATAAAGATAAAACCCTGGCAATGAGATAATTTACATTTAGATCTACATATATCCTTGTTCTTTTGTTCTGTTTAACTTGCATAGCTTTGTTAACGTGCTTGGATTAAATGGATTTTTATAACATATCATGCATGCAATACCAAAAATAGGTCCAAAATAGGCCACACCCACCAATAACAAACACCTTATTAATTTTTTAAAAATAAGAACCTTTTTAAGAACCTGAGTAGCCTATTTTCCAGTTAGCACCATTTTTATAAAAACCTTCTTGGCCTAGCTTGGAAAAACTTACATTCTTATATGCGAGTTTTTACTGTGCGGATTACACGTCTTAATTTCGGAAAGGAAATTTAAAAAAAAGTTAGAGACGGAATTACTGGCAAAATCACAGATATGTGATACGTATCCCAAGCATTAAATCAAACGATACAGAAAACAAAAATAAACTATAAAAAAAAGTTAAACTAACAATTTTAATCCGTTTTAATCTTCTTAAGCTTCAAGTTTGTCCATCCCTGGCTTGTCTTAGTCTGCATTATAACTGAGTAGGATTATATTTAACCTTCTTTTAAATGTTTTGAGGTGGTTATTTTTGTTTCAGTCAGTGTGGTGGCAGTTCTCGCTGTCTAAATTTTGATTAATTTCGTGACACGGCTCCTTTAATCATGTTTAAGCTCCTCGAATTACCGTCATTCCTCGAACAAGAATCTTGCGCCTGGGGAAAAAGTAAAAACAAATAGTCTAGCACCTACAATCTCGAACAAAATAAATGATAAACGTACTTACAGTGACGTTACTTATCCATTTTCATTTTAAAAAACACATAAATGTTTTCCGGTTGAATTTCAAATCAATTCATCAATATTTTTACAACGAAGGCACCAAGATTAGAACACCCTTTGTCAAAGAGGCGTGGTAATACTTGTACTCCTCAAACGTAGGTGACAATGTTTTCCGGTCGCCCGGTAAGTACAATCGCTCTTTCCCCGCCAAATTCGTTCATGGATTTGTTGACGAGTTCTGAAAAATGGTAGGAGCCAGAAGTCTATCTTGCCAGAAACCTATCAGCGCTGATTATAAACAGTAGATACGTTGACAGCAGTTCACCTTTCATCTCATTTTTGCCAATAAAAAAAATTATAAAGCAACGTTGTTTGGCGTCGGTAATGCAATGCCAGTCTAAATCAGTCTAACGCCGCTGACCTTTTGCACTGAGTTTGATTACTTCCCTGTAACTGTATACTCCACATCCTAGTTCGTTTCAGCGTGTTTCAGTAGAGGAAGGCAGGAGCGCGGTAAACAACGTTGACAACTATGACTGCCGAATCAGGCAACAAGAGTGACTTTGATCTCTACCCGGTTGCAAATCCAAGCAACATCACCCTCACAAGAGCCGAAGAGAGGCAAGACGATGTTTCGCCGATTATCACAGAGCCAACCCGTGAGAATTGGCCAAGAAAACTAGATTTCCTTCTCTCTTGTATCGGGTATGCTGTCGGGCTTGGAAATGTATGGCGCTTTCCTTACCTGTGTTACAATAACGGAGGAGGTAAATTATGTTTCTTCAGTTTGCTTTTTTGTGTTGTATTTCTGCACATCTTGCGTACAAAAGGTGCAAAATATGTTGTTATGTCATCGAACTCGTCTATTGAAGTTGGTCGGGTCAACAGCACCCTTTAGAATTGGCTTGCGCCCATGGCCAACATGCAACTGTTTGACCCTTTAATTGTGTGTTACGGCTCAAATTGATGCTTGTTCGATATTCTATTGCTGAATTCGTTGTCAGTTACTTATTATTTTTATTTTTAACTTTCTTACTGCGAAAATTTTAAACATCCTTCCGTGTTTATTGAACAGCGAAGTTCTAAGTCCAAAATCGGTGTAGAAGTAGAATTCGCTGTGTTTGTAGGCGTCCTTGAGATATGCGCCAATTAACAAGACCAAACACTGCGGAACCAGCGGAAACGGCGGAACGTAAGGAAATGACTGTTTTTATTACAACTACCTTTTAAGCTTTAGTTACAATAATTATTTTTTTACAATAACTAGAGAGCTGTTCAGACGATAACACTAGCAGAATGAAGTGATGGTGGCGCAGTTTGTTTTCTCTTTCTCACAAGCGATTTTGCGCGAAAAGTCAACGGAAATGGAAGACAAAAACTGCTCATGTTACAGTTGACTCCCGATAACTCGAACCCTCGCTGACTTGAACCTCGCGCGAACTCGAATCAAAATCGATTTCCCCTGGATTTCCGTCATACATTTACTGTAATTTTACCCTCGATAACTCGAACCTCCCGTTAACTTGAAGTAATTTTTGTTTCCCCTTAGATCATTTCTATATAATTTTACCCTCGAAAACTCGAACCATGTTTTGAGCCCTTAAAACGTCGGAAAAAAAAACAGCGAACCTGGCGTCCGAAACATCGAATTTTGAATTTCCCATTGACGTGATCGAAAACGTGCTCTAGCCATATAGTTTACTAGTGGAGGCTGATGTTGTTTGTCACAAATCTAATTTGAAACAGCTTTACTTCTCAAAACAGTACATCGCATACTCAATTTAGGCAATGCTTTGTTACGTCACGTTCTGATTTATAATCTAGAAATATCTTTTCTGATCTTTCAATTGTCTCTTTAACCTTTCTACAATTAAATGGGTGATTAAAATGTTCACTGTGTAGAAAAAACTGGTTTTTTTCCTTACTTCCGGCTATTTTCTTCGAGCTCCCGATAACTCGAACTTTTTTCGATTTCCCTTTAAGGTTCGGGAGTCGACTGTATTGGCGCCTGCTAACCGCTCTACAGCCACCATATACACACAGAAACTCTTTGCGACCTCATCAAATGCATTCTCACTATAAACGTCTATTTTTATCCCATCTGTTACATAAATACCCTTCATCCCACTCGGATTTACATCTAACTACTCATGCAGGCAAATCTTTCTCCTTTCTCGACGTCAAGGTGTCCCTCAATGACGGTATTTGAAAAACTGTTCTTTAATACTGACCTAGAGACAAACATCAGTATCTTTTACGCTCATCGTGTCGCCTCTTACTACCCTGCATAACATGCCAGGCGCTTTATGGGCCATGCGAGGCAAACAAGGAATTTCGCGCGAATCTTTCTCCTGCGAAACCTCGCTTGGTTCATGAAGCGGGGAGTAACAGTGGTTATGCAATAAAGCCAAAAAAAAAAAACAGTACAAAACGACAAGCAGACAATACATCGCAGGTAAATCTTTTTTATTCACTTCATTGAAGGAAAAATCAGATTAAACGTTATTTAGCGTTCGCAGATTTCAGTATTTTATTTCTTAATACTAGTCATAGATGTCACTAAATCTACCCCCGACCTTTTAAAAACCGAATTAAGACTCCATGTGGTTGTCCATGTATTTGCCATGAACCTTTGAAACATGGACCACTGTTTCAAGTCTCTCACCTTTGAGATATTTCCCAGTTCACTTTTTCTGATCCTTGTATCAAATAAAATAATTGGGATTTCGCAATAAACTAACCCTACAAACACATGGACCACTGTTTCAAGTTTCTCACCTTTGAGATCTTTCTCGGTTCACTTTCTCTGATCCTTTTCTCTTCTTTATTAAATCCTGAATACCTTCAGTTAATATAGAACAAAACCCGGTTATTTCACGTTAGCACCCTTCTTGTTTTTGACTGGGTCTTGAAATATTTGAGCTATTCCTGATGTGGCTTGAATCGAGTCCGTCGATCCACGTTGCTGATTTGTCTGACAAATCAAGTTCAAAGTTCTGTCGATCCACGTTGCTGATTTGGTGTCTGACAAGTCAAGTTCATTTTTGAATACCAAACAATTCCAATACTGTTGAATAGCTTTTTGATAAAAAGAAATCGGAAAATTGATGTGCTACAAGATACTCTATGATAAAAATACTCACCTTATAGCTCGGAGTGAAATCCTGACTCAATTCGGCGAATGCGACTGTTTGCGCGGTTGCTGAGCCAGGCGCACATGCTGAAAATTAACCGGGACCATCGTGCGCGCCCAGTTTCATCAAATCGAGAAAATTTTCGCATACCGTAGTACGACGATACGATACTTTTTCTTTACGAGGGGGACATTAGGGGTGCCCCCTGGCCTCGGGTTCCAGCCTCTGGGCAGGAACCCTGCGGGGGCAACAAAGTCCCTTATTTTCAACTGTCGCCTGATACGCGACACCGACGCGTCCAGCACAAAGGTCACGCGTCACTTGCCTGCCTCGCAGACGCTCTAAACCTTCTGTATAACAAATGGTTTAGGCGAGTACGTTGGCCGGCTGCAACGCAGGCTACGCGTCACCTATGGTATGTTAATTACTTCACAGTCTATCAGCGTTATAATTGATTTTAACTAGTTATTTTGTCACGTTAGCTAAAGGTAGTTGTAAAAAAACAGTAATTTCCTTAGGTTCCGCCGGTTCCGCAGGTTCTGCGGTTCCACGGAATGCAGTTCCACAGATTAGTCTTACCCCCTATATGATATTGACGCGGTATTGTAGAATCATTTTTAAGGGACAATCTTGCTGTTCCTAAATTAAAGTGAATCAGTCCACCAAACTGGTTCTTTATGTGTTGAAAATGAGACTGACCTCTGCTAAGCCCTCCTGTATCTCTTTTACAAAGCACCGCTCGACATGACATGTAACGAAAGTATTAAAACATTCTCAAGAACTCACGAGTTAAGCCGCAGCTTGAACTAAAGTTTATTTGTCACTTTCAGTGCTTAAGAGATGGCTTTCTCGTATTCTCCTTTCTTCAGCCAACTTCACTTTGCAAGAAGATTAACTTATTGTTTCCAACTGAATGTAACAAACCCTGAGCACGAGCCAAGTCCCAGGCTTCATCGGTTCTTAACAAGATCAAAAATTCTTAACTATAATTACCATAATCTGTAAAGTTCTTAGCCACGAGGTTGTGTCAGGCAATCCAAGTCACCATAGACAAAGTCTTCAATTTGTTTAGCGGACACAGGAATGCCATGCTTGTTTGACTCGATTTTGGCTCGAAAATGACGCAGACCGGTTGTTCTAGTCCGGCTCCGATTGTGCTCCAGATCTGCCCGGCCTCGGTTTTCACATGACGTCACCAAAAATTCAAACTAAGAAACTATCGATTCTTCTGAGTTTCTGAGTTTCATGAGGTATTAGAGCTCCTAAACACCTATATTTGGACAAAGTTTTGGTTCGAAAGGGTTGTTCGTTTTGCGATAGAGGTGACGTTTGAATTTCTAGCCTTTTGCGTGACGCAGCATTTTAGCTGGCGGCTCTTATGTGGGTTAAAAACATTACCAATTCTGGGAGATTTTGCTATCTAAACATTCCTTGTCTCAGAATAAATATCACTTTAATCCTTTTGGTTGGTTAAGCGAAAAAAAAAACGTCATGCCCGAGAACTTTCTAGAAATCAATCGATACTTCGCTTTGACGTCATACTGCCACACGATTGGCCAATCGAACAATGCCTTCTCCATATTAGGGTTTTCTTTGGCGGGAAAACGAAGAGGCCATGTTTTAATCTCTCATCCGTTGGCTGATAAAATAAATAGCGAACATTTACCGATTGCGGAAACCATTATTCAAGGTCATGCGAAAATCGCTCTATATATTCAAATGAATCGCCATGTTTTTTACAAACATTCTGGTCGTTTCGTGGGGTGTTATGTCCTTTTTCCGTACATTAGTTTTATTGACATCCCCTTTAATTAAAGACCGGATCCTTGTTCAGAGGCTAGTCTTCACTGGAGAGCCAGCCTGTAGAACAGGAGTTACTAAAGAAGCGTTCTACTAAACAGGGACCTTAAAGGGTAAAAGGAAAATCTTACAAACAAACTACTGATAAATACTTGGTGATAAACAAAACAAAATCAATAATATAATTATCTGCGGCCTGGATAAGCGATACGGATTATGGCAAGTACTAAATGATCAGCCCAGACCTTCAGATAAGACGGGGGGGTCATCGAAACCCTGAGTAAGAGGGGGGGAGCGGCCTCAAAAAAAAATGTTTTCGCCCTTCGGGCCTCACTTGGTCTAAAATAAGGGGGGGCGGGCCCCTCCCCTGGATCGGCCGCTCATAATAATTAGAATAATGCTAAAAGTGACAAGAGCAGCAATCGTATTGTTTCATACATCCACAGTGGTATCACGTCTCAGTTCAATGTAGCTAGTAACCAAGATTCAGTTTATTATTGTGGCAATGCGAGGTGGTGGGAAATCAACCTCGTTTCCAGGATTCTCTCCTACTCGTCCCTCCTGGGAAAGAGGTTGGAGAGAGTCTCAGATTCTCCGTGTCGAGTTATCATCTTGATTACAAGTTAAGAGTGTGTATTATCGCGAACACGCTTTGATGGCTGAGTCCATATTAGATTTAGGTTTATATTTAACCTTCTTCTACAGTCAAGGCAGGTCAAGCGTACCCCACAAGATTCTTTTTGTGAATTGATTATTTGAAAAATGAATCCGTTTGTTGTTCCCGTAACGGGTGTCAAATTCAATTCGGCATTCTGCATGCGTATACCCTGCGAACAGAGTCTCCTTCGACCTTGCTACTGAGCAGTGAATATGTTACGAGAACTTCTCTGTATTTGGACAGGGAAACTGAGCTAAACTGAGCTAACGCGTGTCAATTCAGAGCTCATTACGAAAGCAAGAATGCAGACTGACTAAGATGACTCTGAAATCAGAAGTAACAAGGGGTTCAACTTTCGAATAACAAATTCATTAATGGAATCTTGCAGGGTAGGATTGACCTCGCTTGACTGTAAAATAACTTCTTTGTAAAGCTGTTATATAACATGATGGTAGTTGCCTTGGAGATCATTCATTCAAGTGATTCAGCCCCAGGGGTTTCAATAAAAATTGAAGTAGGCAGCAGATTTGAATAGAGTAACCGACTGTATCAACAGCCTACACTGCCTACATTTTCGAGGGGTTTCTGGGGGCATGCTCTCTCAGAAAATTTTAAAATTGCAAAGCGTCCAGCGTTTAGGGGACTAACCTGAGAATAAAAGAGCGAGTTTTCCATTCAAGAAGATTTGGGTTTTAGTCAAATTATAATTTATTGGCCACACAATAAACTCCTGCAAGCAATGAACAAATGATAATTATACTAAGTTACAGAGTTTCATTTCCGCGTGAACAAATTATATTTTTGTACATGACATTACTCAAACTTGCTTCTTCTTCGGAGGAAAAAGTAGCCGACTTCACTGAGCAATGTAGCCGACGCGTCTCGTCGGTCGTCGGTGGTTATTGAAACCCTTGAACCCACTCTTTGACTGATCTATTTTTTTTGTACTCAGTACTGCACTGTGATCAAAGTCTTTGTCCGTTGTCTATTGTGCACCGAAAGGCGGTTTTAAATAAAATTGAGTGTCCATGTCAGTAACCTTTCTTTTAATAATTTGTGTATTTGCCGGTAGGAACATTCTTTAGCTTATCTTTGATCTTTGCAAGTTTGTCATAAGACAAGTTCACATGCAACCGACACATGTTCTGTAAAATTATGAAGAAATACGTCTTAGGCCAGAGAGTTGTTGCTGAATTTATTTAAAACCCCACTCTTAAAAGATTCTCTTGATAAAAATAATTCTTTGTCACGCTCAAATGATCCGTTTTTGTAGCAACTCAATTAGCAAACACAACGCCGGGCGTGAACCTCGTGTCTCTAGCTTTTGTACTGCTATCCCTGAGCTGAAAAAGCTCAGTACACCTGGGGTACCCGCAAAGGCGAAGTAAAAAAGTTAAACCAAAGGTGAAGTTCCTTTGACTGAAGTTTGTTTCGCTTTGTCTACAGTGAGTATTGACTGCAAACAGCCGAGTCCTGTGTGATTATTGTTTGATCCGGATGTTGATATTGTCGACATATCTGTAGTGAATAACTGACTTCTTTGACTTCTTTGGGTTGATTCGCTCACAAGATTATTTGGCAGTTCGTGAATTGCTCAATAAGGTTTAAACCAAGCTTCCTTTAATTCAAAAACAAAAGCGAACAAGAAAATTAATTCACCATTTGTTCAAGAGAACACAGTGCATTTCGTAATAATATGAATGGAATTTCGTCACATGGCACTTAAACAATGCTTTTTTATGTTTGGCGGCAAAATTAGTATGCAGTTCTGATGAAGCTCTCTCGTAATTACTGATCCATTGCAATATCAGCCCAGTCACCTAGTCGCTGTACAAACTAGTGTTGGACACAGGAGTCCGTGAACATTACCCATCGACATGGCCAGTAGAGGCGTTAACCAAGATCTGTACCCCGTCGGTTACGACAGCCGGGCAGGCCTTGCTGACTCTGAAGTCAGGCAGAGTAAAGCAAGCGTCGATCCTTCAAGGGAGCCCATGGTTGAGGTAGAAGAGCGAGAACATTGGGGTCGCAAGCTGGACTTCTTGCTTTCCTGTATTGGGTACGCTGTCGGTCTGGGTAATGTGTGGAGATTCCCGTATCTTTGTTACAACAACGGTGGAGGTAATTCAGTAATTTGACCACGAAAATTGATCTCTTCTTTGCTCGATTTTTCTGACCAATGACGCATAACTTAAGAATGCATGAAGCGAAGCCGTTTTTAAGGTACTTCGCAGCTACTTGTGAAGTCGTTGGTTTATCTAAATTAAGATATCACAAAGAATGCAGCAAAGTTCAAATCGATATGTTTCATGTAGACACGCATTCATGTTACTTGGATGTTACGATAAGTGAATTTTTTTAAGGGAGAACGGAAATAGCGTGACTGCCGTAGATTCGTAGATTTAAGTCGAAAACACTGCGAGGCCGGAAGCTAAATATTCTGATTGAAAGAATCTTGTGCGGTATCGGTCAATCACGATAATTTCAGATGTTGTTATCTTTGATTAGTGGTCAGTGCTACCGAGCTGTATTCAAGTCTTAACGGGCGATGGTTTGCTCCAGGATTGAAGCCGTGTAAAAAGGAGATTAGGCTTATAATGAAAGACAAAGGAAAACATGCGTCCTGCTGCAAAAATTTGCATCTTAATTGCATCTTTATCCAAAACAACTCCAAAACAAATGAAGAACGGCTAAAAATCATTTCAGACGTTTGAAAAAATGTAGACAGCCGCACTTGCAACTGTCAAAGCCGATATAAGTGTTACAAGAAGTTGCTGACCGTTGTGTATAAAGGCAGCATGGTGTAATCAAAATTTTGTTTTGTCTATCAAAACTCAATTATGGAATGTCTCGCAATTGAACGCTTGGCTTAATTCCAGAAAGCTCCTGACATTTTGGACATAACTTTTGTTAGTTTTGTCTGTGAGCTAATTTTAAAAAGGGTACACCCATTGCACTTGGCTATCTTGCTAGTGCAAAGTACAATTCAAAAGAATTTAAAAAAACAGTCTCACTCCCTTTTCACGTGCTCATACAGCCGGCGTTGACCCCAAGCACGGTATTAAACACAGGGGCGGATCTAGGGGGAGGGTGCAGGGGGTGCGCACCCCCCTCCCCTAAGATGACCTGCGGTTTTCTAATAGGACTGGTATTCTGCAAAAAAAAATACTATGTGGTTTATTGGTGTTGAAGTAGAGCAAGAGACGAGTGCACCCCCTCCTAAAAAAAATCCTGGATCCGCCCCTGAAACAGAAGCGAAAACTTCACCCAAAATAGGATTCGCGTTGTGTCAAAATTCATTGCTCTTATTCCAGTTCTTCTTGTTTGTCATAAGTTGGTGATTTTTTCAGGAGTTGAATTCTAAAGGACTACATGCATGTAACTTCACAAAAGAAAAAGAAAACCGTTGTCTTGTGATCCTGTCCTCCATGAAAACGTGAAATTAGGAAGTTTCACGTTGTAGCGCGCAACGAGGGCAAAGGAATGTTCACAAAAGCGTGATGCACATGCAACGTTGTTGTTTTGCCAGTCTAAACCAAGAGTCATAATTATCGCTCTTGTCTAAACCTATAGACCTTTTTACCTATACGGCGGCCATATTGAATTATTTGAGGAGTATTATGGGATGCCCAGGGGGCATGAGCACATTTCGTTTGTATTTTCGAGCGCTTTTCGGGACATTTTTTCGTAAAGTTTTCTTAGAATAAGATTGTAATGGGAAAAAAGATCCTTGTGCCGTATTTGGATGTAATATTGATTGTCTTTTTCTAGTTTAGTATTAGAACTAGTAATAGTTGACACTAGAGCTGCCCCCGTTCTGTATATTTTCGGTCAATAGTATTCTTGCTGGTTGTGTAGCTCTTTGAAATATACCGATTCATAATGAAGATTTTCACGCATATTCCATACAATAGGTGAGATAAATACAGGAAACGCAAGGTTCCATGCACAGTTTCAGCTCGATTTACACAGCTTTGATCAAAACATTCTCAGTTTCGAGAATAGTTTATTCTAAACCATAAGAAAAGATTTAATTAGAAGTTGAATTTTTCGCTATTTCTCTTTCCCTTTTTACATTCAGTTCATTTTATTTGTCGGAAAGTAAGCCTTAGAAATTTTAAAAAACGACGTTTGATCGATTCACGCTGGCGCATTCTAGTCTTATTTGAAACTTTATAACGGAAGGACATCTGTGAGCAGGGAATAAGTCAGCACAGAATTTGATTGTCGGCGAATTTCTGTAAATGTCCATCAATCTGCTAGTGATAAGCTAGCCGTTGTTCACTCGTCTTGCTTGTTTGGGGCTGAGTCTAATTCCGGTCAAAGAGAGAGAAAGAGGTGAGTGTCTGGCAAGATTTCCAATATAAATCAAAGATTTGTGAACTCGTGTCTGGCAAACTCTCCAAGTGTTTATATATACACAGTAAAGCATCTTATAACCTCCCCTGCGCTTAACGAGTGTCTTTTGGTCCATAACTTTCAAAACAACTGCTCCACAGAATGTCACTGCGTAACGCAAAAGAGTATCGAAGTATGATTGGACAATAAATGTCACAAAATCTACCTGAGGGGTCCAATCATGATTTTCTGTCTTTGCGTCATCCTAACCATTTCGTACTTGCGGGCGCAAACAACAGAAACGTCATCGTTACCTACCGATTCCTCGCGGCCCCAGTTCGAGCAAATCGAGATTTTTTCTAGTATACTGACTGTATATTTGAACTGGAAGTACTGTCCTTAATATACGCGCGAGCTACTAGGGTGCCTCCTCGAGATTTCGCCTCTGGGCGAAATCACTGCGGGGGCAAATATGGTCTTTCACTGTATATTTCAGCTCGGGAAAAAGGCGATCATTATTACATCCAAACACGGCACAAGGATCTTTTTTCCCATTACAATCTTATTCTAAGAAAACTTTAAGAAAAAATGTCCCGAAAAGCGCTCGAAAATACAAACGAAATGTGTTCATGCCCCCCTGGGCATCCTATAATACTCCTTAAATCGCATTAATTTAATACGGCTGCCTTATCGGTAAAAAGGTCTATTGCTTTTTTGCTGTCCACGTTGCCGTCGTCGTCGTCGTCGTCGTTGCTTAGCTCCAGGGTAACCTGTTGTTGTGACACATATTCATGTCCCGGGCGCATTTTGGCCGCGAAGATAACTAGTTTGAAAAGAATGTTCATCGGGCGTCGAAATTTGGCAGCTGTGAGTTTAAATGAAATGATAATTAAGCATCAACAGTGCGTCGATTGTATAGTCACGGTTACAGCTGCTGATTCAGTGATTATAAGTTAACTCCGTACAACCTAAAGTGCAACTGCTCATCTTTAGTAAGTTTTAGCTTATAGGATACGTCATGCATATATGATCTTTCAGCTAGGATGACGGGGTGGGAAGGGAAGAAAATGAACCAAAAACCATTGCTCTTCCCACATAACATATCCCTTTACTTTGAAAATGGGACGTCAATTCAAAGAGAAAGGCTTCCAAGTTCTTTACGATCGCAGTTCGTGCTTGCCTCCATTTCTTTAGCTTGTATCTTTGTTTTCCTTTCCAGCGTCATTCCTGATCCCGTATGTCATCTGCTTGGTCTTCTGTGGAATTCCAATCTTCTATCTAGAGGTCGCTCTTGGCCAGTATGTTGGACAGGGCGTGGTCGGCGCTTGGGCGGCTGTTTGTCCATTCTTGGGAGGTAAGTAGCTATTATTTCTTCCTCATTTGCTGTCGGCCTAAATATTTTTGTTTCTTGTGTCTTACAACCCATCGCTGTAGCTAATCAGTCTTACTATACTTTTTTTAAAATTTGTAGTTTTACTCGTTTTGTTATGATAGCGATTTTATTACGGGGTCAGAGATTACCCTGGTGGAATCTTTTGGCGATGACTCGAATTTCGGATCGGTCACTATGTCATATTTCGATTTTTGAACCTTAAGAATTGAGGTGAAGAGTTTTTTAGTCCATGAATCATTTTCAGTTTTCGTTATCTTAAAACTTAATTCCGTTTCTTTCCCCAGCATGAAAACAAATTCTAATCGTTGAGCGTGGAATTCAGTGTACTTTTAAAATCGCTTTCCGGAACCCCAGGGCCGAGTTGTTCAAAGCTGGGTTAAGATAACCCAGGGTTAGCGCGAGATTTAAATCAGTTTTGTAAGCTTAAAAAGCATTTCCGTTTTTCTTTTCGTCTACAAATTGATGATTGGAAGCTCTAGAAATAACAGAGAAAATTGTCCGAGAAAATGCTTTTGAACACAAGAAAGAGAAACCCGGGTTAAACGCTAATCGGCCTTCGAACAACTGGGCCCAGATCGATAAAGCAGTTTACCAATTAACAATCAGTTTGATTGATGACTTAACCCTTGCATTCCCAGAGTGACTAGAGGAGTTTTGTAAGGTGGTTCTTGCTTTTGGACAAAATCCTATGGTGTGACCATTCAAATAAAATATCTTTGACACTACTTTCACATAGCCGGTATCATAGGTTTTGCTTTATTTTACTTTATGAAATTTGAAATCAAACGTTAAATTCACTTTTAGGAGTTAATTGAGGCCCCGTCCACACATATCCGTTTTTGTTTCAAAATAAGCGCTCTCTAGAGTGGAGCCGTTTTGTTGCAGTCATGTGGATAGATGAATACAGAGGGTTTTGAAAACGATTTCGTCACGTTGTTGGATACCAGTAACTAGAGACCTTTAGATTCTAAGACGAGTACGACTACGAGTACGAGATTTTCTCAATACTAAGTAGTGCACGCGCGTGAACCAGCGTCATTTTGGCGGGAAAATGTGGTAGCCGTCGTCACTCTACTACGAGTTTTATCAAGAATGTCGAAGTGGCGGAAACAAGTTATCAAATGTTAGAAGTTTAATCATTTTGCGATCGGAAGGGTGTAACTTCCTTCACTAAAGGTAACAGTGCTAACTTTTCTAGTGAAAAGGGGTAAAATGAAGCTTTCCGGGGAGTCTACATTTTGAAAATACGCGAAAAAACAATCTCGTACTCGTAGTAGTCCTTGAAACTAAAGGTCTCTAATGCGCATGCTTCCATTAAAGATGTTATCGTTTTCTGTGACACTATTGCGTTTTCGTTTGGATGGGCAAAAGCGATTCAAAAAATGCAACGTGTGGACGCGGAGTGTTTTCGCATTGGATAAAAAAATCTCCGTTTTCAAACACAAACGGAAACATGCGAACGGGACCTAAGACTAACTGGCTTTAGTAAAATCCAATTAGTGGTGTATTATCAATGCTGCGTTCTGATTGGTTGAGCTACTACTAGGCTATATGTTATAGCCCACCAGTAGCGAAAAGCACAGGCTTTGAAAACCAAAATAATGCGGCTGAATCGCGTTTTGCTAGCTAAAGCTGTTTTGTCTCGATATTTTTGACCAACTAGTTGAATTTTACTAAATTAACAATTATTCCTTGAGCCCGAATGGCCTTTGAGTCAATAGCCCATTCGGGCTCGAGGAATAATTGTTAAATAACTGTTAACTAATACTATTTTTTTCAAATTTATTTTAACAGGCATTGGTCTTGCCATGGTGATTATCACCTTCCTCTGTAGCGTGTACTACAATGTGATCATCGCATGGACGTTTTATTACATGTTTGCTTCGTTCCGGAGCACGCTACCATGGGAAAAATGTGAAACGGCTTGGAGCGACAATTTGTGCAAGTATGTTAAAACTCGTGCATTTCCTTAACTCTCTTTCCATTTTTATTACTTTGCTTTTTGAATTAATATTTTTTGCAATTGAACCGAAAAACTTGTTGTTTTCCTTTCGACTTGAAAGAAGTCAGGTTTAGCTATAATTCGGTATTCAGGTGACTTAAAAATGTCACAGTGTATGTTAACTTAACATGAGCAAGAAAACAAATCTGGAGGTGGCTGGTTTATCTACGTAAAGAGATCGAGTGTTTCCAAGTAAAGTTAGAACATCTAAGAATCCGAGATGACTTACAGCTGTAATATACTACTGCAAAAAAACACACTTACTGAGAAACGAGGTATGCCAGGTTGAGCTCAGTTTATAGTTTGTTACTCAGTCAGTCGGTCGGTCGGTCGGTCGGTTGGTTGGTTGGCTAAAACGTAGCCTGTTAGTCAGTCAGTCAGTTAGTTAATTAGTTCCTGTAAGTTAATTACTAAATAAGATAGTTTGTCGTGTAAGTTAGTTAGGCCCGGTTCAGACGCCGCTCCACTCATGTTCCGAACCTAACTGATGAATTAAGTACGGCAAAAGAGCGGCGTCTGAATCAGTTTGGTACGGCAGTTTTAGTTTGGTGCGGCAAAAGCATTAAATTCGACAGAGTCTGTCAAACGTTTGTCGAACTTAACTTAGGTTCGACACACGGTACGCCGTCTGAATCACATGTCACGCCAAAGTCGAACTTATTCAGTTAGGTTCGGCACATGAAAAGTACGGCGTCTGAACCAGGCCTTAGTTAGTTAGTTACTGAGTTAAGTAGTTAACTACTAAAAGTCAGCCTCCCAGCGTTCAAAATAAAACAACTAGTCTCTCGTAATACTAGTGTCTTACAATAAAAAATGGAACTTTTAATTAAGTGAGCTATCCTTATGTTTGACAATAATGTACTTTTGTTTCCCTTCTTTAGACAAGAACGCGGTGGTAGTGCTCCCAACTGTTCGCTTTTGGAACAAAAACCAAACTGTACGTGGATCTCTCCTGAGGAACAATACTTCAAGTAAGCCGAGTTTAATTGAAGAGTGCTTCGCGTTAACGGCACAGCAGCCATAGAAAAACCCTACGTAAGGCAATCCAAGACAGTCTTGGACCCTCGGATTCCACTCTGTGAATTCCGGATCATTTTCCTTGACAGTGGAGCATGGATTCCAGGTTCCAGTTGCATGTTAGTGCGATCCGGGTTCCTTGAATTGAATTACGGATTTCAAAGCCCAGAATTCCGTATTTCACCGGCAAAATTATCTCGGATTCCGGAATCCGGATTACCCCGTGCAGTTGTAGTTCGAAAATCGAGTCCCAAAGGCACGTTCAACTCTTTGCGCGCACTTTTCGCGTTTACATTTGACGTTGCGTTCTTTGCGTTGTCGGCTTTGCTAAATCTGTCTATTATCTGATCGCGTAACTGAGTATTACACTCGTACAATAGTAACTGAGGACGATACTTATGCAAAATTTGGGAAGTGGCAAATAAGGTGTATTGTGGACAATGTGAAAGTGGTTTTCCTTCCTTATTATAGGGGAAAATCCCTGCACAGGAGAATGACTTTCGGCCAGTTTGGTGCACATAAAATGAAAATCTGGTATCCGCCTTAAAAGTTGACAGCTTTAGCCTTGAAATCCGTAAAATTTGTGTGCTCTATTGTGTTATCGTATGAGTTCAAATTTAAAAAGAAGGGGATTTGGTCTCGTAGCTAGAAGCCCACTATCTCCGCGTATTTTTCTATTTATGGTAACTATCCCATTATCCCACCGATGTTTAACTGCTTATTTCAGCAACCACGTGCTTCAGATATCATCAGGAATTCACGAAGCTGGTGAAGTCAGGTTTGAGCTCGCCATGTGTCTTTTGCTGGGCTGGATCATTGTTTATTTCTGCGTATGGAAAGGAATCAAGTCTGCAGGCAAGGTAATTCAATTACAGATCAGCACGTCAGGCAAACAATAGTTCCAAACTGGTTTCGTTAGTTTTTGAGTACGCTGGTGTACTGCCGCAATTCGTAATAATCGTAGCCTACGTCGCAGAGGTAATTTCACCCCGGTTAGTAACGTCTGCAAAGTAGCGCCGAGATCCTTGTTCAGGACTACCATCGAAGCGTTTCGTATTTCCCTTCAACCTGATTGGCAATCGACAATGTCATTTATAACAGACCAATCATAGCGCGGACTTAAATCCTGGTACACAACAGCTAGGTATCCAGAACAAGGATTTTGGCGCTATTTCGCAAACGGACTTAACCAGAGTTTAGTTTCGGTCTGTGGCGCAGGCTATAATAATTGTAGCACTTTGTAAGATCTGTCACAATTTTTGTGTCGCACTTCATAAAAAAAATAATCGCAATTTGTTATACTGGTCCATCGCACTTATAAAGAGTTATTGGATAAGGTTTTTGTGAAATCCGAAATATCGAAGGTCGAAGTGAGTGTTATTACTCGAACCGAAGGCCGATAACACAGCTGGACCTTGCTTATTCCGGATATCACAACAGAAATGACTCTTTTTTTTAAAAAATGACGATATGATTGTCGCAGTGGTAATTGCAATTTTTAGCATTTGCAAATTAACCCGCAAAAAAATTCCGGGACTTCAACGGGGCTCGAACCCATGGCCTCTACGTTAGCGCTGCAGTGCCCCACAAACTGAGCTACAAAGACCCATACATTGGGAGCAAGCCAATTTGTTGAGTTCATCTTAATCCGTGAAAGGAATGAAGCATAGAGTGAAGATGATGTGAACTGCGGTGATAGAAATTTCAATTTAAGATATGATCGTCGCAGTAGTAATTGCAATTTAAGCAACTGAAATTAACCCGAAAAAAATGTCTGTTATATTTGTTTCATTATACGGTTTTTTGACAAAAATTACCTCCAACCCGTCGTCACACAGAACATAGTTCGACATTGCTCTTGAAAAGCATTGCGCGCGCAACCTACAGATTAGTCACAAATCTGCTTGCAGATAACTCACTGATTTGTAGGTTGCGCTGATTTCCAAAATTAACTGTAGGCTCTTAGCCAATGAGGAGATAGATAGTGGTACAATGTATAACAGTTATTATTTTCTTTTTGTCAGGTCGTTTACTTCACTGCTACCTTTCCATACTTGGTTCTTTTCATTCTGTTGATTCGAGGAGCGACTTTAGAAGGTGCGGGAGAAGGAGTAATATTCTATCTCAAGCCCAAATGGAGCCGGTTAACAGACCCAAAGGTGACTTGAAGACAATTATATTTAATTCTTAAAGATAACTGGGTGCGAAAACCGCCCAGAGATATCTCCCGAGTACAATAACTTTTTTCGTGCCGTAGAAGACAAGTACATTTTGACAGTTGTTATAGATCTTTGTTTCATGTAAGTTCAACTGAAAAGTGACTTGTTGTTGCTGTTATTGTTGTTGTTGTTTTCGTTATGCTTTAACTTGTTTGTATAAGTGTATTGTAACAGTTCAAAGATCTTAGCTCAACTGGGGAAAGGGTTTAGATAACTCTTCAATTTGTTGTTATTGTTGCTGTTTTTGCTATAATAATTGTTGTTGTTGTTATTGTTGTTATCCTTCAATTTGTTTGTTTCTAGGTGTGGGTACAAGCCGCTGGGCAGATTTTCTTCTCTCTCAGTATTGGCTTTGGTGGGCTCATCACCTACGGTAGCTACAATAAATTCAAAAATAACTGCGAAAAGTAAGTGTATGAAAAGACGTAGAATTAAAGTACGAAATGTATCTAGTGTTGAATGCAAGAAAAGTAACTTTAACTTGGGTGTGCCGTCAATGGTCACAGCAGAATTAGTTTCACCAATGTATTCTACCACTCCTTAGCTACAATCTTGGACAAAACTGTTGAGAAAACTGTATACTTGGGGAGCATTTTTTTAAAACGTCGTAGCTGTACAGGTTCTTCCCTCTCCCCCTTACCCTAAAAGCAATGTTGTTGTGTATTCAAAAGAAAGCCTGATCCCTGGGCGTTTGTAGGAAGCAACATAAAACTAGGGTAAGGGGATTTCTTTCCGCAAAGGCGTCGTTTTGGAAATAGTTTGTTGTGTAGGAAAGTGGACATGATGGGGTAAACTTTCTCAAGTAGTTTTGTCCAGGATTGTAGCTAAGCTAGCTAAGAGTCATGGGCTCCTGACTATAGAGGCCCTGTTAGGGTTAAATTGCGACAAGCGGCGACATGGGCTTAAAATGGTGACGTAAGACTAGATGAAATAACGACAAAAGACATAAAGATGGGTTTAATACTGACAGGGCCAGAGACATAGCTTACTCCTAAAAACGCGAAACGAAAGGATTTGAAATTAAGACTGGGGACTCACGTACCCCTCCCCCGCCCCAAGAGAACCCCCTCTACCTACTGCTCGTAAGAGTGTTTTTCTGTCGAACTTTTTAAAAACTTTTTCGCTGAAGAATTGGGTATTGATTCTCAACATCAAATGGCAAAATCGCTTTCCGCCGTGAAACTTTCTAGCTAAATATTGTCTTTCTCTCTATACGTTGAATTCATCCTTTTAAAAGTTATTTACAAGTGAGTTTTGATTTATTGTGTTTTTTTTTCCTTCAGGGACACATATATCGTCTCATTAATTAATTGTGGTACAAGTCTCTTTGCTGGTTTCGTCATCTTTACAATGATGGGCTTCATGGCTGACAAACTTGGAGTACCCGTCGATAGCGTCGTAAAAGGAGGTATATTTTCCACTAATGAAGTCCTTTGTCTATTTTTTGTTTATGCGTAAGTCTGAGTAAGGGCCCAATCAGTCCCATGATGCACGTCGACACATTACCGATCCAGTCTCACTCACTCATAACCTTAAAAGTGTAAAAGGCAAATAATTTGTCAAAACAAGAGAAGTAGGTCATTTCGGGAATGCAGAAGCTCATATGGCCTCCTGGGAAATTCTGATTTTCTTATGAAATGACCAATCAAATCGGAGTTTCAAAAAACACGAACTTATCAGATGTGATTATTGTTTCCTCTGACGCTTTGCCAAATTGATGTAACTTACATGTGACTGGCTTTTTCTTGACAACACAATAACGTTCCACACAGACTTCCGGTGAAAGATTTTCAGTGTGTAACCGGGATAAAACACTGAACCGGCATAGCTGCTATAAGCTAAGTTTCTCCACAAAAAGTGATAACTGCGACCGCTTGATTCTACTGTTGATATCCGTGCGTTTCAAGACTTCTTCCCCTTAATCCGCGGTAGCAAGAAGTGTGCCTTTGGCTCAGTCGCCCCGAGCCCTCCAACCCTTGTAGTTCCCATGGTCTTTCATCTCCCCCGACTGAGTTTTATTCTTTGACAACATCAAAACTAAACACAATTTCGATTGTTTCACAAGAAACAATAATTTGGGATAAAAAAATGAACAATTTGTGCGTGAACATTGTTCCACAGGTCCAGGCTTAGCATTTATTGCTTACCCAGAGGGAATCAAGCAAATGCCTGCATCTCCTTTCTGGGCGTTCCTCTTCTTTTTTATGTTGTTCAACCTTGGATTGGACAGTCAGGTAACTCTGATTCGTTAACATGGCTACTTTTAGGTTCGTTCCAGGCAAACGCCGAACACGAAACACTTTTCCCGCCGTCTGGCGCAGTCTAACGGATTAATTGGGAGGACGAAGTATACTTAGATTCCACCAACAATACTAGGTTTGAAGAGTAATCCTCATTAAGCGGACACAAGTACATTTAAAGTAAACCGTCCCAACCATATCTTCCCAAGTTTTATGCACGGTGGACCCGTATTAAATGGACACGTCTATCACCTGCTCTCAGTATTAACCCTTTAAATCCCAAGGGTGACCAACACCAATTTTCTCCTAACAATAATCATTACAAAATCAAGAAAAAAAGTTATGAGAATTAATAAAATGATCACCAATGAGAAAATGCTTTGATCTTTTATCAAATTCTCTCAATTGAATCTTTAAGAAATGTATGGGGATCCGTGTGGAGAATTGGTATGTTGATATTGGGGCTTAAAGCGGTAAGGCAACGCCCACACGAATTCGGGTAACAAAATATGCGGTTTTAAAAATGTCCGGATGGACAAGGCCTAAGTGGACCTTATAGCGAGAATTTCGTGGCTGTTCGCTTGAAAAATGTTTATAAACTTACTCTAGTCGTGTTGTTTATTATGCTTACAGTTTGTGGGCGTCGAGACCTGTACGACAGTGATGGCGGATTGGAAACCTGGCTTCCGTCGATACAAAACTGTCATTACACTGGGTTTCTGCATCATTTGCTATCTTATTGGAATCGCTCACGTCACCAAGGTAACAGAACAGACAAGAACTATGGGTTTGTGATTACAAATAAATGCTTGCTTGAACCTTTTTCTCAAGATGATTAGCAGCTCCTTTAGCCTTTCTCGCGCTCTTCGGTTAAGACATTTTATGTCATAGCAAAATAATAATTTCCAAGTTTTATTAATCGAGTTGATGAGGGGTGTCATTTAAAGCACTAGAAACTTTAACAACTTTATTGCGTCTGGGCGGTTTGCAAACTGAAATTAACATACTATAGCTAACTGCTAACCAAAGGCATGCTTACAATTCGCTAAAATACCATGAATTAAATAAACCTTTCGTGATTGACACTACCCGCAAAAAGCACAGGCTAATCGCGACGGGTATAGTGACAAAAATTTGTAAAAAGCACTCACTTATTTTACCAGCTTTATACTACTGCATGAAAAATTTCTGCAATTTGATTGGCTTAGAGCAGTGGTATTTCAGCTTAATTTGAAATACCTACATGTGAAAATTACAAACCTTTTACGGGTAGTAGTATAAACAAATAATAGCATGATTTGTACGTGATATTTGCAGGGCTGTCAACTCTCACGGATAATCCGGGAGACTCCGGGTTTTGAACCGTTTCTCCCGGTCTTCAGATTAGAGTCTGAAATCTCCCGGATAAGCGCCGAAGTTTGCCATTTCTTGTAGATTCGACTTTCTGACAATGAAATTTCAAATACTTTTCGTTGTTTGAGCTATTTTACTGTTAACATCGAACGTTTGTTCACAAACTCTGGTATGGCATTGTAATAGAGCAATAATATGATTGGTGGGAAGTAAGCCAATTAGGTCAAATGTTACAATTCCAACAACATCTTTTTCGCGCCTTTTTTTTTACAAAATGACGTCATGTTCCGTGTGCATTATGACGTCATTTATCATCTCTTCCCCATCAATTCTCAATATTTGATGACGGTAATGTAGTTTGTATCTGAATGGTAGAGCAACAATATGGGTGTAAACATTGTAGCACCAATAACAAGAAAAAACTTGTAATTCCGACGCAAACACTCGAACGAAATTTTAACCCTCGGAAGAGCAAGTTCCGCCCCAGTTTGGCCTCTTCCCTCTCCCCTTCCCCTTTTATCACCGTTGGGATATGCATTTGCTTTTTCCTCTAAAAGGTTACATCTGATCTGCAATGTTCTCTCCTTGAGTCGCAGACATGCAGTACTCTTCTGCTCAGAGTATTCTTCTGCATACACAGGGCAAGCATACAGAGGGTTTCTTACTGGTTACATTATTATTTACACCAACTTTTAACCTACAAACACAGTTGCTGAGAGACGGCGAAGGATAACGATCTTTCGGATGTTGAATTAACTATTTACAACAAGTAAACTGATATAATTGATCAGTAACTCAATCAAAATTCGTTTTCTTTTCTTGTTTGCCAGGGAGGAATGTACGTGTTTCAGATGTTTGATTACCAAGCAGGAGGAATATCACTGGTGTTGATAGCCTTCCTGGAGGTTGTAGGCATTGGTTGGTTTTACGGTGAGTTGGTTCATTGGATTCCTCCGCGCCACAAGCGGTTTCCCTTGTTTACCAATGCTATTCCTAGAGTACTGCCTACATAGATACAGTAACTTAAAGAATGATACTTCCTGCATATACCACTTACAATATCAATTTGTGAGCTGATCGATTGGTGATTGAATATTTTTGATTGATTGAAGTATCGACTGACTTATCAATTGACTGACTGGTATTATCATTAACTTTAACTTTTCACTTTCTTGAATTCGTTGCGTGTTATCAATTAATATGTACATTTTAAAAAAGATATAAAATACGTTAGATAGAGAAAAATAGTAAAATAAAATAGATGAATAATATTGCAACTGGAGCAGGAAAGACAATGTCCCAGTTGATATCTTGCGCCAAGAACCAAATGGAATAAAACCATAAAAAAGTATAAATAAAGTTTTTTGGTGCCATTGTGTAACTGATGTCTCTGCAGATTCGGCGAATACGGCCAAGCATACGATTTGCTCTCAGGGAGATCTGATTTATTTGTTGAGACCACTGAAGGTTGTGAGACCACTGATTGTTATTATCATCTCTTTAAATGTTCTCAAAACATAGCCAAAGTCTTAAAGTCTTAATGATGCTGACAGTTTCAATGACTGTCAGCCATCTTTGCCAAAACTTAGAAATCGTCAAAGGTGTCAGAAGCCTTAAATAGGCTTCTGAAGGTGTTAATTATTGCGATAAACGCGCCAAGTCACTCTGTAGACGCCCCCTCCCCTGGTTTGGGGGTGGAGATCACTTTATCGCAATCATTAACACCTTTGACGATTTCTAAGTTTTGACAAAGATGGCTGACAGTCATCGAAACTGTCAGCATCATTAAGACTTTAAGACTTTGGCTATGTTTTGAAAACATTTAAAGAGATATCAACTGCACTAGCCTGATGAATTTCTTCAACGATTATTATTATCGTTATCATTATCGTTATCATCATCATTATCATTATCATGGCTATGATCATTATTATTATTTATATAATAATGATAAAACACTTCTATTCACTCCATCCACTAGCTGTTCGTGGCGTTTTCAACAATATTAAAAATAATGATCAGTTTTATAATAATAAATACGTTATAAGATATAAAACATTAAACTCTAATAATAAATTAAGCTATTATTAAATATTTCCTAAAAAGGTAGGTCTTTGAATTATTTTTATTTCCCCCAATCTAGGGGCACAAGTGGAAAATGCTTCTTTTTCTCCTTCTTCTTCTTCTTTTTTGATGGATGGATTGATGGATTGATTGATTGATTGATTGATGGATGGATGGATGGACGGACGGACGAACTGACTGACTGACTGACTGACTGACTGACTGACTGACTGATTCACTGAGTGAAGCCATAGGGGCAAAATTACCCAAAGTTTACCTTTTGCTAAGCCGTAAACAAGAAAAAACGTATGACATGAGACAACCAGGAGAAAATTTTCATGTCAATTTTATAATTGGTTTGTTTCTTTTGTCCTTTAAAGGAACTGAGAAATTTGCAGATGACATACAAGACATGATCGGTCACCGTCCCAACATGTACTTTCGCTTGTGCTGGAAATACATCTCTCCAATCATCATTGGCGTAAGCATGACGTGTTTATCATATACAGTCAACATTTGGAATCGGGTGTTACTATAACGAAGAGAGGGGAACTGGGAGAGGGAACGGAGAATAGGATTTTGAAACTGAATGAGAGGAAAACAGAGAATGGGTAATGAAGTTATTCATAGGGCTAGGGTTTATTTTCCCGTTCCCCGTTCTCCGTTTTAGTAACATCCATGTTCCATAAAACACTGGTCAACTCAAAACGCCCAGCTATAGAATACGGTGGAAATAATAGTAACCATCGTTCAGTTTTATCTGTGTTACTTTGAAAGCAATAAGTCAGGGGCACCCAACGACAATTTTCGGAAAAATATCTGTTCGGAAGACGATTTGAGATCTAGAATTTTCGGAACATTTGTTGTAAAATTTCTTGCTTGCCTGCTTCTCCTAGGGTTTTCGAACATCTAAAATATGGTATTTTATTTTTAACCAATTTTTACCCTAAAAAGGCCACCTAGAGTTTTCGGGAGCTTTTTTTCTGGCTGAAATTTTCGAAAAGGTAAGTTTCGATCCCTATAATGTTCGGATCACTAGACTTTCAGCTAGGAAATCCGAACAGATGAAAAATTTTTAGGGGATAAAAATATGCCTATATCTACCGTTTAAAAAACCAAAATACGTTTAACAATGCTATGTTTTAGTGGTTTTGAACTATATTCTCGTTGGGTGCCCCTGATAAGTGTTAACTTCTAAGACTAGAAACATTCAACTTTTGACGAAAGACGATTTCCTAGGCTGTTTAATAAACGAATCATTACGCCATGATTTTTTAGATTTGGTGCGAAGTGAGGCCAAGCTCAAATGCGACCCTACTCTGGCCTCAGTCTTGAATCTTGTAGGGGGAAATAAATTTTTCGTTTTCTAATCTGTTTGCATTTTTTGGTATGACGACAAAACCCTCTTTAGTAGAATTTGTAAGTGATGCCAGCTTTTTTGGGGGGGAAATTCTGCCAAATGGCCTTTTAGCTTTAGAGCTTTTCTTGACCTTTTTTATTTAGCATTCTAGAATTCTCGCCGGCTCCAAAGTTTTAACTCAATAGAAATATTAACTGCGATTTTTTCCTTGCATTTCAGGTTATCTTTATCTGGTTTTGCGTGGATTGGTCAGGAATCTCTTATGCTGGTTATCAGTATCCGCCCTGGGCAGAGTTCCTGGGATGGATGTTGTGCATAGTATCAATGCTTTGTGTCCCTGGTTACGCCATTTATCGTTACATCAAACTGCCTGAGGGTGGCAGCTTTACGCAGGTAACAACTACACATTTGCCTACCATTTTTAAGGATGTCATTTGCGGCAGCGTTCTAACAACCCTATGAAAGGGAATCCAAGACAGTCTTGGATTCTGGATTCCACCCCGTGGATTTCGGATTCCACTGGTACTGGATCCCAGTCTTTGTCAGTGGAACCTGGATTCTGGGTTCCAATCGTTAGTGGGATTCCGGATTATCAAAGTCCAGGATTCCGGATCCGGATTCCCTTACATCGGACGCATAATTGCATGTCGCCAAGTGAAAAAAAATCTGTATACAAGTTTTGCTTAGGAAGCGCAATGCCAAGAAAGTACGAATGACTACTCGGTTAACTGTAAAAGCCTTTATATGGGTTATTTCATTCAGGCAATATGATCATAATTATCATAAACAACAACTTTGATCGTTGCAATCTGATAATATTTCTTAGATGTTAATCTTTGTTTCCTTTCATATAAATAGGACAGCTTGAGTAGCTTGGTTAATTTGTTTTTATTCATTTTTCTCACCATAATTGTCTATTTCTTTACTTCTTCAGCGTTTCCGCCAAATCCTTCTTCCAGATGAAAGGGTTATGAGCAAAATCCGACAAAAATACGGACTTGCAGAAAAAAGGTAAGATAATGTGATCTTCTTAATTTGGTGTGCATTAAAAACGAAAGCCAAACGTGATAGATTGAACCTTGAGAGTGGGCGCTTGTTCGAGGTTGGGCGGCTATTAATTTTTCACAGATATAAGTGATTGTAATAGCCTGCGTAACAGGCGCTTGTAGTGGGCGAACGAGAGAACGATCGCGCGCGAGGGAGACACGCGAGGGGTGATTTACTTCTCACGTGCCCTTTTTTTCTTGTGCCCACTACTTCCAAGCGCCTTCTACGCAGGCTACGATTGTAATTACATTTTTTCAACAAACGTGAAGATGCTCCAAAGCAGATTCAACTGTTAATGGAATGTTTCTTTAAAATACTAAGAAAACTCGGTCTTCAGGTTTTTTCAACTTTTAACATGGACCAGTTAAGGTACGGAAAACGGGCAACAAAAAACGTGCAAGTTGTTCTGCAACATTGCTGCAAAACCAATTGAATAGCGCTGTTGCGCGTTTTACCACCCACATCAAACCTGTCTTGCAACAAATCAGGTTGTTAACAGGTTTAAACAGGTTTAAACACTATTCAACTCGTTTTGCAGCGATGGTGCAAAACGAGTTGCTCGTTTTCGCTGCCCGTTTTTCCATATGTTAAGGGGAAATACGTCACTGGGAAGAGCGCCTTAAAATTAGTAAAACTGCCAAGTTTGAAAGTGATTTGTTGAAAACTAACGAAGATATGACTCCTCAAAGTCGCGAAATTTTACAGACGTTTGAATGGTGGGATTTCACAAACTTGCCCCCACCCCTCCCCCCACCCCATCATGCATATACATGTACAAACGTCTGTAAATTTTCGCACCTTTGCGGACCTACATTTTCGCTCGCTTAGGACGTTTCACTTTCAAATTTTGCAAGGCGCTCTTCCCAGTGCTGTCGACGGATTTTCCCTAACTACTCCATGTCAAAAGTTGAAAAAACCCTGGAGGAGTTTTTTTCAATCTCATTGTCAGTATTGCCAATTCTTTTGGTGGGAGATGGTAAGGGGTGGGCGCTTATTCGATGATTGGTGCTCATTAACTTTTCCTGCCTATAGGGTGGATGGTTATTTGAGGTGGGCGCTTATTCGAGGTTGGGCGCTTAATTGAATAAATACGGTATTTCACTTTTTTGTAAGTTAGCCTAGTCTATTCTAATCCGTGACGTGTCTTTTTCATTGCAGGACTCATTACTACGAAGAATAATCAACTCAGTATCACAATTTACTGTCGCTGCTAAGTCTTTCAATCATATAGTTGCCTACTAAACAATGCTAGATTAGTTAATGATAAATGGGAATTGCTCCCCAGTTTAGTGACAAGGTTCAGCCATTTTCTTACTAAAGAGATGCTTTGTTCCGCAGGATTTAAGTGCTTTACGCATTCACAATGTTGGTGATGGGACTTATTAAAACATTTTCTACTCGCATTTCTAGTCAATAGACGCAAGGGATGGGAAGACCTTCCGAAAGCAGCCTTTTGGGGGGGCGAAGAAGTATGCGTTTCTCTCGCCCCAGGAGGTTCCACTCTAACCTAACCCTCGCGGAAATAACTCTTGTACCACACGTGACGAAGCAAAATCTATTTTTAGAGGGAATAAAGGGTAAAAAGATATTATCCCCATTATAATAGACCCTATTTTCTAGGTAATCCTTCTCAATTAGTCTAATTTTTAGTGACAGAACGGCAGGAAATTTGAATTAAGGTTTTTAAAAGTTGTAACGCAATAATTAGCCCAAATTTTTCATCCAGCGTATAATTCGTCTTTCCTGTCATTTTGTTGTTAAAAACAATTTGAGAAGGAATAAAGCCTATATAGTCCAACGCGGTCAAACGGCTTAGGCAATTTTCGTTTAACATGTATTTAAGTGGGTTATCGTTCTCCATGAAATGGAAAAACGGGAAAGGAATTTTTAAATAATTGTAAGATATTAGTTATTGCAATTATCTTTGTATTTTGTCAAAATAATCAGCTTCCTTTCTTTGAAAACGCTTCGCGCCAGAGTAAAATTACGTTGTCGGACACATGGCGCCGCCAATAACTCCAGCTATAGTTTTTAGGCACTAGACCTTTTTAAGCACGATTTCAAAAAGAGTGGTAAATCGTGTAATAATAGTGTATTGTTAATGTCTTAAACTGTAAACACTGCAAGTAATGACCTCAACTTAAAACTTTGCTTAGCTTTTGATTTCTCTCCGTTTGATCAAGGAGAACCTACATAGGGATCTACTCTCTAATACCCTTGATGCTCTCTAGTAAATGCACACCCATGTAAGCTAATCAAATCCAAGACAGCCTTGGGTGCTGGACTCCACGCTGTGGATTCCGGATCTCAGGTACTGGGTTCCAGATTCCCTCTACGTGGAGCTTGGATTCCGGATTCCACAAGAAAAAAAATCCAGGATTGTGGAATCCGAAGTACCGAGCCATTGGGCGAGGTTTCGTTTCAGTGACATATCTCACTTTCATATATTTACTCTTGAGTGACTTTGAATAATAATAGCCTTTGAAATGAAAGCTGGTAAGCGATAATTTCTGGTAGTACATGTATTGTATGTTGTTTAAAATTTAAGGGGAGCGAAATAAAGACTGATAGAAGATACTTATCTTTTTAATTAATGATCCATTATGTTATTACCCTAAAACTGACCTAGAGACGCATGCAAGTATCTAGGAATATGAGTGAATCCGTGATGTTAATCAATTAATAATCAGTAGATAATCAACCAGTAATCATGATCAGGGAATTTACGTGGCGAAACACTTTGCATTGTGGGGTAACGGCCTTGCAGGGCAGCTTGTTTTGTTTTTTTTTTTTTGGTGGGGGCGAGGGAATGCGTTCTTAGACCCTCATCGTGTTTCCGACTAAAATATATTTTCCCTACCTGTTTCAGACCTTAACCAGAGTTTTCACGGGCTTCCTCAAGATAGAAATTGTAATTAAAAAACAACAAAACAAGCCCATCCAGACCCACCCAAGAGAGAAAAAACCATGCCCTGTTTCGGACCCTGATGATTAAAATCGAAAGCCACATTCAGACCAAAGTGGGTCAAAACCATTCTCTAGCGCACTGTCCACATACCTTTATGGGTAACGTCCAAGAGTACACTCGCGGGGAAATGACTATGGCTTATTTTGGGCTAGACACAAAATCCATTACAAGTAGAGGGCTTCAGCTGTTTTAATCGCGTCATATGTACAGATGGGATGGACGATCAGACTCACTTAGCTATCTTTCCTTTCAGATGTACAAATTAAAGCAGATAGGTTGTCTTACAATTCATATAACAGCTACCTTTTGTGTAAATGATCGTTTATTCTCCACCTAAAAATCAAGTTGAATTACTTCCTTACTATTTTCGCTTTTTTCTGGTGACATTACAACTTTTATTGCAACGTGACTTCTATCACTTAGTTCAAGCAATAAACGCAATTCGTAAACATTCTTTCCCGAGAGACATAGGCTTTGCAGAAAATGAGACTTAAGTGGGCATGAGTCTTTGAAATTTCCGAAAAGGCTTAACCTTTTATAAGTCTTCTTTGTCGTCGATTTACAAACTGAGGAGTTGGGGTGGGGTTTCATTCATGGACGCAAGTCTTAAACTTGATGCCCACTTTCTGATTCATCACTATTCATCACTATTGAACTGTGTTTATTTGACAATTTTTTTTTCGTATTTATCTTTCTAGCGGTCATTTTTTTCTTACATACTTTCAGAAGACTACGTCACTTGCTGTGAACTGTGAACAAATTCTCTTCATTCGCATGAGGGATCTCAAGCAATTAGGTTTTTTTGAGTGACGCACGACGACTGGAAGTGGACTTTTTGCATTCTTGAGAAGTGTTTTTTGGCCAAATTGTCTCTATAAGAGTGAAGACACTCGGCAATACAAACTTGGTAACATCGAGGCATACTTAAAGGGAAAAGTCCTTACTTCCGGTTGACGCGCGTCGCTCAAAAACGTCTCTTTGAAATTTGCTGCTGAAATAAACACGTCTTTTGAAGACCACAATAAATGCTCACGGAAAACCTTGGAGTGATACTTAATTTCAGAGAGGAAAAATTACAACATGACAAAAAAAGAAATCACATCTCAAAAGGTTATGTCCATCCCAATTTGAGTGATATTTAGGTTAATGCCTTCCTTTGAAACCCGTTGGTCGTAACTTCATTTCAGCTCGTGACGCGGAGTAATAAAGCCCTCCCCAGGTCTTCCAGTTCACGCCGTCAGCATAGGTTGTCTGCTGTCTGTGATAATATACACCATTCAGATTTGAAGAAAGGCACGCATTATACCACCAAGCTCCTTTATAGAACTGTGCGCAATTTCCATCAGTGGATTTGTCATGATCCCGGTCACGTGTCGTGAACTGCATTCCGCTGTGCCAGGTAAGGGAATCTCCTGCGGTTCCTAGTGGAGGGAATTTCTCACAGTGAAAACTTGTTCCCGTATTTCTATACAGTGGAACCTCAATATAACGAACCTGTATATAACGAAGTCCTCGGCAAACGAAAACTTTTTTTTACCCTGGTAATAGTCAAATATATGAATTAAAGAACCTAGATATAACGAAAGCTCGTTATAGCGAACAAATTTTGCCAGTCCCTTGGGCCTTGGTTATATCGAGGTTCCACTGTACAGCGCTGCAGTTAATCTTGACTTGGGTTATTAAAAAGGAGGCTTACCACAGGCTGAGGTTTAAATACATTATATCTCAATATTCCCCGCTCGACCAGTTTACGACCAGCTTATGTTAAATACTTCATCAGTTCCCTTAGGGCTGGGCTTACGATATTATATCCTAGCACTGAAACTTGTTGGAAATATTAAGTGCGTAACAAGTTTATCATTTCGATCATTTAAATATTTGGAGATAATCAAGTAACAATGACGTCAATCAAAAAATGATCCGTAACTTAAGACTTTTTA